AATAGGCAGTTATCAAGCATTCAACTTGACATACAGAATCAGACCATTTTCTATAAATGAAAATTTCCTGTAGCAGTTAAAATTTATTATCTGTCTTTATTTCCTCATTTTGAATCTTAATAAATCAGAAATATTAGTTAAGAATCTAGATCTGACATTTTGAACACAACTGAAATCATGATAGTAAAAAATAAAGAAAACATAAGACAATTCAAAGAACAATGAAGTTGCATCTGTCATGTGATTCTTTTGAATATCCAGCTATTATGGGTAATATTGTTAAATATAAACCATGTTTTTCAGTTAAAAGCCCTGTCAGATAAGGAGTATGGTATACAGTTCAAGGCCAGGCCAGGAGTTCAAGGCCTGCCTGGGTTATATGACACTGTATCTCAGAGGGGCGGGGGAGGGAGGGAGAGGGAGGGAGGGAGGAAGGGAGGGAGGGAGGGAGGGAGGGAGAGGGAGGGAGGGAGGGAGGGAGGGGGGACATCAGGTAGCAACAATAGTAAAAGAAAGCAATATATCCCTCTCTTCCAGCAGTTGATAGAAAAAAAAAACTGATAAAAATGATGGCAGGTATTGAATGAATATTACCAAATAGTGCAGAAGTCTTTTCAGACTCATAAAATGGTTATATAACTTGCCATTTTCTGAATCATAAGGAAATCTCAACAGATATCAAAGGATTAAAATCAGGTATATTCTTTTTTTTTTTTTCTTTTTCGAGACAGGGTTTCTCTGTGGCTGTCCTGGAACTCGCTCTGTAGACCAGGCTGGCCTCGAACTCACAGAGATCCACCTGCCTCTGCCTCCCAAGTGCTGGGATTAAAGGCGTGCGCCACCAACGCCCGGCTTGAAATCAGGTATATTCTTAAAAAATCAGATATAGTCTATTAAAGTTAGAAATCTTTAACAAAATATAACTAGAATGTCCTTATATGTTTGGCAATTAAGTAATATTTTAATAGAATGAGTAAAAAAATAGTGGAAATTATATCAATATCTTTAAAAATATCCTAATAAAACTCTAATACTATATTATTAAAGACTTATGAAATTAAAGCAAGAGTCATAGGATTTATAGCTTGTTTGTTTGTTTGTTTGTTTTGAGACAGGGTTTCTCTGTGTAGCCCTGGCTGACAAGTTTGCTCTGTAGACCAGGCTGGCCTGGAACTCACAGAGATCTCTCTGCTTCTGCCTTCTGAGTATACAACACCACCGCCTGACTTCTTTTTCTTAAAGACAGGGTCACACTATGTAGCTCTGGCTGGCTTGCTGGTCTAGAACTTTCTATATACTATAACTCCACAGAAATCTACTTGCCTATGCCTCCTGAGTGATTATAATTTCATTTTGTTGCGTTGTGATGTGTTGGTTTTTTTTTTTTTTTTTTTGAGAAAGGGTTTCTTTTTGTAACAGTCCTGGCTATTTTGTAACTCATTTTGTAGACCAGGCTGGCCTCAAACTCAGATCCTCCTGCCTCTGCCTCCCAAGTGCTGGGACTAAAGGTATGTGCCACCACTGCACAACTTGTTTTTCTTTTTTAAGGCAGGTGTCTTATACTGTATAGCTGTGGAACTTACTGTGCCTCTACCAAGATTAAAGGCATGCACCACTATGTCTAATCGAATTTGTAGCTTTAAGAGCATATAATTGCAAAGAAATAAGTAAAATTTAGTAGGCTAAGTATCTCAATGAATTGAAAAGAAAGCAAAACAGCATGACCCCTCCCGATAGATGAGAGGTGATAAAGAATAGACATGAACAAAATGGAAGCCATATATAGGATGGACAGGCTAACTAAGCAATAGTTAATGGTAGGGTGGGGTTGTAGCTAAGTGACAGAGTGCTTTTTTAGCTTATACAAGACTCTAGATCCAACCCCTGGCACTAAAGAAAGTCAGAAAATACTATGATGTTGTAAACTTCTGATATACTTGTTAAGAAAAAAAGAAGGCATAAATAACCAAAGCAAAAGAGTATAGTAGGGAAAGTCACTACAAATACTGTAAAATTTTAGACAGGATATTATGAATAACTTCATGCCAATAAAATAAAAATGTTAATAAAAATAGCAAACAGCTAGGCAAGCATGATGATAAAAATGCCTGTGGTTCCAGTGAGGATTGAGTCAGCCTGGACCACATAGCAAGATCTCATTCTAAATGAGTATAGAAGCAGAAAACAAAGCAAAAACAACAAACTTCTAAAACATGATTTAAAACTGATTCAAGAAAATATAAAGCCTAAATGATCTTAAAATACTAAAGAAACCCAACCAGTAGAATAATTCTTCAAGGAAGACTCTAACTTTAGATGACCTTGCCAGCAAATTCTAACAAGCTTTAAAAATAACAATAATAATTTGAAACCTACATAACCCTTTTCAGCTAGTAGAAAAAGAGGGAATGCCCCCAAACTAAATTGATGAGAATAGTACAATTTTGTCACACTCTGACAGTTAGAATTCATTCATAATGGCATATGATAAAACTTCGAACTGCACATTAACAAGCAGTATGGTATGAAGGATATACAATAGAGGTATGCTTGGTTACTTTCCTCATTGCTGCAGTGCTGACAAAAGAGGGCTTCTTTCGACTCACAGTTACAGGGGACAGCCAATCATGGTGCAGTCATGACAGCAGGTGCCTGAGCAGCTGGTCACATTGCATTCAGAATTGCAAAGGAGAGAAGAAAGATAAATGTTGGTCTTCAGCTCTTTTTCACTTGTTTATTACACCTGAGACCCCATCAGTAGTGCCACACCCACTCAGGGTGGGCCTTTTCTTTTTGTTAAACTTTTCTAGAAAGACCCTCATAGAGTACCCAGATGTGTTCTTTGTTGGTTCTAAATCTAACCAAGTTGGCAGTGAATATTAACCATCACATTTTACTTCAAGGTTATTATAAAAGTTCTTAACATTAGAAAATTAGTTTCACTCTATGTTAATAGAATGAAGGATTTATGAGGATAAAAATTCTACACAGAAAGAATAAAATGGTAGCATAATATAAAGTAAAAACTGGGAATTCCTCTCTTGGGTCCCCTTTTATTCCTAGGAGTTAGTATTTTCTCACTTGTTTTGTTTTGTTTTGTTTTTCAAGACAGGGTTTCTCTGTAGCTGTGGAGCCTGTCCTGGAGCTTGCTCTGTAGACCACCAGACAGGCCTCCAACTCACAGAGATCCGCCTGTCTCTGCCTCCCAAGTGCTAGGATTAAAGGTGTGCACCACCACTACCCAGCTCACATTTTCTTACCTTTACCCCCCCAAAAAAGGCTAATAAGGAAAATTCCTTATTAATGTAATAAAATATAAAAATCATATGATCATCTCAATAGAGGAAGAAAAAGTGTTAATAAATTTAACAACTATTAACCAATAAAAAGTCTCAGAAACTAAGAGGGTTTTCTTAATTTCATGGAATCAACAAAAAAAATATTGAAACTAGAAACAAAAGAGATACTGTTACTTTTTTTCAGCATTATGCTTAATGTTCTAACAAACAGCGTCTAACAAACAGGGTGAGGAAATTGCGTAAATAAATGGGAAGCACAGAAGAAGAAACAAAGGCTTCATTATTCATAGCCGTGTAAAGAGTTTGAAAGGATCTGCAGACAAGCCACTTGAACTAAACCTTTACCAAGGCTGTCAGATACAAAATAACATGACAATTATTTTACTTCTGTATGTGAGTAGCAAGTGGTTAGAAGTATGTCATTTATGGAATAATAGGATCTGGGAATATATCAGAATTCTTGTACAATCTCTGAGAAAAATTGTGAGGCTGTTCTTAGAAGTGTCAAAGCTCCATTGCCAAGGAGATTAGCCTTGCTTTTAGACTGAAGGTTCAGTGTCCTGAGGATTTTTTTCCCCACCTTGTTGGAATTGGGGTGATCTTGGGAAACTCAAAAAGCGTTCCTTTTTGAGATCTAACAAGTTCATTTTAAAATACAAAGACAAATGCAAAGGACCTAGAAGCCAAGGTAGCAGCTTGAGAACAGTACAGGAAGCAGGTGCAGCAGGACACGGGCATGTCCCTCTAGCTAACCGGGGAGGTAGAGGCAGGCATTCTTGAATGTTGGTCCTTGCCTTCCTTCTGCCTTGCTTGATTCAGAACCTCTTGGTTCTTTCCCCTTCTTATCAGACCCACACCTGATCCCCTAGAGCTGGAGTTACAGGCAGTTGTGATCTGCCCACTGTGGGTTCTGGGAACCAAATTCTGGTGGCCCTCTAGAAAAGCAGCAAGCATTCTTAACTACTGAGCCATTTCTCTAGCCCCTCAAGTACATTTTTATTGAGGTTCAGATTGTGTCACTAGGAGCAGAGAAGGTTCCTGAGTCTATTTTAGGAAAGGACTTTGGCTTCTTTGGTAAAGAGTAGGACAGTTGGACTGAGGAAATGGCTTAGAGGATAAAAGGTACATGCTGCCCAGACCTGACAAACTAATCTGAGTCCCAAGGTGGAAGGAGAGAACCTACTCTGGGCAGTTATCCTTGAGTCTCCATGAATATATCAGGGCATAGCTTCATTCTCTCTCTCTTTCTCGCTCTAGCTCTCTCTCTCTCTCTCTCTCTCTCTCTCTCTCTCTCTCTCTCTCTCTCTCTCTCTCTCTCTCTCTCTCTCCCTCTCCCCCTCCCTCCCTCATCTACTTGGGAGGTGGATTTTTGAGAATGGATCTACTTGTTTCTGATGTTATTGGTATTTGTTGATACAACTTTGATATAATGAGTGGCCAATGTCTTAGAATATGTGTTACTTATAAAGAATAATGATTTTATTTTTAATGTGTGTGGAAAGTAAAAAGGAAACATTTTCCAGCAACAATGTAAAGATGTATGTTTAATGGTTTATTCAGTTAATAAATATTTTAAAGTTTATGTTGAACCAGTTTCCACAATAGGAATTCTAGCGACTTCAAGTTACTATGAAGCATATTAATGAATTTCAGTAAGACAATTTCCAAAGAATTATTTTAAACTTTTCTATTTTCTTTTAGACTTGTCACGAAATCGCCTCTCAGAAATTCCTATGGAAGCGTGTCACTTTGTTTCTCTGGAAAGTCTTAACCTATACCAGAATTGTATTCGATATATCCCAGAGGCCATTCTGAATTTACAAGCTCTGACGTTCTTAAATATTAGGTAAGAATAGCATTCTTTCAGAAAAAGTGGTTTTATATGATCTTTAATTTTTCACCTCTCTGTCACTAAAATGTTTACAGTTATTTATGGTACCTGTTCACACCAGCAGTTTCTAGTATGTTCTTAGGATATAATGACAGTCTCTCCCACATTTCTCGTTTCTCCCTTTATTTTTAGCTTTGCATAATTAACAGGCCCTACTAGCCATTAGCTTAATATGCTTGTAGAAGTCTTGCAGCCATGGTTCTCCAGTTACATTTTCAAATTAGCTTCAAGTAAATACTAGATCTGATGGCCTGGGTGGGATACAGCTAAACTGGTAGAGCGTGGTATGCACAAGGCTCTAAATTCAGTCCCCAGAAAAACATACACAACATTGATGCTTTTGTTGTGTGTGCATAATGTGAGTGTTTGGGTTTCAAGACTGTAGGTTCAGTCCCCAGCAAAACACACACACACAATGTGAATGTCTGGGTTTATGCCATAATGCTCGTACAGAGGCAAAGGACGACTTTGTGGAATCAGTTCTCTACTTAGACTTTTATGTAGGTTCTAGAGATTGAATTCAGCTTGCCACTCTTGTAAAAAGTGCCTTTACCCACTGAGCCATCTTGTTGGACCTTGGAAGTGCCCAGTTTATATGCCTTAAAAAAATTCCATTCCTGAGGCTAACTTGAGTTCAATTCCCAGCATCCTAGTCAGGCAGCTCACAATTGCCTGTAATTGCAGCTTCAAAGGAATCTGATGCCCTCTCTGGCTTCTTTGAGTGCTGTACTCAATGTGCATAGACTCACCCCTCTTACATATGCATATATGCTTAATTAAAAATAAAAGTAAAACCGTAAAAATATAATTCATTCTGTTCAGATGTTTAATTCTAGCAGTTTTTAAAAATCATGTTAAAAATGACACTACTAGCCAGGCAGTGGTGGCTCATGCCTTTAGTCCCAGCACTCGGGAGGCAGAGGCAGACAGATCTCTGTGAGTTCGAGACCAGCCTGTTCTACAAGAGCTAGTTCCAGGGAGCCTCCAAAGCCATAGAGAAACCCTGTCTAGAAACCACCCCCCTCAAAAAAAAAATAAAAATAACACTACTTGAGAAATTTCTATGTAAATGTTAACTTTTCTTTCTTAATAAGCATGTGTAGGAATAGAATTATAATTGAATTAAAAAATTTTAAAGGTCCATAAACTATATCATTGAACAAAAAAGATCTTGAAAATGGGGAAAGACTTGACCCTAAAAGAATTATTATGGGATTAAATTTATAAAGTAAATTTTAGTTTGTTTTTATACTAATGGTAGATGTGCTTTATTATTTTATGTTTCTGATTTTCATTTTTTTAATAAATAAAAATTTGTGTTATCTGTTTAAATTTAGTCAGCTGGTAACTGATTAACCTGACAAGAACTCAAATCTAGGATCCTATTTGTTCCTTGTAAGACTTATTTTTGTATCTGAAATAACAAAGATGGAAACTTTTTCAACAGTGGTGTTTGACTGCTCTTTCTCTACTCATTTAGTCGGAACCAACTGTCAACATTGCCAGTACACTTGTGTAATTTACCATTGAAAGTCTTAATTGCTAGTAATAACAAATTGGTCTCACTTCCTGAAGAAATTGGACATCTCAGACATTTGACGGAACTTGTAAGTTAATATTTTATTTTTTGATTGTCCAACATTTCTGCAATCTTCTCTATGATAAAAATTAAATAATAAGATTGTTTTTAAAATAATTTTATAGCTTTGGCTTAAATATAATTAAGAAAATCTTCAATGTACAAGTCAATATCTCCACACAAAATGGGGAAATGTCATTGGTTATTTTCTAGCTAGCATTAAATGATTTCTGTGTTACTAAATTTTTGAGGCATAAGTTATAATGTAGTTGAGTTTTCAAATTAAAATTTTAATATCAATATTTTTATGATTTTTCTTACCCTTTATTGGTGTATGGACACTCCAAAAGTTACTTTGTTATTTGTATGTTTGTTTTTTCTTGCCATACACTTGGAATAACAGTTAATTGTAATTTGTTATTATGTTTTCTGAGATATATTAAACTTTACGTACTATTATTTGTGACTATACAAGAAACCATCTCTTAATTTTTTATGTTTTGAGTAGTTTAAGAGTCAGACTAGCTGGGCATTGGTGGCGCATGCCTTTAATCCCAGCACTCCAGAGGCAGAGGCAGGCGGATTTCTGTGAGTTCGAGACCAGCCTGGTCAACAGAGCGAGTTCTAGGCCAGTCTCCAAAGCCACAGAGAAACCCTGTCTCAACCCCCTCCCCAAAAAAGAGACTAGCTGGGTGGTGGTGGTGTACCCCTTTAATCCCAGCACTTGGGAGGCAGAGGCAGGTGAGTCTCTGTGAGTTCGAAGCCAACCTGGTCTACAGAGTGAGTTCTAGGACAGCCAGGGCTACACAAAGAAACCCTATCTAAGCCAAAAAAAAAAAAAAAAAAAAGTCAGACTATTTTTATCCCCATAATCATATTATCAGCTGGATTCTAATATTGTCTGCTGAGGCACCAGTACTCAGATGATGCAGTCTGCTGGAGGCTGTGTAACCATACAATTGGAAATCAGCCTGCTTGGACTAAAGCTATGTTTCATATGGCAATAAATAATCAAATGCAGCTGTGTCCATTGAGATTTAGAAGTACAGTTTGTGTTGTGTGTGTGGTTTATTGATAAAGATGGTTGTGAACAGAAAAAAATGGTATAAATCTAGTTGGACAAATTAGATTATTCATGGGGGGATTTAAATATAGCAGGTTTTTTGTTAAAAATTCACTGACATTAAATCTAGAGTTGGAATTTTGAGCTAGCTAGACCCTGGAAATAAAATCCAAAATGTATGTTTGGGGCATTCTGTAGAACCTGACTTGTTAGCACAAAGTAGGTATAACTTACACTCTGAAGTTCTTTTTTTTTTTTTTTTTTTTTGGTTTTTTTTTTTTTTCAAGACAGGGTTTCTCTGTATTGTTTTGGAGGCTGTCCTGGAACTCACTCTGTAGACCAGGCTGGCCTCGAACTCACAGAGATCCACCAGCCTCTGCCTCCCAAGTGCTGGGATTAAAGGCGTGCGCCACCAACGCCCGGCTCTGAAGTTCTTTTGTTTATTTTTTCTGTGATAGACAAAATATAAGCTTTTAATTTGTTTTTCATATGGTATAGTTTGATATATTCTTTTTTATTTCTTTTTTGAGAAAAGGTCTTTGTAGCCTATGCTGGCCTTGAACTCAGTCTCTACCTTAGTTTCCCAAAGTCTTCTTGTCAAATCATTTAAACTTGTAAGTACTTAGCAGATAGGGACATGTTGGAGGTGCTGCTTTTAGTTTTTTACAGGAGGTGCTAATTTGCCCTCCTTCCCTCCTCATTCAGGGAGCCTGACAGGGCGGGGTGAGTGACTTCAGAGCTGCTGCTTTCCTAGTGGTCTTTTCACTGCAAAGCAAATGACTTTCTGTCGACCCATTGCTTTCTGAGGGACACATCACACATTGCTAAGACCTCTACCACAGGCTCACTGTTCTTGCCTGTTCAATTTCTTTTACTATCCTTTCTAAATTTGTTGCTTAGAGCACTGGACTAATTTTTTATTCTACTTCAGTCATTAGTGAATAGGAAAGGTAAAAATTATATTCTTTTCTCTTTTGAGAAAAACAAAACAATGTCTGCCACCAGTGAGATGGATCAGCAGAGCAGGTAAAAGTGTGTGCAGCCAAGCCTGGCGGCCCGAGTTCAACCCCTGAGGCCCATTTGGTCCACAGAGAAAACCAAATAACTGTCCTCTGGCCTCCGCACACAACAATTCCCTCCCACTTCCTCTGATCCACAAATAAATAATAAATTAATAAAAAATTTGAAGCTGTCGGAAGCTTATTGAGGCTTATGATTGGAGCCTGGCTTTGTAAGTAGTGTATGAATTACCTTTTGTCACTCACGTGTAGGGGCTGAAGGATTCGTGTATAGGTTTTATAAGTTAGTCTGGCTGGCCTCAGAATTGTGGAATCCTGAATTTGTTAATCTTGGAAGCTGTAGCTAGCCACTTTATTCAAACCCATTAGAAACATCTCTTATGCAAGCTACCAGCAGGTTTCTGTATCATGTGTATTAGACTCAGCCTGACTGGATAATAACAGCCTGTTTTCCCATAGCCTTTGAGTTGTGTACATTTTATTATTTCCCTTTATATTTAATAGGACAAACATTAGAGCCATTGTCTGCATTTTAATTTTGTATTCTTGAACAGTCAAACTCATATTTTGAAAAATGATGACTTCTGTGAAATAATTTTCATCATTGTTTTATTTTTCTATTTTAATTAGAACAGTATAAAATAAAATACACCTTTTTCTGCTTTGGCTTTCACCAACATTTTCATTGGATCTGATATTCTAGTCCTTCTATTTATATCTTAAGCTATATCATTTTAATTTTAGAATTTTCTATAAACTTATATAAAATATAAAGAATTACTCAAATGCCTATAATTAAAATAAATTAAATGAGAGTACAAACTGTGAAGTATTCTTAGATACAGGATGGTAATATATATTTTTTATTACCAAGAAGGAATGTAGGTATTATCTTGCCTAATATCATTTTGTAAATATTTTAAAGCGAGCAGGTTTGTGATTAGAATAATCATAGCCTTTGTACTTTTTTGAAATAGGATGTGAGCTGCAATGAAATTCAAACTGTACCTTCCCAAATTGGTAATCTGGAAGCCTTGAGAGACTTTAATGTTAGAAGAAATCATCTAGTACGATTGCCTGAAGGTAAGAAATGATGAAATAATTCTTTTGTTGGTATTTACCTTTTTATTTTAAAGATATCTCTGATAGGCACCAGTCAAAAATCTGTATGAATTAAAGCCAGTGTTTGAGAACTGATATCTTACTTAGTTAGCATCATCTACTAGATAGTGCACTTTAGAAACTGTTCAGGGCTGAGCCTCATGGCATGGGCGTGCTGTCCCAGCTACTCAAGAAACTGACACAGGAAGATCACAGCATGAGCAACTGTGTGAAACCCTGTCTGAAAGTCAAAATTAAAGGGAGGAAAATCATGAGTCTCAGGCCAGCCTGGGCAATACAACAAGACTCTGTTTTCAGAAACAGAGAGAGAGTAGAAGAGGGTTGGAAATATAGTTCATTGGTAGAGCACTTGACTAGCACAGTCAAGGCTGGAGGTCTAGTCCTTAATACCAGCAAAACAACAAATACTTGAGAGAAAAGTATTGGTGATTCCAGTTTAGATGCTGTTGACTAATGAACTGTTGTAGTTGATCCTTCAAGGCAGTCTCATTGTGAATTTAACTAAGCATGACCATGGGCAGAAATATAGTATGCTTGATAGTATGGTGTGATGCTGAGTATTTCTACAGTTAGCCATGATTTATAAATGGATTTTGAAAATTAAGATCAATGGAGTTTGAGTTGAACTTAATTTTATCCCTTACTAGAAAATTCAAACAAGGTCTAATTAAGTATGTTTAGGTTATATGCAATAACAAATAATGTGAGAGACTTTAGTAGAAGGTAGGCTATCTTAGGTTGACTGTAAATTCTGACCTATGGATTTTAATGACAGAAATGATTAAACAAATTAAATGCCCATAATACAAATCTATTAAAGAAAAGGTTGCAAATGAAAATGAGGACCATTTTTAATTAAATTCAAACTACATTTGTTTAATTTAGGTATAGAAATTTCTTATATAAATGGACTTCCATGTCCCTATCACATGGTGCTACAATGATCAGCTCATGGTGATCTTTATTCATACACACACACCACACATGTTTCTCCACCCTACACCTCTAGATTAATTCAAAGCAAAGTCTAGTAAATAATTTATGACCATTTCAGAGTATATATTTAAAAATAAGGAATCAGTCTTCTGTGATGACATGTGCCCATAACCTCAACACTAGGGAGGTAGATACAGGAGGATCATGAGTATGATCTTGACTACTGAGAGACTGTGTCTCAAAACTAAAGAAGGAAAAATCAGCAGCAATAGAAAGAAAATCTTCAGAAATATTTTCATAACAATGATCTAGATTCTATAAGACAGAATTTACAATAAATGTTATTAACTAATGATGTTTTTGCTTTTACTATGAAGTCCAAACATTATTCCAATTTGATCTAGTGAAATGCTTAGTTGTTACATTTGACATTTTGGATCTGCAGCAAACACATTAGAAAATTGTTTTCTCAGTTTTATACACTTACCACCTTTATATACTTATCACCACATGCTACCCGGCATTCCACATGTTCTCACTGAACTTGTCGGGTAGCCTTCACATAGACACTATTTGCCTTCAGCTTTTCCTCCATTGTCTATTGCCATTTGCCACCAACTCAGCATGGGAACAGAAGCTCCCAGGAAGCAAGAATTATGACCTATGTCCTAATAACCCAACACATTCATTCATATTCTCTCTCTCTCTCTCTCTCTCTCTCTCTCTCTCTCTCTCTCTCTCTCTCTCTCTCTCTCTCTCTCTCTCTCCTCTCCCCCTCTGAGAATTAAACACAAGGCCTTGTGCATGTTAAGCAAGCTGCTATTGTTAAGCTATGCTTCCACTTTTCTTCTTCTTCTTCTTCTTCTTCTTCTTCTTCTTCTTCTTCTTCTTCTTCTTCTTCTTCTTCCTCTTCTTCCTCTTCCTCTTCCTCTTCTTCCTCCTTCACCTCCTCTTCTTCTTTTTCCTCTTCCTCCTCTTCCACTTCTTCTTCCTCCTCCTCTTCTTCTTCTTCTTTTTTAATTTTCATTTTGAAACAGAGTCCAACTTGCTTTGACTGTCCTGAAATTTTCTGTCCCCTGTCTTGACTCCTAAGTAGCTGGGATATCTACCACCTTACAATGCCAGATCCAAAATCCTTTCTAGGGCCATCGCTTTATTCTGGGCCTACTCACCATCTTCTAGGCTTGTTCATGGAGTAAGATCACTTATGAAAATACTGAAGTTTGGGGTTTTATACATTTGTTTGTTTGTTTTTTCCCTGAAGTAGACTTTCAGAGTGTAGCCTAGGCTAGCCTCAATTTCACAATCCTCCTGCCTCAGCCTTATGAATGCTGGGATGACAGGTTAGTGCCACCATACCTGGCAACATTAAGGTTTTGATGAAAATTGGGATTTTTCAGATGACAAATACAGTGAAATTATTTTATTATCTAATTTATCTCTTTTATAAATTATTTGAAATATAAATTAAACAGTTGTAAATGTTTAATTGCATGGTTTGTAATCAGCATGTTAACTAGCCTGAGATGACAAGAAGTTTATTTGAACATTAACTAGTAATCTGCGACATTGTATTTTGGTTGGTAACATATCTTTTGTTACATTGCCATTTTCATTTTTAAACTAATTTTAACTAATTATCATTCAAAAGATATTTAAAAGCTTAACTTAATTATAAATATTACTCACCTTTTCCATACCTTTTTCTCACCTTCCTCCAAATTCAAGTTTCAGTGGCCAGGAGCATTTTCATTAGCTTTGTTGGCTATTTCATCTGGAATTTCTTGACTTTTTAAATGGTGGTTTGGGGAGGAGAGCCTTTGTTTATTTTTGAGACATGATCTTAGTATATAGTTGCGGCTAGCCTGGAACTCACACCGTTATAGCTCAGGCTGGCCCTTCTGCTGGCAGTTCTCTTGCCTTAGCCTCCCAAGTGCTATGGGTACCGTGCTGCACCTAGCTGAAGGGTGTTAAAGCCTGGTAGCTGAAAGCATGATGCCATCTCTAATCCACTCCTCTGTGACCAGCCCCTTCAGTCTGGAAGACTGAAGCTCTCCTCTTTCATCTTGGTCACTGACCTTCTGTGATGATGGCTGCCATAGTATGGGCTAGCTCTGTATGCCATTCATTTAAGGGCACTCTGCAGACTTTTGTGTTGAGAATTGCTTGTTTGACCTTTCCCCCTGTTTTCTCATATTAATTTATTTGGGTGTGTGTATGCCTCGGACACAGTGCAAGTGTGTGGTCTGAATGGTCAGAAGAGGATTCAGTTCATTCCTTCTGTCATGGATTCCAGCGGTCAAACTCTTCTGATTTGGCAGCAGGCTTCTTTGCAGGGTTGTGTGTGTGTGTGGGGGGGTTGTTTGTTGGTTTTTAAGACAGAGTCTCCCTATGCTCCCTATGTCCTGGCTGTCCTGGAACTCTGTGTAAACCAAGCTGACCTCAGTTGAATCCACAGGGATCCTCCTGTCTGACTGTTACCTGCTCCCAAGTCTTCCCATGTACCACCACACCTGCTTACTGTTTTGCTGGCCTTTCTCTCTTTTTAATATTTTTTCTATTTTTTGTTCCAATTGAATGTTATGTCTTAATCTTTGATCCTTTGATCTTATCATCCCTTTCTTTACCATTTTATGCTACCTTAGAGTAAAGTAGTTCAAAACATTCTTGAATTTTTTAACGTTTTTAGATTTATTTTTATTATTTTGTGCATTGGTGTTTTGCTTTCATGTATATCTGTGTGAGGATGTCAGATCCCCTAGAACTAGAGTTATAGACAGTTATGAGCTGCCATGTGGATGCTGGTAACTGAATCCACATCTTCTGGAAGAACAGCTAGGGCTCTCAACTGCTGAGTTTTAATTTCATTCAAAATTTTTGGTTTTTACCGTCATATGTAGATTGCTTATTATTTTGGGACTTTTTAGGAAAAAAATTCCTTTTAAGTGATTCCATGTTGTATTTCTCTAAAATCAAAGACATTCTAAATTTTCAAATTTACTTCTGCTCCTATATTCTTGTTTATTCTTCCTTTCTTTTTTCTTTTATTAGTTAGTTCATTTTCTGCCAGGTGATGGTGGTGCACGCCTTTAATCCCAGCACTCAGGTGGCAGATGAGTTCGAGACCAGCCTGGTCTACAAGAGCTAGTTCCAGGACAGCCTCCAAAGCCACAGAGAAACCCTGTCTCGAAAAACAAACAAACAAAAATTAGTTTATTTTTCTTTCTGTCTTACATGTTATTGGAGATCTTTAAGTTTCTGTGGGTCATATATAATCTGTACACATTGTCATAGAGGTTCTGAATACCTTGGACAGAAATTGTTGAAGGGTAATTATTTCCATGTCATTATTTGTCTTAGTTAGATTTCTATTGCTGTGAAGAGACATCATGACCACAGCATTTAATTGGGGTTGGCTTATAGTTTCAGCATTTTAGTCCATTATGGTCACGCTGAGGAGCATCATGGCACACAAACAGACATGGTACTCGAAAGGCAGCTGAGAGTTCTATGTCTGCATCAGCAGGCAGCAGGAAGGGAAAGTCACACTAGGCCTGACTTGAGCATCTGAGACATCAAAAGCCCACCTTCAGTGACACGTGACATTTCTTCCATTAAGGCTACATCTCCTAATAGTGCCATTCCCTATGAGCCTATGGGAGTCATTTTCTTTCAACCCACTATAGTATCTAAAGACCTTTCATAAGGGACTGTGTAGTTTCTCCAGAGAAAGATGTGGCTGGCATCTCGTCTATATGATTGCATGTATTTGTAATTACTGGCATTCAGGAGTGGGATTCACACAGGGTAGGTGGAAAGATGGAATTGCCATCAATGTGTTTACTTTTATGTCCTCTATTTTCAACTGCCAACATATACTCAACTTCCCATTGAGCCTCACCCCCTAAGTTCAGAACCTTTTGGTATCATTTCTTTTCCTTTTTTTTGTTTGTTTGTTTGGTTTTTGTTTGTTTGTTTGGTTTTACTAAACAGGGTTTCTCTGTATTGTTTTGGAGGCTATCGAACCAGCCCGGCCTCGAACCCACAGAGATCGTCTGCCTCTGCCTCCCGAGTGCTGGGATTAAAGGCATGCGCCACCACCGCCCGGCCTTGATACCATTTCTTTAGAGAATAACTTTCTGGCTCCTGTAGTGTGACTGTGAGTGCCCAGCTAAGCGACTTGGGACTGGGAACACACGTTAGCTGTTTATAAACACCTCTCTCTAACTTCTTTGTTTTCCTCCCCCGCCCCCTTTTTTTTTTCCTTTTTTGAATGGTATCCAGCTTCTGAGAACTAAGTAGTCCTGGGAACAGGGAGGGGAGTCAAACAGATTGATTTTTGGTAGCTTTCCTATCCTAAGCAATCAGATTTTCTTTTATACCTTGTCAGTGACTAGGGATGAGGTAAATGATCTTTGAATCCACATTTAACTGGAAGCACTTGTAAAAACTGTTTATGTCTAAAATATCAGTGATGTTTACATTTCTTCCATGCAGAGCTGGCAGAGGTGCCTTTGATACGTCTAGACTTCTCATGCAATAAAATCACGGCGATCCCTGTGTGTTACCGGAACCTCAGGCACCTCCAGGTGATCACCCTGGAGAACAACCCGCTGCAGTCACCTCCTGCACAGGTAAACACGGGGGGTCTGCTGAAAGGGGTGACTGCTCTGGGAAAGCCCTCTCAAGAGGAACCCCCTGTGCGTCATCCACCCCGTGCCCTTAGTAAGGGACGGAAGGGAGGTTTGGATGTTTCCACCAGCGTCCCTTTCACTGCTTTGACACCTGTGTGTCTGCTTGCTCATGTGTGCACCCGAGGTTGACAGCCAGTGTCTCCTCAGTCATTCTCCACCTCGTGTTCTTGTTAGTTCCGAAGACAAAATCTCTCACTGAAACGTGGAGCTCAGCAATTCATCTAGCTTGACAGGCCAGCAAGCCCCAGAGATCCTCCCGTCTCCACCTCCCCGTGTATGATGCACACTGCTGTGGGTCCTCATCCCTGCACAAGGGCAAGCATATTCCTAACTGAGCTTTCTCCCCAGCCCTTGGCACTTTTAAGTTGAAAAATGCCTCAAAAACTAGTTTTCTAATAAAATTTTAGTTTCATTTGTACTTTTTTTCTATTAAAGCTTTAATATAAGTGCCAAACAGCAACTTTCCAAACTAAAAATTATCACTGTATTCTTGTTATCATTGTTTTGTGCCTTCCTGTTTCCCGAAACAGTAAGTTTCTCATTTAGCCAGTTGGTTCACTTGTTTGTCACTAACTGAAACGAAAATAATAACTGTAAGGTAGCTTATATCCTATAATGTTTAAAATATTTGCCAAGCCCATAATTTTCACTTTGAAATTTCTTAGAAGCTCCTTTTTTCCATTGTGTCTGTGCACATGTACTCTGATGTATAGAATTCAGAGGACAATTTTTTGGAGTCAGTTCTCTCTCTACTTTTATGTGAGTTCCAGGGATCAAACTCATTATCAGCATCATAGGCATTTACTGTCTCTACCTGCAAGCTGTCTCTCCAGCCCTCACTTTGCAGTTTTTTAAATAATTTTGTATAAGCTTATGACACTCATTATAAAATCTGTTAAAGTTATATTTGAACTTTATAACTACAAAAAGGGTTGCCAAAAAGATTTGCATTAGTTGGTTTTTAATGTGTGACAAAGTACTTGAAAGAAAACAAGTTAAAAGAAGGAAGACTCCTGGTGTCAGAGGTTTTAGCCCGTTGACAGCTGTGGTGAGACATAGTCATGGCAACAGGAGTGTGTGGTAGAGGAGGCTGCTCACCTCACAACAGCCAGGAAATGGGAACAAAGAGGAAGGCTTCAGAGACTAGATGCACCCTTCAAAAGCGTACTCCTTGTGCTGTCTTCCTGCAGCCAGGCTGTCTCCTGCTGAACCGTTTAGCCATGAGGTCACCATACGTTAATTCTTGATCACATTAGAGCCCACTTGATTCATTCACCTTTTAAAAGCTCTTCAGCTAACAACTAAGATTTTGACACATGAGCTTTTGGGGACATTTTTAGACTCAAATTATAGAGAGTTTCACCAGCCTAAAGAATTTGTTTGACTCATGAGAGGTCACAACAAAATTCTATGTGTATAAATTTCTCCATTTTATCATTTCCATTTCTTTCCTACAGAGATGGACATTAAAAATGTAATTGCACATGATTAATTAATACCTAGAAAGAAATCTTACAAGTCCTGAACATATATAACAAATGAGTATGTTTAATTTACTTAGTGTATAACAGTATTTGTAAGCATAAATTACTTCTGTTCCTGAAATAGTATTTATAATCATAGATTACTTCTGTTCCCACTAAAAGACAAAATCCTTAAACACTGAACCAGATCATAGTTTTTTTTAATTAATGCACTATATATTTAATAGAGATGCCTTAAAAACCCAATTTATGTTATACAAAAAGCCAGTTATGATTTATTTAAAAAAAGAACACCATGAGTCTGGAGAGGTGACTCAGCAGTTAAGAACACTAATTTTTTTCCCCCAGGGACCTAGGACCACTACCAAGTATCCACATGACTGCTCACAACTGTTTGTAAATCTAGTTCAAGAGGATCTAATATCCTCTTCTGGCCTCTGTGGGTATCACACATGTACATGGTATATAGTTATGCATGCAGGCAAAACACCCATACACATAAAATACTAACTTTTTAAAAGATCATCTATATTTCAGATGACTAATAATTTGGCTATGTTTATTTTTTTAGATATGTATAAAAGGCAAAATCCACATATTTAAATACCTAAACATACAGGCTTGTAAGATTGCTCCCGATTTGCCAGATTATGAAAGGAGACCCTTGGGATTTGGTTCGTGGTAAGTATGTTTTATTCTTCTGTCATAGCACATCACAGAGAAAATCAAATAAACTTTAGTCTTAAATTTCCTGAAGTGTTTGCCTGAAGGAAAGTAACACTCTTCTGTTTCCCTGAAGGAAAGTAACACTCTTCTCCTCAAAATTCTTGTATCAAATAGAAATTAGCTACATAGATCCTACAAAGCATATAGTTCTAAGTCTCTTACAACTTAGGCACTGTTGATCTTGCAAGTCCAGCCAGTTCTTTGTCAGGGGAGGCACTTCTCATTGTGTGAGTGGTTAACATCATCCTGTCCCCCACCTCCTAGTTACCAGTAACAATCGAAATGTTTCCAGATAGCCAGATATTGCCAGTACCCCTGGCAAGCCCGCAGTTGAAATCCCCTGGTTTGAGTGACTTGAATAGTAAGCTCTGCCACTTAAAAAGTTTCTGATTTACAGCAAGTCATTTGAACATTTTGCTTCATTTTCCTTTATAAATGTGAAGAAGCTGTTGAATGTTGACATCATTTTGTAGGAAATAAATTTAAAAGCCTTCAAAAAGGTGCAAGCTGGGCGTTGGTGGGCCCATGCTTTTAAATCCCAGCACTTGTGAGGCAGAAGCAGGCATCTCTATGAACTCGAAACCAGCCTGGTCTACAGATCATATCCCAGGATAACCTCCAAAGCAATACAGACAAACCCTGTCTTGAAAAACAAACAACAGGAAAAAAAAAACCTTCAAAAAGGTGCAATAGATATCCCAGTAAAGATGCTTCGATGCTCAACAGAGAACCTCTCAGGCCTTTGTTTAGGACCCGTCAATTTTTGCTAAAAACCACAGTCCAGATGAGCTTGCTTTGTAATTTTTCTAGCCTAAAATATATCAACAAATGTCCATGTAGTTTCTAAAAATGGATGTAGCCAGACATTGCTATGGTGTATTAAATATGTATCGTGTTCACAAAAAGCAGTTTACTATCATTTTTATTAGAAATTATTAAAATCAAACATTAACTGTTTTACAAAGGAGCAATCTGAAGCTGTCTGAAAACTTCCCTTACATGCAACAGGATTTCTTGGGGAAATAGTGTTCCTCACTCCACAGGGATTTCACTCCTGCCCTTTGCTGCAGACTCTGTCAGCCTTGTGGTATTCCTCAGTCAGCGAGCTTCAGTATACATAGTAATTACTCAGGAAATAGTGAATGAAAGAAAGCTGATTTAATCAGACAAATACTGCTTTCCTCCATCTAAAATCATCAGGAAGATCTTTGTAATGACATTCTAGGGTGCTTAGTCTGGCTATTAGTTTGAGGACTTAGACACTGTGAAGGATATTTGAGTAGCAGCTCTAACCTAATTGCTTAAGCATAAACTAACACAGCAAAGAAAATGAAAGCCATACTGTCACCATACCTACCAAGAATACCCTCGGTTCCATGTTCACCTCTCAGAGGACAGAAGCAGGTAAAGGATGCTAAGGACATGACAGGTGAGCTTTGGGAAGCTGATAGAGACAGAGTGTGGTACCCTGTGCTACGTGTAGGCCTCTTGGAGGAGGAGGATTTTGACAGTGAAGAATATGAAATGACTCAGATCCTTATTGCCAAGAGTTTTCATTTTACCATCTATTTTTTCTTTCTCCTTGCTTTTTTTTTCTTAGCTCAGTTAATTGCTTATAATATGGAAACACTTGTTATGTGTGGATGAAAGCCCTAATTTTCCTATTTTGTTTTCATTAAAAATGTTTTATATGACTGGCCATTGGTGGCACACACCTTTAATCCCAGCACTCGGGAGGCAGAGGCAGGTGGATCTCTGTGAGTTCAAGGCTAGCCTGGGCTACAGAGTGAGTCCAGGACAACCTCCAAAGCTATAGAGAAACCCTGTCTCAAAAAAAAATTTTATATGATACTCTTACAAGATGTACAATTCAAAGTTGGCTTTTCTTTTGAGTATACATAATTGATTTTCCCTGGTGGAGTTAGTGATTCTTGGAAGGAAGACTTCCCTCTCCTGAAATAGCAGAGTAGGAGCCTGAAATTGCTACTGCTGCCATTGAGCTTTGAATGAAAGCTGGCTAATGATGGTGGATGCAGGTGTGTGTTTGAAGTTCTGCCTGAAGAGATGGTAATAAATGGTGCATTTTGATTGAGGGCTGGTGTACTGTTTGCAGAACCTGTTTCTCTGGGACCTGTTCTGAGGCTGCCCTAATTTATTTTTGTAAATATTATAGTACTTATGTTATTTTAAATATAATGAAATATATAAAATATTAAGTTACCTGGCAAAGAATTTGAGTGCATGCTTGCTAACAGATAAAAGACTAGAAAATTTATGGAAAAATGTTCTTTCAGGTTTCTAAGTAAATGGGAAACCTAAATAACATAAAGATGTCATTTCTCTCCAAAGGAATTACAAGTTATAGAGGTAATGCATTACAGTCCCTATCAGAATCTCTAGTTATGGTCACTAATTAGACTGTTTTCTATATTTTCCATTTTTTCAGAGACAAACTATTGTTTCAGAACATTCTAGAAATGTTAATTTGATACATATGTGTGGATATAGCTGGTCCTCTGTTTCTATGAATTCAACAAAATGCAGATTGAAAGTATTGGGGGTGGGGTACCTGTGCTATAAACATTTACACTTTTTTCTTGTCATTATTCCCTAAACAACATAGCATAACAACTACTTACATATATTTCATTAGACATTATCAATAATCTAAAGATGATTTAAAGTTCATGGGCAGGTGTGGTGACTTATGTCTATAGTTCCACCCCCTCAGAAGGCTTAAGCAGGAGAATGGCTTGAACCCAGGAATTTGGACTCACCTTAGACAACCCTGTCTCAAAAAACAAACAAACAAGCAGTGACAGCAACAGCAAAAAAACCCTGCTGGGTGTAGTGGCACATTCTTGTAGTCTCCCTAGATTTGGGTGTCTGTGAAGAACCCTGGAATTAGTTCCCCATGAATACTGAAGGGAGGCTTTGTATATAATATTTCATTTATCTCCTCTAGTACCAGAGAATGAAATTTGTACCTCCCTGTTTTTCTTTCAGAGGTGGTACAGATGAATAGAATTGCATTATAGTTGCTGGTTTATTTGTTCAAAGTGTAAGCATGTTTTGAGTTTCTTCTTAGAGTACTAAGCTGCTTAGCCTTTCTGAACTTCCATTGTCAGTATAATCTTTGCACTCTTACATTCTGGTAATAGTTCTAAATATCAAATATTCTGAATCTGAAAGCTCTTAACATTGGTATAAAACCTATATAAATATTAGGCAAGGATTAATTTAGATCAAGTCCAAACCTCCTAAAGAGTCCCTTAACTCTTTGAATATTCAGTACAAACTAGACACACTAGTACTTTCAGTCCTTAGATTTAGCCATCTTTTGATGTTGGGTTTTTTGTTTTGTTTTTTTGGGGGGGTTGTTTGTTTTTTGTTTTTGAGATAGTGTCTTACTGTGTCACCTTGACTGGCCTGGGATTCACTCTGTAGGCCAGGCTGGCCTTGAACTCACTTCTGCCTGCCTCTGCTCCCTGAGTGCTGGGATTAAAAGTGTGCACCATCATACCCAGCCAGATGTAACCATTGTAATGATTGTGTATCTTTTTTTGTTTGTTTAAAGACTCACAATTTTAGCATAGTGGTGCTTACCATAATTCCAGCACTTGGAGGCAGGCAGAAGGATGCTGTGCCTGATAAGAAACAAGACCCTATTTTAAACAGTAAAAGGCATAGGAGAAATGGCCAAAGTACATGATAAAATTAATTGTATGAAAATGTCTATAAAGCAAATCTCTGTATGAAATGAATATAAAAATTCTCATTTAATTGAAAAACAATACTGCCATAAAACCCAGCACTGACAGAAATAAACTTATAAAAGTTACAAATTTGTATTTGTTTCCAGATACAAATGTTTCTGTCCCATTTGGTAAACTATACTAATATTACCTTTGCTTTATTTAGTGGCACTGTAGTTTTCATTGGTGATGGATAGAAACATGATTTTTTTTCTTTCTTTTCTTTTTTTTTGTTCTTTTTTTTGTTTGTTTGTTTGTTTTTTTAAGACAGAGTTTCTCTGTGTAGCTCCAGCTGTCCTGGAACTCCCTAGAACCAAGTTGGTCTTGAGTTCATAGGTCCCCTTGCCTCTCTCTGCCTCCCAAGCGCTGAAGTACTAGGATTAAAGATGTTCTTCACCACACCTGGCTAAAACTACTTTTTGATAAGATAATTTTCAGCCACTTTATGTGGCTGACTGAACATTTATTTTTGTTGAAGTGAGAACAAACCCAAACTAAAGAAATACTAAGCCGCTGACTGAAAAGAAAAATCTATCCATGGGGCTGGAGATATGGCTCAGTGGTTAAGAGAACTGGCTGCTTTTTCAGAGGTCCTGAGTTCAGTTCCCAGCACCCATAAGGCAGCTCACACCTGTCTGTAGCTCCAGTTCCAGAGGATTCAACACCTTCACACAGACATACATGCAGGCAAAAACAACAATGCACATAAACTAAAAGTAAATAAATAAGAAAAAAATAAAAATTCTGCCTGCTAGCACACAGGAGAGTCAAGAGTTCAGTGTCAACATGAACCACAGAGTGAGCCTCAGAAATCAAAAAAGAAAAGCCTCCTCTAACCCTACCCACTGAATTAATTTTGTTCAACAAACCTAATCTTTTAAAAGCAAGTGATGCTTAATCTTTTTATTGACATTCAGTCAATCCAATTGAAACAGATGTAGTGATTGTTTACAAGAAAGCTCTCTTTTTTGTTAGTTAGTTTGTTTTTTGTTTTTGTTTTTCGAGACAAGATTTCTCTGTATTGTTTTGGAGGCTGTCCTGGAATTCACTCTGTAGACCAGGCTGGCCTCGAACTCACAGAGATCCTCCTGCCTCTGCCTCTGGAGTGGCAGAGTCTGCAAATCATGTCTCAGCAGAACTGCTACAGCACTGCAGGCATGATTTGTAGACTCTGTGAAGTATAGTGACTTCTGTGAGTTTGGGAAACCAACTAGCGTCATATGCCAGCAGCACAGCCAGCATGCATAGCATTTCCACTTATTGCTTGTCCCTTAAAGCTAGGTTGGTTTTTTGTTTTGTTTTTCCAGACAGGGTTTCTCTGTATTGTTTTGGAGGCTGTCCTGGAACTAGCTCTTGTAGACCAGGCTGGCCTCGAACTCACAGAGATCCTCCTGCCTCTGCCTCCCAAGTCCTGGGATTAAAGGCGTGTGCCGCCACTGCCGTCACCACCACCACCACACAGCTGTTATTTTTTTGTACCCCAAGACCCAACAATTGATCTGTTTCTGCCAATGCTTTGCCTGTTCTAGGATTTCATGTGAATGCAGTCGGTGTGTGGCATCTTGCTCTGATTATGCTTAGCAAGAGCCCTGAGAGTCTTTGATGTTCATATGCATTCTTAGGATCTGTTATCAATTTCCACACTAATATAAAACATTAAAAAAAACCAAAGCAAAATAAAAACCTCAGAGCAATGTTTGTCCCTGATAATAACAAAGTGGTAAGAATTAACTACAGAGAGGTATGGGGGAACTTACTGGCAAAATAGAAATGTCCTCTGTACTGATAGAATTACAAAGATATAGCATTTGTCAACATTATACTGCTAATATTTAAATGTATTTTAATTTTATTTGGAAAAATAGGTAAAAACCAAGCCAGGTGTGGTGGTGCATGCCTTTAATCCCAGCACTCAGGAGGCAGCAGTAGGTGGATCTCTGAGTTCTGAGCCATCCTGATCTACATAGTAAGTTCCAGGACAATCAGGGCTACAAGTCAATCTTAGCAAATGTGAAGGGTCTAAATAATTTATTTTATCTTGTCAGATTATAATACAGTAAAACTAGAAATCAGAAGCAAAAAAAGGAAACAGTTTTGAAAAATTACAGAAATCATATAAATGCATGGAGACAGGGCAGTATACTCACTCAAGAACAAAAAATTCTAGAATCAAATTAAGTGAAGCACAAGCTAAGACAATTGTAAGATGAGCATTTATAGCTAGGAGTGCTCACATTTAAAAATTCAGATCCAAATAGCCTAATGATACACCCCAGAGTGCTAGAAAAATGGTAACAATTCAAGCCCCAAAGCATAGAACGGAAAGACACAGTCAAGATCTAGGCAGAAGTTAATGAATCGCATACTAAAAGAACAACATGTAGAGTGTTGGTTGTTCAAGATTGACAAACCCCTGGCCAAATTAATCAAGAGAAAGAGAAGGAATACACAGAAATTAGAGATTAAGAAGGAATGGTTACCACACAGTCGAAAAAATAAAATACAGAGAATCATTGGGGTATACTTGAAAACTTATGTTAAAAAAAAAAAGGAAAATAAGCTCTTAAGTGGGTAAGTTCCTAAAAACGTATGACCTATTAAAATTAAACTAAGATGGTATAAACAACTTAGGGAAGTAGCAATCAATGAAGACTGAAGCTATAATTAAGTCTCCAACAAAGAAAAGTCTACGACCAGATGGATTCACTGCTGAATTTTACCAAACCTTTGAAAAAGAACTAGGATCACTGCCCCTCCAACTGTCCCACTAAACGAGTAGGAACACTGCCAAACTCATCCGTGAAGCCAGGGTTACACTAGTACTGAAACCAGAGAGGCTATGAGAGGAAATACACTTCGTTGTAAACTAACGCACAATGAAACTGAATTGAGCAGTGGTACTTTTGAAAGTGAATTCTGAGTGTGCGGGCTCATACTATTCTGTTTACTTTTTCCTGTTTGGAATTTTCTTGTTAAAAAGCTCAGAGAATGCTCACTTACCTCTAATATTTATGTGACTGAGTATCAAGACAGTGTTTGTTAATGAAGTTGTGCCTCGTTAACTTCTAATGATCCAGCCTCATAGTGACAAGTAACCCTTCTTTTGACAGCCATGAAGAACTGTACTCAGGTCGTCCTTATGGAGCCCTTGACTCAGGCTTCAACAGTGTGGATAGTGGAGATAAGAGGTGGTCAGGAAATGAGGTAAGTGTTCTTCATATGATTTAGAAAAAAATTTTTTAATTAACAGGAACATTTAAATTGGAATTTGGTTTATTACATAAAATAGAGAAACATTAAATAAAGGGTAAAACCTCACATAGTTCTACCAAACAAGAATTCTACACTGTTTCATCTCATGTGTGGATCTTCTGGAAAGCAGAGTAGGAGTTGAAGTGGTTAAAACTGAAGCCAACTGGCCCATGGTAACATGTCTCTATAATTCTAGTTCTTAGGAGACTGAGGCAGGAGGACTGTGAATTTGAAGATAGCTTGACCTGTGCAGTAGTTCCAGCACAGCTTGTGATGCATAGCACGTCTCTGTCTCAAACAAAACAATAAAAAAAAAACCCTGACATGTAGAACTTGGGCTGGATGATCTAGAGCAGAGGTGATAGGAGGGCTCTGGAAGCTGAGAAGGCTAAATAGGACTGTAAACTGATGGGTCAAGAAGTGGAGCCTGAGCTCTAGATGGTAGCTCAATGGTGGAGCTCTTCCCTAGCTATGAGCCGGGCTCTGCTTCAGTCCATCAGAAGGTGGAACATCTTAGGGAATTCATTCACATGCCCCAAAATACATGGGTTTTTTGTTTGTTTTGATTAATTAATAGGATTATATTTTCTGTCATTTAACATTACTAGACAGGTGTTGGTGGCTCACGCCTTTGATCCCAGCACTTGGGAGGCAGAGACAGGTGGATCTCTGTAAGTTTGAGGCCAGCTTGACTTACAGAGCGAGTTCCAAGACAGACTCTAAAACCATACAGAGAAACCCTGTCTCAAAAAAACAAAATATAAATAAATAAATTTACTAGAGTATATTTTAGCTCTGAATTAAGTGACTACACTTTTGCTAGAGTAACAGACATTTTATAAGATTGCTTCATTAAACAAATCCTGGTGCAGTAGCACATGCCTTGAATGCCTTGAATCTCAGCTCTCTGGAGGCACTGGCAGGTGGATCTATGTGAATTCAAGGCCAGCCAGAACTACATAGTAAGTTCCAGGCCATCCAGGGCTGCACAGTGGACCCTATCAAACATAAACAAGTAACTAAATCAAAACAAGTTAAAATTAGATCACAACTTAGTTACAATTTGTAGTTATATATGTAGGTCTTGGTGACTGTGTTCATGATACTGCCATGTATATATGTAGATAATTTAAACCCATGTAAATATTTACCTACAGTTCTGAATATCTTCTATTTTTTTTCATTGTGGTAAAATTTGCCATTTTAAAGTACAAATTTTAGTTGCATTAAATATATTCGCAGAATTATACAATATTCGCTGTCAATTCCCAAAACTTTTTTGCTTTATCTTCTTCTATGTAAATTTTAGTTTGTATTCTTGTACTTTATATTATCTAAAGTTGGGAATTGAAGGGGTTTTTGTTTGTTTGTGTGTTTGTTTTGTTTGGGGTTTTTTGTTTGTTTGTTTTGTTTTGTTTTTCAAGACAGGCTTTCTCTGTGTTGCCCTGACTGTCCTAAACTCACTCTGTAGACCAGGCTGGCCTCACACTTGCAGTGATCTGCCTGCCCCTGCGTCCTGAGTGCTAGGATTAAAGGCACACACCCCCACAACCCTTGGAAATCATGGTTTTTAATGTTTCTGCTTTTTAAGCCTACAGATGAATTTTCAGATCTGCCTCTTCGAGTGGCAGAGATTACTAAAGAGCAAAGACTTCGGAGAGAGAGCCAGTACCAGGAGAATCGAAGCAGTGTGGTAGTCACAAATGGCGGAGGTAAACAGGGTTCTAATGATATTTAAACCTTTTTAGTTAGCTTGTTTTGCTTTATAACAGACTGTCCTGTAACCCAGACTGGCTTCAAACCCAGGATAACTTGGAACTTCTCTCCTGCCTCCACCTGATCTTCCTGCCTCCTCTCCAGCCCTGGGAGTACAGGTGTGTTCCACCATACCTGGTTTTGTTGTGCTGAGGATTGAACCCAGGGCCTTGGGTGTGATAGGCAGGGACTTTACCAGCTGAACCTAGCTCCTACCTTAACTTTGTTGTTGTTTGAGGAAGAAACAGTTTGTTTTGGCTTAGGGTTCCAGAGGGTTCCAGGCCACCATGGTGAAGAAGACATGGCAGCATGCAGGGAAGGCATGGTGTTAGATGTAGGGAGTTGCTGGTCACCCTGCATTTGTGATGCCTTTGTCACAACCACTCTCCACTCTTCTGTCTGCATATCTGTATCTCCTTCGCTCTTCTTTTTTTTTTTTTTTTCCCCAGTTTTTGGAGACAGGGTTTCTCTGTGGCTTTGGAGGCTGTCCTGGTACTAGCTCTTGTAGAGCAGGCTCGTCTCGAACTCACAGAGATCCACCTGTCTCTGCCTCCCAAGTGCTGGGATCAAAGGCATGTGCCACTCACACCTGGCTTTTTCCTTTTTATAACTTAAATTAGAAACAAGCTTATTTTACATGTCAATCCCAGTTACTGCTCCCTTCCCTCCTCCCCTGCCCCCAACCGACCCTGTATTCCATCCCCTTTCTGCTCCCCAGGGAGGGTGATGCCTTCCATGGGGGACTCTTCAAAGTCTGTCATATCATTTGGAGCAGAGCATACACCCTCCCCCCGTGTGTCTAGGCTGAGAGAGTATCAGTCTGTGTGGAGTGGGCTCCCAAAGTCCATTTGTGTAACTAAGGATAAACACTGATCCACTACCAGAGACCCCATAGATTAACCAGACGTCCAAACTGACATCCTCGTTCAGGGGGTCTGGAACAGTCCTACACTGGTTTCCCAGCTATCAATCTGGGGTCCTTCACTCTTCTAAAGATTTCTCTTTATATATGACCAAAAAAAAAAAAAAAGAAAAGAAAAGAAAAAAGAAAAAAGGTTGCCATTGGGATGAAAATTTAATTTCTCTATATTTTCAGTTTGTAACTAAAAGTATTTCCCTCTCACACTTACTTCAGGGAAAACTTTAGCAAGGACAGTTATCTGGAGTAGATCTTTGTTATCTTGGTCTTACTACGGTATTCTTCCAAAGTAATAGTCTCTTTTTAAGATTCTCCATTTTAAAGAGATTCCTTGAGCTCTTTCATCGGTGGTGTTTATCTGCTTGTGTTTGTTTTTAACTTTTAAAAATAGAGCTGTTTGTTTATTGGGAAGGAGTATACCACTACAGGTGTGATGAGGTTAGAGGAAAACTTTTTTTCCTTCCATCTTGCGGACCCTAGGGATCAATTTTGGGTCGTCAGGCCCAGCAGCAAATGCTTTTGCCTACTGAATCATTTAGCCAACACTGCTTACCTTGAGTTTTCACCCCATTACCCAGGCTGACCTGCAGTCCCTGGGTTCAAGTAGCCTTCTAGCCCCTGAACATTGGGATTATAGGTGTCTAACAGCATGTCCGTCCTCCAGGACATGTCTTAGTGTCGGCCTTGGTTTCCATCTGGAGTGGTGTTGTTTGGGGCTTCTGAAAACTAGCTTTTCTTATTCTGACACTGAACTTAGTAGTCATTTTTATGAAATAAACAGTTCTCTGTTTCCATGTACTTCTGAAGCAGAGTTTAGCAATCTATTCTGTATTCTTCCAATTTGAATCTTAAAGTCGTAGGTTCAAATTTTGAGGGCCAGTGCTGAGGGAGAAATTACATAGATTTTTCTAGAAATTCACATGTTTTTGAGAAGCACTTTCATTTCTAATGATGTCAGTTGTTTTTTGTGGGGTTTGTTGTTGTTTTGTCCTCTCTGGCTTACATTCTTCTTTGTTTCTGTTACTTATGAAAATAAGCTGGCTAACAATAGAGACACTTGACATCAACCTCTCAGCTCCACATGTACGCATAAACATGTGCACATACAGCCATACACACACTTGTACATCTGCATACACCACAGATACACCCAGCAAACAAATTTAAAGGCTGAAATGTGGCTTTTCTGAATTAAGATATAGCTACAAAATCTTCATCAAATTTTGACTGTACTAGTCTGGATAATTTGAAAGACCATTAAGTCTTAATATGTAAACTATTTAACTGGACAAATTACAGCATATAGAATAGATGAATATACATATGTATGTATGTATCAAATTTCTAATGTAATATTACCTTATAACCTTTTTATTCTTTTAGATCTGAATAAACTTATAATACAAAATTCAATTTGATATAAACCAGTTCAGTTAAATTCAGTGTTCTGGCACAGTGGAACAACATAAAACAATGGTTGGCGTTTATGCATTGCTTGAGACACATCTTCGCAACAAAGTCTTTTCCTAGTGTGCCGTTTTAACTAGCTGTTAAAAGTAGTTAGCCTTTCTATGGCCGTGTCTTGTTGCCTCCCTTTCTTTTTCTAAAGTGTCTTTTTTAGATGAGTAGACATTTATAAGTTATAAGATACACTTTCCAGTCAGTATTTGATTTTTAATAAAGTATCTTGAGAAGAAGAAATTCTTCAGATGACTTCCTTTCACTCACAAATTGCTGCAAAAGTATCCAAAGCATTGACCTCTAGCACATACTCTAAATAGGGAAATCTTTGTTCTCTCTCTCTCTCTCTCTCTCTCTTTTTTTAAGTTTGAGCTACAGGAAAGGAAGCAGTCAGTAAGTTTCTTCTTCTCCCATATCTTTTGTTGTCTTCTGCTCTCTTCTGAGTTAACAGATATATTTTCTGCATCCCAAACTAATGAAAGGACACAGCTGTCTGTCTCTAAGCTGTAGCTGACCAGCCAGCTTCTGTCCCACATACTCCAGACTGCCTGTTTAAAACAGTGCCGAGCCATCCAGAGAAAACACATGCCAGGGTCTACACTTCCGTGTCTCACCCTCAGTTGTCACATTCTTTTGTGTAAATGGACTAAGGTTTTCTTTTTTCTTTTCTTTTCTTTTTTTTTTCTTTTTTCTTTTTTTTTTTTTTTGTTGGTTTTTTTGTTGGTTTTTCAAGGTAGGGTTTCTCTGTGACTTTGGAGGCTGTCCTGGAACTAGCACTTGTAAACCAGGCTGGTCTCGAACTCACAGAGATCCGCCTGCCTCTGCCTCCTGAGTGCTGGGATTAAAGGCATGCACCACCACCACCACCACCACCACCACCACCACCACCACCACCACCACCACCACCCGGCTGGACTAAGGTTTTCAAGAGACGATTTTTGCAAAGGGCTGTAGACTAAATGCTAAAGGCTTTTGTCATAGAACAAACACAAAGAAAAGGGAGAATGTAATTTAAGCAAATGTCTTTATTGCTGTTTAACTTTGAATCTCTCTCTGTCTCTCTCCGGGGTACAGTGGAGCATGATCTAGATCAGATTGACTACATTGACAGCTGTACTACAGAAGAAGAAGAAAACGATGCCAAACAGCCCAAAGGCTTGGATAACAGCAGTCTCAGCTCACAGTTCATGGCATACATTGAACAGCGGCGAATCTCCCACGAGGTAGTATCCATATTCTAGCCTACGGAAGTTAGTATCCTCTACGAAAACAATCTGGATGTATAGTTTGCAGTCGTCTATTGATCTAGGCCTATTTGTTTTCTTTTCCTTTCCAATTTTAGTCTTGGATTTTACAGATTTAATTTGGAAAAATCAGGAAGAAGTCTCAAAAATGGTTCAAATTTATTCTTCAGATAAGAAGGCAGATTTCCCTCATTTGAGGGTGCAGCGAAAGGAGAGGGAGAGTGACACCTGAGCATGACCTCAGTCCTTTGAAGAAAGTGCATGGAATAGGATACTTTTCCTTGTTACATTGTTTTGCTTTCTGGCTGGCTTTTTTTTTTCTTGATTGATTTTCTTTTTTATTATTGCTAACTATAAATCATAATTTGGTAGATAATTAATTAAACCAAGGTTGACTTTTGAGGAAACATTCAACTTACCCATAGAATAATAATAAGTTTAATTATACTGGTACTTTTCTCCTAAGTTAACAGAATATAAATTATTTGCTGTTAAAATTCTTGGGTGTCTCTTATAATGAAGCATTGAATTGCCTAAAATACAAGTAAGCATTCAGACCACTGTAGACTCTCTGCCAATTCCTCAAGGGTCTCAAGTAGAATAGCATTCTTCAATGTGTCTAGTCAGCATAGTAAAATGGCTTCATTTTAGTGTGTGCTGTGTTAATGTCTGGAGTTTGTCCCAGGCTCTGAGAAGGGGTTGTTTGAGGAACACTGGGGGTCTTTTTGAAGAATGATGTATTTAACTTAGAAATCAAGAATCACTTGCTTCAAGTGAAGTGCACTGTTTAAAAGAATCCTCTGACTCCTGTTTGAAGGCTTGTGAACACAGTCATTTTTGTTGCAGTTCAGAAGATACTTGTCTATAAAATCAGATAAAATCACATAAATCAAACCCTATAGCCGAGAGATGATGATAGACCAGTTGTTGATAAAACTGACCTGTGGTTCAAGCTTTTAGTCTCTGCTAGAGTCAAGAGTTACTTTCTAATAAAATTTAAATTAATAATGCTACATAGTACTCTTTAGAGAAATCTCTTTTCTTTTCCTGTCTTTCTTTAATCTTTATAATGTTAGGTTGTCTAAGTGCAGTGTGTCTGCAGAATGGAACAGAAACTGCTTACTGGCCTACTGAGCAATGTTGTATTACTATTTCCCTACCACATTGTAGAGGCTTCTTTTGTGTGATGTAGTTTTCTAAAACTGGGCAGTTTGTAAAGTATGATGCAGCAATGAAAGAGGGTAATGAGCTAACTCAGCATATGTAGATAAGCTTGCCAGTAAGTGAGTTCTGAGGTCTTTTCTGTTTGTTTTGTTTGTTGTTTGAGAGAGGGTCTCACTATAGAGTCCTGGCTGGTCTGGAACTCACTATATAGACCAGACTGGCCTCGAACTCATAGTGATCACCTGCCTCTGCCTCCCAAATACTGGGATTAAAGATGTGCACCACCACCTCCAGCTGCTCCAGTCCTTCTTATTCTGGCAATATTACTCAGCATAATCACTAATCTATACAGTAAGAAGAGAGCCTATTAAATAAATTAAATATTCATAGATTTTGCATATTTTTATTCATTAAACCCTATAATGCAGCCTACATGGTTTTCAGTGTGTGTTTGGTTTGGTTTGGTTCTGCTTTTGTTCATTTGTATGTATGTGAGTATGTCAGCACACATACCACAGTGCATTCAGGGAGCTCAGAGGACAACTTGTGGAATTGGTCCAGCTTTCTGTAGTTCTGGAAATTACACTCGGGTTTCTGGTTTGCACAGCAGCAAGTGTCTTCCACACTGACCCATCTCAGCAACCCTTGCTTTTAGTTTCTTGAGACACAGTCTTTCTGTCACCCAGGCTGTCCTCAAACTCAGTTCTTTTGCCTCCGCTTCTTGAGTGCTGGCATTATAGGCATGCACCAGCACAACCCTCTAACCTGCATGCTCCTAAACACAGCTCACAAAGGAAAAGTCCTATCAAAATACAGTTTCCTAAAGGTAAAAGTAATTAAAAATATAATTACAGCATTTTTGATATATTATGTGTTTTACATTTATTTACTGACTTTTTTCTTTTTGGTCTAGGGTACACCAGTAAAGCCAATACCTGTTAAAGAGTTTCAAAAAACAGAAGACATGAAAAGATACTCACATCAAAACAGGTTTGAGAAAGCAACTCTACTTAATTCTTTCTGTCTTGAAACTCAGTAATAAGACTGTGAATTGATTTTGGTTTTGTGCAGATGCAAATATAATGAAGACATTTGACTTATGTGGGCTTTTCATTTAAAAGTAGATAAGTCTGCATTTGTGCTTACACCATTGTAAAAATGGTTTATTGATTCCAAATCCAGACTACCTAAACCATTACTTTAGAATTAGTTGATTTGAAAGTACTTAGTAATAGTGAAATTTTGTAGTGATGGGTGTTTATGCATAGAAAATTTAAAGATTTTTCAGAAGCCCCACTTTTTAACTTAAATTTTTGAATGGGTAACAGAACAGATTACATGTATTTTCATTCTTCAATTTTGACAGTCTCTTCACTGTACTCAGTTTATAGACCAGACTGGTCTTGAACTCAGAGTTCCACCTGCCTCTGCCTCGTGGAATCAAAGGCATGCAGCACCACACCTAACTGATATGTCTGTTCTTAAATGACAGTGAATTTACTGTGTAGCATCTGTCATCCATCCGAGGTATTTATAACAAACAGCATGCTAATGCTGTCTCAGGAGCTATGATATAGATGGAATAAAGAAAATTCAGGAAGAATAATGCATAATTTTTTTATTATTTTATGGGCATTGTTGTTTTGTCATGGGTGTCAGGTCCCCTGGAACTGAAGTCACAGACAGTTGTAAGCTGCCATGTGGATTCTAGGACTCAAACTCGGGTCCTCTCGAAGGCAAGTCAGTGCTCTTAACCGCTGAGCCATCTCTTCAAACATAAAAATTTTATAACTTGGCCTTTTATATATTTCTTAGAGGTTTAGTTAAATTTTATATACTTTGAAATTTATCTCATAATGGATATGGTCATTTTTTAGAAATGCCCATTACGTACACACTTGAAGTATTCAATAAGCAGTTAGATACACAAGAGTTAGATACATAGTAGTTAGAGCCATGGAGAAATTGGAGCTTAAACAACTGGCAAAAAAGGCCGGGCGTTGGTAGCGTTGGTGGCGCATGCCTTTAATCCCAGCACTCAGGAGGCAGAGGCAGGAGGATCTCTGTGAGTTCGAGACCAGCCTGGTCTACAGAGTGAGTTCCAGGGCAGCCTCCAAAACAATACAGAGAGACCCTGTATTAAAAAAAAAAAAAAAAAACCTGGCAAAAAGCCCGAGGAGAAGCACTCATTAGGGTTGGAAGACAAAGGATAATGTTTGAAAGGCTAAAATGAAAAGGAAGATTTTAAAACTGGAGAAGGCTTTATTCTTCTTTTGTGCTGCATTCGAGGTAGCTGCCGTCTCTCTGGCAGCATCGTGGCTGCCCTCCAGCATCCGATGAAATCCAAGATCACCAAAAAGAGGACCAGTAAGTTCACTTAGCACCAGTTAGACTGATGTGTCAAAACTAAACAAAACTGGCAGAAAGCCAGATGTATTGACATTAGGGTGCAGAGAAGATCCAGGGACAAACTCTGGTGCCCAGCATCAGTAAAGGAGCACCAACATGCTCTCCAGCAGCTTCTGGAAGTGCCTGGTCTACAGTGACTAAGCTGGAAGTGCTGCTGATGTGCAACAAACCTTACTGTACTGAGATCGCTCACAGCCTTCCCTCCAAGAACCACTGGGCTGGGTGAGAACTAGGCCTGCAGCCTTGGGCAGAGCTTCACTGCTCAAGCAGCCCAGTGAATGTAAGACTTACAAAAGACTGAGTTTGGCTAGCTTCTTTTTTTTTTTTTTTTTTTTTTGGTTTTTTTTTTTTTTGGTTTTTACAAGACAGGGTTTCTCTGTATTGTTTTGTTTTAGAGGCTGTCGGACCAGCCCAGCCTGGAACTCACAGAGATCCTCCTACCTCTGCCTCCCGAGTGCTGGGATTAAAGGCGTGCGCCACCACCACCCGGCCTTGGCTAGCTTCTTAAAAGAAAGTTCAGTATAAAAGGAGGGTAAAGAAATATGGTAGGAACTGAGCAAGGCCTGGAATCCCAGGCACTCGGGCCTGCAGTAGAAGGATTGAAAGCCAATGCTAGTTTAGACAACTTAATGAGACCCTGTCTCTAAATGTGTAAAAGAAGACAGGGTCATGCAGTGTTGGAGTCCATCATTACCTTCTGTTTTAAAAATGAGATAAATATGGTAGAAGAAGGTATGCATTAAATGATTCAAAAACAGTGTTGAGGTGAGGAGAACACATAACCCTACTGGGGATGGATTTAGCTGGTCCTTTGTTTAAGTTCAGATCATCCACAGATGGCTAATAAAAGCTGTAGGAAGTTTCAGTCTTCAGAGTAGTGAAGCTGAGACAAAGATGTCACTAAGTCCTGTCATCCTAAACATGTAGTCATTCCAGTATGCTCTTATGGTCTGTGACGACCTTTAGTATCTTTTGTGTATGAATGAATATGTGTGTTTGGGAAGATGCAGTGTGTATGCAGATGTACATGAACATATGTATGTATGCATATAGAGGCCAGACAATCTCAGGTGTTGTTCCCTAGGAACACATACACCTTCCCAAGATGACTGTAGGTGCTACTAGCAGGTATAAGGCTGAGCCACCTCCAATGTGAGGGACAGTCTTAAAAATTATCTTATGTGGCCAGGTGGTGATGGTGCATGCCTTCAATCCCAGCACTTGGGAGGCAGAGGCAGGTGAATCTCTGTGAGTTCGAGACCAGCCTGGTCTACAAGAGTTAGTTCCAGGACAGCCTCCAAAGCCACAGTGAAAACCTGTCTCGAAAAAACCAAAGCCAAAAAAAAAAATTGCCTTATGTGAAATGTGAGTGATGCTGTTGTTGTTGTTGTTGAGACACATCCATGAGTGAAAAAAGAAAAAATCATGTGGCATGAAGTATGATAGTGACACACCAGGACGAACACCCGTCTTGATCTCCATCTTTAACTTCTCACAGCTTGGTTGTTGGCATTACAGGTTCGTGTTTCTTCAGTGTGTGCAGTGCTCCATTTGTTTGTTTGTTTGTTTTTGTTTTTTGAGACAGGGTTTCTCTGTGTAACAGCTCTGGCATCCCGGAACTAGCTGTGTAGACCAGACTGGCTTCAAACTCACAAAGATCTACCTGTCTCTACCTCCCAAGTGTCACCACCACTTGGTTTAGTCCTCCATTTTTAAGTCCCAGAGCATTTCCTTTTTCTGTGTTGAGTGGGGATAATAGAGGAGGAAGAGCTCTAAATTTCTCACTAGGAAGCTTGGGTTCTAGTTCAGGATCTGACATATGTGCCTACCATTAAGCCCCAAGGGGCTCATTTTTCTTAGTTGTAAAAGTAATGGCTTATACAGCAGAGTGCCCAAAGTCCCTTTCAATTCTCATAGGCTGCATGGTAGTTGAGAATATAAAATCAAATAGCAGGATTCACGTCTAACTTTACAACTTATAGACTGTGTCACTTTGGGAAGGTCACTGTTCCTATGGCTGAAATTCTTAGTTTTCAGCTGAGGATTATAGTAGTTCTTTGTTCATAGGATTATTGTGAGGCATAATCAAGAAACACCAAGTATGTGTGAAATACTTAATACAGTGAGTATGTAGCAGTTCATGGTAAGAACCCAATGAGTATGTGTTTCTGTTTGTCCAGAAAGGTGTTATCCCAAATAATGACATGAGCTTTATTTTATAAATGAAAAGCCTTGATTTCACAAATATATCAAAGGGGGAAGTCCTGGTCAACAAGATGACTCAGCAGGTAAATACACTCGCCATCAAGCCTGACAACTTCAGTTTAATACCAGGATCACAGTTGCAAGCAGAATACTGCATACATAATAAATAAGCAAATCTCTGAAAAACAAAACTAAAGGAAGAAAGGACCTTTTTGAGATGTTCTCCATAAATTGGAATCTGTCTTAGTTAGGGTTTCTGTAGCTGTGGTAAAGCATCACAATCAAAAGCAACTTGGGAAGAAAAGGGTTTTATTCACCTTAGTTTGTAAGACCATCAGTGAAGTAAGCCAGGCCAGGAAATCAGGTGGGGACCTGGGAAGTGGGAACTGAACAGAAGTCATGGAGTTGTGATACTTACTGGCTTGCTCGGCCTCCTTTCTTATGCACTCCAAAACTTCCTGTCTAGGAGTGGTATCACCCACAGTGGACTGAGCCCTCCCACTTCAAGCACTAAGAAATGCCACACTGGTGTGCCTGTAGGCAAATCTAGTGGGGGCACTTTCTCAGTTCAGGCTTCTTCCCAATGACATTAGCCTGTGTGAAGTTGACATTAAAACTGACCAGCACATAGTCTTTAGAAAAGACTTGAAATTTTGTCCTTAATATATGATAAGTTAAGATACTACCAGAGAAAATATAGGCACATTAAGTGGGGTGGTAGTCCTAAATGTCATATTAAAGAATTTGAGTCCCTGAGTTTGACTTCTAGCACTAGCAAGAAAAAAACAATTTTGTTTTTTAGGTGTTGAGACTATAAGAACTTAGGTTTGCTTCTGTTTACCTACTAGATTATTGATGTCAGTGAAGCACATATGATTTTAAGAGGCTAAAAAAATGTAACCCTACCTGAGGAAGAAAATAAATACCAAACTGTAAAATGGAGGAGAGTAGTGCTGTCTTTGTGTTTGTTAAGCATCACATAGAACCTCACCTTTTCCTTCAGAATGAAAATCAATAGAATCTTTACTTTGGTTGCATAAGATGCTCTGTAAGTGTAGTAGTCCCCAGGTTCTGCCGCAGCCCAGGTTTCTGTTGGTAAAATGGCTGTGTCCATCAAAAGATCTCAGTTTACACATCTTTTATTTCAGTGATGGTAGGAAACTGGGTAACAGCTCTGCATGTTACAAAAAAAATGATGCTGTTTGAAAAGTGCTCTCAACCAACCTTCACAAGTATTGACTGGCATAGACAGTGGTTAGCTAGCTATCAGTGATACCTTACATTATATGCAACTTGGAGATATCAGGTAGGCCTGTGGTTTAATGTAATTTCTTGGGCTTAAGTTTACAAAATGCAGTTACTCTTTCAATGTTGACTCAACAGGTTGCGTACTGATTGACAGAAACGTCTGTAAACAATGAAAATTTCACTTGTACCTTATCTTGTTGTCAGCGAGTTCTTATTTTTCTTTTTGTGACCCAGGGTTCCAGTTGAGTCATCATCTGTGTTATCACTGCCACCAAGTCACAACCAGGTAAGTTTTTTTTAGCGATTAGATTTTGTTCTTTTGTTTGTTTGTTTGTTTGAGACAAGGTTTCTCTATGTAGCCCTCGTTGTCCTGGAACTCACTTTGTAAACCAGGCTGGCCTCAAATTCACAGAGATCTGCCTGCCTCTACCTCTGGAGTGCTGGGACTAAAGACATGAATGGTGGGTTCCTGGGATTGAACTCAGGTCATTAGGTTTTGGTGGCAAGCACCTTTACTGACTGAGTTTTCTTGCCAACCCAGTTTTCTTTTATAATACTTAAACTGCCATTAATTGTCAGATATCTGTAAGTCTTATTATTTGTCTTCTCAGTTCATATAGCATATGGACATGATAGTTCCTGCTTTCCCACATACAAGAACAGTGAATTTTTTTCCTTTTTTTTTTTTTTGATACAGGGTTTCTCTGTATTGTGAATTTTTTTAATGTTAGTAATACAAAGTAAAACTTGAGTTAGCATCATTCTTTATATTCATGCAGGTTACTGACATGCTGACCCTTATCCTCACTTGTATGTCCCAAATGAAACCTCTCTTGCAGCTTTCGCATGTAGACTTGGACCTTCATCAGAGGAGAGAGCAGTTGATCGAGTGCACTCGGAGAGAGGCACAGCTTGCAGCACTGCAGTACGAGGAGGAGAAAATAAGAACCAAACAGATTCAGAGAGATGCTGTCCTGGACTTTGTCAAAGTAAGTCCTTTACCATCATTGATACTCTTGAAGTTAGGAGAAGTAAATGTAAATTCATTTTGCCAAGACTGTCTGTTATTGTTGCCTTAATTAAAGGGTCAATTGTTTCTCTCATAAGGAATCGCAACTAAAGATAGAGTGACTGTCTCCCATAGCCATAGTTGTGACCGAGTCTAGACCAGAAGAAACCATTACCATGACCACCTTACTATGGGGCTGCTGGCTCTCCCATCTCAGGTGTAGTAAAGATCATGAAAGTGGAAGTACCATGTGAATGTCAAACTGTTATCAGACAAACCTGTCTTCAGATTTTTCCTGTAGGAAATGCCGTTGACATGCTGCCAGGCTTCGTTCTTCATGGTCATTGATTCTTTCTGTCCTTCCTGTTACCATATCTGCTCAGTAAGGACAACCATTAATGTTTCTAACATGGATTTTTTTGTTTGTTTGTTTTTGTTTTTTGAGACAGGGTTTCTCTGTATTGTTTTGGAACCTGTCCTGGAACTTGCTCAGTAGACCAATCTGGCTTCAAACTCACAGAAATTCACCTGTCTCTGCTCCCGAGTGCTGGGATTAAAGGCATGTGCCACCAAAGCATGGCCTAACATGGATATTTCATTGCATCTGTAGTGCAGGCTGAGAACTATGAAAAACAAATATTGATTGTATGGTTTGTTTTTTTCATTTTGAAATCACCTTGGAATTATTAAGTGACAAATACTTAATAGTTAGGTATTTATAATTTTGTTCACATAATATGTCTCTCTCATTCATTTGCAAACTTCAAGACAGGAACTTTGTGTTTTACTTACTAGAACTTAGCAGGTTTGAGTCTGTAGAAAAACTCAGAGACTTTTGTTTAATGAGTCATTCTTGCCTAGAAAAGTTTCTCTCCTGTGTTTTAGGATTTTAGACTGAGACCATCTTTTGAAAGTATTCTCTGCATTTTATTCTATTGTTTATGTAAATCCTTCCTTTATATTTATTTTGCGTGAGTTTTGTCTGCATGTATGTATGTGCATGTGTGCTGCATGCATGCCTGTGGCCCTTGGATGTAAGAAGGTTTCAGACCTTTTGGAACAGAGTTGTAGGCTGCCATGTGGTTGCTGGGAACCAAACCCAGATCCCCTGCAAGAGAAGTGCTCTTAACCACTGTGCCATCTCTCCAGTCCTGTCCCCCGTTTGTTTTGATTTTTTTTCCGAGTACTCGCTCTGTAGACCAGGCTGACCTGGAACTCAAGAGATCTACTTGCCTCTGCCTCCCAAGTGCTGGAATTAAAGATGTGTGCCACCATACCTGGGCCTGTCTCTTTCTTCATTTACTCTTCCCAATAATCTTATAGAAAAGAATTATCATTATCCTCTTTTTATAGGTCAGAAAATTGAGGTTCATGAAGGAAAATAGCTTGCCTGAGGTACTCAGCTAGTAATAGAATGGGAATTCTAATAAAGCCAGCTAGTTCTGAAGACCTACTCTGACCAGACTGCTGTGTGGCCTCTCAGTAATCCATAGTGACTAATGTACCTCAGTTGCTATTGTTAACTTATTTAGCTTGTCTTCTGTAGAAGCTTGGCAGCTAGTAGGAGGTAAATAGTCATATTATCGGATTGATCAAAATAATTTCCCAAGAGTTTGATCTATTAGGCAGAAGAAAGAAATTAGAAGTTCTTAGGTAGGAAAAAAAAACATGAGAAGAAAGATCCTTCTGAAAAACCCATTTTCTCATATTAGAACAGTCTAGAAAGAAACAAAAGGAAAAAATGGTGTAGAAAGTAATTGGACTGGTACAAAATGAAGGAGTAATCTCTAAGCTTGGTTGGCGGAATTGTCAAGGAGATAGAAGCATTTGCGTTTGTGCCTACTGTTTGCTTTTCTGAGCTATTCTGTGCCCCCCATATGTATGATATTAAACTTATAAGTCTATTATTAATTTTAATATTACCATGACAGGCATTGTGCCCTTTGTAAATTAGGCATATGAGAAATTTCTGAATCGATGAGTGCTGAACAATGAATAAATCATTAGAGATAAATGTAGAAAGAAATATGTAAAGCCACTTGAGTGAATGAGTTCATGAAAATATTCGGAATGTGTATGTGTAGTTTTTAATTTTTTCTATTTATGTTTATAGAGGTATGATAGTATAGTTTGTTGCTGTTCTTCATTTAAACTAAAATGTTTAAAACAGGATCAAAATTTCCTTAACTAGTAATTACAAGAAATAAATTAATGTGATCTATTTAATTAATGTATAAGTTCTAGTGTTGAGATTCTAACTAGCTTCCTCTTTCTGGGCATATAGCAAAAAGCATCACAAAGTCCACAGAAACAGCAACCCCCTGGAGATGGTGAGGTAAGGCCATATAATTACTTTTTCTTGGAATTTATTATTTTTGCAATGGAAATGAATGTTTGGCATATGATTATCACATGTTTAAATGATCAAAAAATACTCGTTTTGGCTGGTGTGGTGACACATGCCCATAATTCCATCATTAGTATAGCAGAGGCAGGAGGCCAAAGAATTCAAGACTAGCTAGGCTACATAGTGAATTTTGGGCTAGCCTGAACTATGTAGAGAAATTCCCATCTCAAACCAACCTGCTTCCCAAAATTGTCTTTTTCCCCCACCACAAAATTCTACATACGGCCAGGTGGTGGTGGCAGCACAGTCCTTTAATCCCAACACTTGGGTGGCAGAGGAAAGCAGATCTCTGTGAGGTCGAAGTCAGCCTGGCCTACAGAGTGGATGTCAGGACAGGCTCCAAAGATACACAGAGAAGCCCTGCCTGGAAAAACCAAAAACTAAATAAAATTCTACGTAGGAAGGAAAATAAGGTACAGGATAAGGAAGGAGGTTATGAGAACATACAGGTTAGGGCTGCCTAGACAACCATCTAGAGATTACAGCCCCTCCCTCACCTGCAGCCTGAGTCATCCTTTGTGGTGCCTCAGTGCTTATCTCCGTGTTATAACTCATGAATGTTAGTTCTGGGTCAGCCCATACAGTTCATTACACATAAATACTCAAACCTAACTGCTTAACTGTTTAAATTTTTGTGCCTAATTTGGTCTGCTAAAATGAAGATCATTAAATGAATGTTATTTTAGTATAGCCGACTTTCGTACTGAGCAGGTTCCGTTATTTTTACCTCCTTTATTTTCAATTTATGACTATTGATTTATTTGACTTTGTAAAGTACAGTATTTGAAAACTTAACATAAGGTGGGCAGGGTGACTCAGCAAGTAGGGCTCTTTCTGCCGAGCCTGATGACCGTCTGAGTTTAATTCTCCAGAGCCAGTGAGTAGAAGATGGCAACTGACTCTTCAGTGTCCTCTGACCTTCACGTGTGTGTGTGCCGTGGCACACTCACTCACACACTCACACACACACACTCACACATACACACACACTCGCTCTCTCTCTCTCTCTCTAAGTAAACACATGTAACACCTAATGTGAAGCTTTTTTGTAATAGCACATGGTTTTTCAAGCACAGTTCTTAGTAACTATTTTGATTTACTTTTATATAAATACTTTGTATGTAGGTATGAGACCTTAAAGAGTCATTCATATATTTTCAGTTGTCCTTTTTTCACAGAGTGATAATTATACAAACTTTTAACAACCAAAGTTTGATGAACTTAATACATTTTTTTACTTCAACCTTTCTGTTTTTGTTTCTCTTTTCTTTTTTTTTCCCCCTGCTCTTGTTTGAGATGATGCTCCAAGTAGCCTGGTTAGGATTCAAACTCACCATGAAAGGTGATGAATTTGAATTCTTGCTCCTCCTGTCCCCACTTCCCAAGTGTTTCCTGCCAGTATACCAGCTAACACATTCCCTTACTTGTCTGAGAAAGGCAATGAAAAGATGCCTTGACTGGAAATCATAATTCTTAGGTCTACTTTTAATTTGTTATTGGTTTACAAAATGTCCACAGATTTCCTTATGCTATAGCTGCATCAGTACCTCAGTATTCTCTTCTATGAGCAGAGTCAGCCCCATGCCTGAGCTTGGGGTGTGTAGGCAGTAAGGTCTCATTTGAAGTTGCAAAAGGGCTCTAGGAGGAAGTCAGGACTCAAAATGAACTTACTGACTATGATGGTTCATGAACTACAGGTGATGCATGTGGTCCTGTGTGTCAGCATCTTTGGAAATATGCCTTCATATGTTGCTTTCCTGTGTATGTATTTGTGAAATGTGTCACTTGTGTACATCGTTTGTTTTTGACATTGCTTCATTTTCTTCACCTTCCCAGTGTCCCTTCCCATCCAGAAGGTCTCAGCACACTGATGATAGTGCCTTGTTAGTGGTAAGAGAATGTGCACAATGGAGTTCATGTTGTTTCCAGCTGTTGTGCTTTCCCTCAGAATTGATGTAAATACCATAAAACATGATGGGTACCATCACTAAATGCTTTACAGATAACCAGAACTGCCTCTTTCCATTAACTTTGTGATCTTTCCAGTGCTTACCAAGGGAAAAATCTGCATTGAGAACCTTACTTGCTTTATATGTGATAAGACATAATGTCATAATTAGTTTTAATGCCTTTTCTAATTTTGAGGGCATCTTGTTAACCATTAATTGGGCTCATGAATCACCCCTGTGTGTTAAATGGAGTCCCGCACTCCATGACACTAATTATGTGTGGCAACCCATTTATCGTGTATTTGTTTTTTGTTATTTTCATTTTTACAGAATGTCCTTCTACCCCCTTGCAGTATCACACATGCACACTGGCACTAGAAAAACCCACTGGTTGTAGAAGTGGGGACAAAAACTTTATCTACAAGCTTAAAGTTTAAATACTTACATTTGAAGATTGTTCTTCCATGCTCATTTTTAAGTCAGGAATTCATTAACTGATGGTTTTAAATACTGCTCTACTTAATTGCCTGCTGCTTCACCCACCTGCAGTGACTGGAACATGAAGGCTTCATTTCAAGAATTCTAACCATTTACAAAATTGCTTTTCCCATCATGTTTTATGATTTTATTTTATAGTAAAACTTCCATGTCTATAGCACCTCCTCTCTTAAGTGCTAGAAACTGCCATCGTGTGTGCTGTGCAAATTAAAGGCGTCGATGTAAAGGTCTTCACAGTGTAACTTGCATTGTTGCTCACATTTCTCTGTATTCTGCCATCTTCGTTTCTGTTAAGATGGATAAAGTACATGTTAAGTAAGCAGTCTTAAAAGTGACCCTGATGATGAGTCTCTGGAGTATTAGCAGAAATTAACTGCCACAAGGAGTGAAAACAATTTATAATGAGGGTCTCTGATGCTACTCCCCCGCCCCCTTCAGTTCTCACAGCCACCTTATTAAGGAACTCCCTGCTACTGATTTAGTGAGGCAGAGATTTCCTTACCCAGGTGTGGCTTGTCCAAGGTTTCGAGCTGCTAAATCCAGACCTGGATTGAAATCTACATCAGACTAATCCAAGGCCTGTAGTAAATACCCATGCTGGATTGCCCTTCATGCTAAAGCTGAAGGCATGACAGGAAGCCAAGGAGGAGATTTAATAGCACATAGAGTAAGTGATAAAACTCTGAGTGTCCAGACACTTTTGTCAAAGAAAAAGTAAAATTTGGAAAAAAGTAGCAAAATGCCCTTAGCATGAAGTCTGAAATAGCTGTTAGCCATTGTCAAAACAAAATCTTACATTTTGGCTGTTGGCCTGATTTCCTGAATTAGATGGCCTTGAAAACAAGTACTTTTGGGTGTTGTAATGTGCTTCAGTATTTCCAGCTCTTAAGAGGCTGGGCATAGCAAGAGTTTTGCCTCAAGTTCAAGGCCATCATGGACTGCAAGCCTAGTTCAAAGCATGCTTGGACTGTGTGACAAGGTCCTCAAAAACACCCAAATAGATTTTTTTATAAAAGCAAAGTTTACACTTTTTTATATGATAAACAGCATCATGCCAGGTGGTGGTGGTAGACGCCTTTAATCCCAGCACTCGGAAGGCAAACAGGTGGATCTCTGAGTTCAAGACCAGCCACTACAGGACAGGCTCAAAGCTACACAGAGAAACCCTGTCTCAAAAGTACAAAAAACAAAACAAAAGCTGGCAGTGGTATTCTGGCTACTCTGTCTCTATCCTTATCTCTGGGCTCACTCTAAATCATCATCATCATCTCCTTCTTCTCCTTCTTCTTCGTCTTCTTCTTCTTTTTTCTTCTTTCTTCTTTCTTCTTCCTTTTCTTCAAATCTGAAAAGTCCTGTTCTCAGATCTTTGTAATGCTATTCTCTCTGCATGGACTGCTTTCTTCTCTACCTACACTCTTTGATTGATCCGTACTCGTTCATCAAGGATCTGCTTAAGCATCCCATCTTTGAAATGACTTTTATGGGGCCAGAGAGATAATTCAGCAGTTAAGAGCACTTGCTGCTCTGCAGATGACTCCAGTTCGGTTCCCAGCACCCACATGGTGGTGGCTCACAACTGTATGGGACTCCACTGCCAAAAGATGTGATGCCCTCTTCTGATCTCCAGCAGGCATCAGGCAGGCACATGGTACATATGGTAGACACACATACATTAAGGCAAAACACTCATAAATCATTATAGAGAGAGAGTTGGCGAGGTACTGTGATCATGAAGAGATGTCTTAGTGGGTAAAATACTTGCCTTGCATGCGTAAAGACCTGTGTATTATTTCAGCACCCTCTTTAAAAAGCCTGGTATGGTGGTGCACACTTGTAATTGTAGTACTAAGGCCATGCCGGTGGATCCCTGGGATTTGCTGACCAACTAGCCTGGCCTATTTGATAAAGCACTTGTGCAAGGGTGAGGACCTGAGTTGGAGTCACTGGGACCCATGTAACACTGGATACCCCTGTGCTGCTGTAGTGAGACTGAATGCAGACAAACTCTCTGTAACCTGATTATGCAGCAGCTGATGACACTTCACCATCCTTGAAATTCTGGACATTTGGAGTTTCACAGATGCAGAGATGAAATGTGGAGTCATCTTTACGGTGTGAAACAGAGCCCTAATGTCCTGCCTCTTCTCCAGTACAACTTGGATTAATGTTGAAAAATATTTTGATTTATTCCAGACCTGCTTCTTTAAAATTGGATTCTCTGATGGTATTTATTTCCCCTTTTATAGAACAATAGAAGACACATTAGTTTCAAAGCTATTTTGCTAAAATGATAGATGTCTTAAGTTTTATTTCCATGTGAAATAGTTTTTTATTAAGAAATTCCTCTTTTTTATTACAAGATGTCTCTATGAGAAACATGAGTTCTGAAACATTTCTTTGTCTTCATATTTTCTGTGATTTATTAGCAGCTATAAAACTAGAATAATGCTTCTTAATTCTAGATTAATGTGGTCTGAGCTCATAAGAGTATTCTGAATTGTATAGGTGGAAAAATTCTGCTGTGTATTGATTACATGATGCAGTTTTTCTGCAGCTTTTCTCTGTCGGCCCTATTAGTATCTTAGTAAACAGTTTAAATTTGTTGATGGCCTTTCCTCTGGTCATTTTACTGCTTGACTTTGCCTGCCTGGCATTTGCTAACTTAGATGCTGCCTTCTGTTTCTTCCTCGTTTGAAATCTAGTCGCTGTCAGGCATGGATCGAGTAAGCTGCGTGGACACCCTGCCTCATTCTTCTGCCTTCACACCTCTCAAGGTATCTCTTAGTGCACTAATGCACCAGGAAATTCCAGGAGTGGGGCAGGGGGTGTACAAGGGGGACTTACATCAGGGGATTGGAGTAACAGCAAGGCAGACTCAGGGATCTCCTGAAATACTTCCCTAAGGTTAGGGAAGTATTAGCCCTAGTTTCACCTGTCTTGGCAAGTTTTACAGTGCCAAAGCTAGTCAGAACCAGCATCAACCATTTACATGCAGACTCCATGTGAAAGGTCACTCTGACTTTGTGCTGGAGGTTATTTGCTTCGGTTAATACAGACTGTCAAATTAATTCTGTCACCTAATACACAATTAAAATAATTTGTCTTCACTCTGCACAAGTGTATTTGCCAAAAACCTCTATAGCAGTGTTTCTCAACTTGTGGGTTTTGACCCCTTTAGTAGTTGAATGACCCTTTCACAGAGGTTGCATATCAGATATACAGATATATATACAAATATAATCAGATTTACATTATGATTCATAAAGTAGCAAAATTGCCATCATGAAGTAGTAACAAAAATAAGTTTATGGGTGGGGGTCACAATAACATAAGGAACTATATTAAAGGATTGCAGTGTTAGGAAGGCTGAGAACTGCTGCTATATAGGAAAGACTAACCAATGGTGACCTCTGGGCCACCTGTGTTTGTGTATTAGTTACTTTTCTCATGCCTATGACAAAATATCTGACAAAAATAACTTAAGGGAGAAGCACTTCTTTTGCCTTGTGATTTCAGTCCATAATCATGGATGGAAGATGTGGTGGACGTCACAGTAGTGAGAGTGTGTGAAGGAGCTACCTCGTGTCTTAGCAATAGGATTGGAAAGAGGACTGGAAACAGGACCAGGTTAGAACCCTCACATAAGTGGAACCTGTTCCGATTATGAAAAGCCCTGTCTCCCTCCTTAGAACTCTATTTTGGTAGCATTATCATTTACCCAATAGCAGAATGTTTAATCCAATTAGCAAAATCAACACCATCATTCCAGTAGTGATTCCTCTGTGCACAGTAAATGTTGATAAAGCAGATTTGATAAAACAGATTTTAAAAGCTTTCCAGAACTGGATGGTGGTGGCACACACCTTTAATCCTAGTATTTGGGAGACAGAGGGGTCTCTTGAAGTCAAGACCAGCTTGGTCTCCAGAATCAGTTCCAGGACAGCCAGGGAAACCCTGTCTCAACAAACAAATGAGCAAACAACCACAAAAAGTTTTCTAGAAAGTGTGTCTATGTATCTATGCATCTGTAGCACATCCTCCCTCCAGGCTAGATGGTCTAGTAGCTGAAAAGAGTCTTCCTGCTGATGATGTAGGAGATGAGGAGAAGGAGGACTAGCCGTGCCAGGGTACTGCCCACAGCAGTAAGAATCAGCATGTAGTTTCCACCTTGCACACATTCTTCCACAGACCCGAAGCTGTCAGTTTCAACTGTGAAAGCCTAGACTTGAATGCTGAAGACATCAAGGGAAATGCGTTGGTTTCATAGATGTGTTCCACAGTGTTGCACTTCTGTGTTCTTGGTAGTAGCCTTCAATGCTATCCATGAACTGTCAGCCATGCTTAATGTGGGCTCTTTGGCATCAGGAAGAGTCGTGTGCAGCTGGATTCCTCACAGAAAAAACAAGCTAGAACTTGGATTCTTCCCAGGCTGAAATTCCAGGACATCCTTCCCCATCTACACTTTCAGGGCCATCATACCAACATGCATCTCCCACTAGATCTCATTTGGTTTGATGTTGAATGCTCTGGTTACCAAGTAGGTAATGGCCAGCTGCAGAGCCATAGTTGCCGAAGGCAGATTCCATTGTCACCAGCACAGAAGGATTTGTGGGCACATGAGGTGGCAAGGAGCTGGACTGTACAGTGGTTACAGAAGTGAACATTTCTTTTTTAATTAGCTGAACATTGTTTCCTTTTTGCAGATAAACTTTATATCCATTTAGTTACTGCTCCATTTTTACACTTTTGTCAATGAATTCAAAATGTTAGGACTTGAGCCAGTATGGTGGCACACTCCTTTAATCCTAGTAGTCTGGAGGCAGAGGCAGGCAGATCTCCATAAATTTGAAGGCAGCCTGGTCTATGTAGAGTTCCAAGAAAGTCAGGATTATATAGAAAGCTCCTGCCACATAAAACCAAAAAGAAAATGTTTGTACCCAAATATTCTTGAAAATACGTGTCATTTTCTATATGTGCGTGCATGCGTGTGTGGTGTTGTGGATTGAACCCAGAACATGTTATATAAGCCATCTACCACTAAACCACACCCCAGCAATTATCTATCATGTTTTAAATATATTTTTAACAGAATTTAAGAAATGGTCATTACACTTTAAGATTGCATTTTACTCTCTAAAGAAAAAATTGTACTCTGGGCGTTGGTGGCGCACACCTTTAATCCCAGCACTCGGGAGGCAGAGGCAGCCCGGTCTACAGAGCAGGTTCCAGGACAGCCTCCAAAACAATATAGAGAAACCCTATCTCGAAAAGAAAAAGAAAAAAGAAAAATTTGTACTTAGGAAACTATATTAGCTCTCACTCTCCAGTTTGCACTGTGAGTCTTCCTGCTGCTCCATTGCCCAGTCATTTGCAGATTGCAATGGAAGAAGAAATTGCCGCCCCTCGCCATTGACAATGGCTCAGGCATGTGCAAAGCTGGCCTTGCTGACAACGACGCCCCCAGAGCCATGTTCCCTTCCATCGTCAGGCACCCCCCCAACCCCCGCACCAGGGCATCATGATGGGCCAGAAGGACTCGTATGAGGGTGACAAGGCTCAGAGCAACAGAGGTATCCTGACCCTGAAGTATCCCATCGAGCACGGCATTGTCACTGACTGGGATGATGTGGAGAAGATCTGGCACCACACCTTCTACAATGAACTGCGTGTGGTCCCTAAGGAGCACCTGGTGCTTCTGACTGAGGCCTCCCTGACCCCCAAAGCTAACAGAGAAGATGACACAGATGATTTTTGAAACCTTCAATACCCCAGCCATGTACATGGCCATTCAGGTGGTGCTGTCCCTGTATGCATCCGGGTGCACAACTGGCATTGTCATGGACTCTGGTGACAGGGTGACACATACAGTGCCCATCTACGAGGGCTGTGCCCACGCCATCTTGCATCTGGACCTGGCTGGCTGGGACCTGACAGACTACCTCATGAAGATCCTGCCTTAGAGAAGCTACGGCTTCACCACCACGGCTGAGCAGGAAATTGTGCATGACATTAAGGAGAAGCTGTGCTATGTTGCCCTGGATTTTGAGCAGGAAATGGCTACTGCTGCATCCTCCTCCTCCTTGGAGAAGAGCTATGAGCTGCCTGATGGGCAGGTGATCACCATCAGCAATGAGCGCTTCCAGTGTCCAGAGGCGCCTTGCCAATCCTCCTTCTTGGGCATGGAGTCCTGTGGCATCCATCAGGAAATGTGGCGTGGACATACGCAAGGACCTGTATGCCAACACAGTGCTGTCTGATGGCACCACCATGTACCCAGTCATTGCTGACAGGATGCAGAAGGAGATCATAGCTCTGGCTCCCAGCACCATGAAGATTAGAATCATTGCTCCCCTGAGCGCAAGTACTCAGTCTGGATTGGCGGCTCCATTCTGGCCTCACTGCCCACCTTCCAGCAGATGTGAATCAGCAAGCAGCAGTATGACGAGTTAGGCCCATCCGTCGTGCATCACAAATGCTTCTAGATGGACTGAGCAAGTGCCAGGCTGTCGCACCTGTTGTGTAGCCTGCATCCGAGAATGTAGCGAGGTGGTCGGGATAGATGACACAGAGACTGGTCGGTTTCTTTAAGAAAACTTTATGCTTCCCAAGTCAGCTTAGGAGGAGTCTCCCCAAGAAAAAAACGCTTCCCTTTTTAAGGACTTCTGCCATCCATCTACATACAATTCTCCAACAACTCTCCCAGACTTCTCACCCTCCTGGCTGGTGGTTTAATCTCCGGCCCCAGAATCGGGGGAGAAACAGCAGGGGGAACAGGAAGAAGCATCTAGCCGTAGGGGGTGTCAAAGTCATGGTGTTTCAGTGAGCGAGCCCTTAACTGAGCCCTATCAAGAGCTTTATAGCACTAAATTGTTTTCAGTAAACATTATCTCACAGCTGTCTGCTCCCAGGCCTAAGGGGAAGTGGATCTCTGTTCAAGGTCTGGTGTCCCCACACCAGGCATCTGCTGATTCTGAAGTATCAATTGCCCTGGCAATTGTACACACCTCATGCTAGCCTCATGAAACTGGAATAAGCCTTTGAAAAGATATTTGTTCTTGAAGCTTGTATCCAGTGTCAGCACTAGATGGTAGAACTTGTTGCTGATTTTTGACTTTGTATTCAAGTTAACTGTTCCCTTGGTGAATGTTTAAAACCCTGTGCATATCTTGATTTAGTCCTTAGTCATGTGGCTCGGTCACTTGGTGCCTGGGGAGAACACCCTGTGGAAGAGAAATCCCCAGCCTGGTGGATCTGTGAGCACCGTGCAGTGATCTGTACAGAGTATTAACCAACAGGATTTCTCAAGGCTGGCAAGGGTTCCTGAACCAGTTACCACTTCTGTCTTGCCGGTCTAACAGGGTGGGAAAGTCTGAGCCTTAGGACCTAGTTTCCGTCCTGGTGTTTTCCCTCCTGACCACCGTGGGTTGTTACTTGCCTTGAGTTGGGAACGTTTGCATTGACACCTGTAAATATATTCATCCTTTTAATTTATATAAGGTTTTTTTGTACTCAGTTCTTTAAGAAATGACAAATTTTGGTTTTCTACTGTTCAGTGAGAACATTATAGGCCCCAGCAACATTGTGTTAAGAAAAATAAAAGTACAGCAGTTAAGAAAGAAAGGAAGGAAGAAGAAAGAATGAATGAGTGAATGAGTATTAGAGCTGGGAGATGGTGGCGCATGCTTTTAATCCCAGCACTCAGGAGGCAGTGACAGCCAGATCTCAGTGAGTTTGAGGCCAACCTGGTCTACAAAGTGAGTTTCAGGACAGCCAGGACTGCTACCCAGAGAAACCTTGTCTTGGAAAAAAAACAAGAGCAACAACAAAACCTATATTAGAGGGGCTGGAGAGATGGTTCAGTGGTTAAGAGCACTGGCTGCTCTTCCAGAAGACCAGGATTCAATTCCCAGCACCCACAGGGCAGCTCACAACTATTGTAACTCCAGTTCCAGGGGATCTGATACCTTCACACAGACATGTATGCAGGCAAAACACATAATGCACATAAAATAAATAAACTTTTAAAAAACAAACCTATATTAGAAAGTAAGGTTTCTCTTTCTGGTGTATTTCTCAATAGCCATTTTTGCTTTAGGATGGTCCTTTCCCACATTGTTTGGAGAAGTCAGATCTTTAGAGAATGCATTACATAAACACAACTAAGCAAAAGAATTGCCTTTTTTAAAAAAAGTAGAAAATCTATCAATTTCACTAAACTTTCATTTCTAGACTTGGTTTTGAGGGGAAAGATGCATAGCTTTCTTAGTATTCCCGAAGTTACTAAAATGTCAAAACTGTACTTTCTTGGGTAGTAACTGTTGATATTGTCTGTTTCTCCACAGAGTGATGACAGAGTTAATGTCACCTCAAGCTTTCCTGCAGCAGAGACAGGTAATAGACACAAAAGTGCTGTATCTAATGGGTTTTTGGGGGGGGAAGGAAGGAGGGGGGACAGTCTTGTTATATAATCGAGGCTAGCCAGAACTCATGGTTGTCCTGCCGTCCTCCCAAGTACTAGGATTACTTCAGGCACCTGTCACCAGGCTTACCACACCACAGTTATTCTTTACCAGGATTCTCTGTGTGTGTGTATGTGAGAGACAGACAGACAGACAGACAGACAGACAGACAGACAGACAGACAGACAGACAGACAGACGTGAACGTCTCACGTGACCCAGCCTGGCTGTTACTTGGTGTAAAGATAAGGAACCGTCTGGTCCTCCTGTTTCTGCCTCCAGCTGCAAAGCATCAGCTATGCCCCCGAGCCTGGTTCTGATAGTGCTGGGGAGCAAACTGATCAAACCCAGGGCTTTATGAATGCCAGGTAAACACTACCAACTGAGTCACAGCCCCAGCCCTCTTTACTAGGATTTCATTTTTTAATAGTTAGCTATTTGGTAAGAAAAAATGAATGGGAATTAGTTGGGCTATAAAATTGTAAGAGTGTATTAACTTTTAACCTGCATTTGTTGATGTACTAAAAATAACTTTTAAAATAAATAAGCAGCTTTTCTTTTATGCATGAGAGTTTTTAACTAATGAACAGAATCATCACTTTATATCATTGCCATGTTTGATTTGATTTTCCTTTTGTGCTATTTATGAGATTTTTGTGACATTTGTCTACATCGTCTTTGATTTACTTCCCATTTCCTTTAACATCATCTTGCTTTTCCATGCTGATATAGTCCATCATTCCCCTGCATATTCTTTTCCTGCTGCCACCCAGAGAAATCAGCCCCAGCGCCCTGAAAGCTTCCTTTTCCGAGCTGCTGTTAGGGCAGAAACTAATAAAGGTGAGTGGTAGCGATTTTAAAGGCATGGCAGAGCGGGGGATGGCTTTACACAGTGACATGACCTCTTCCATGCTTCTCAGTTGCACACCTAGCTGCATCTTGGCAAAAGTTAGCTCTGCAGTGTGTGTAATCTCACTGACATTAAGTCGGGAGTATCTTGGGTTTTTTGTTTGGATTAGAAACTTTCTTAGTACCATTTAAAATATATTTTATAGTGTTTCAACTGTGCATGATGGGTACATACCTATAATCCCTGCATTGAGGAGGCAGAGGCAGAATTGATTTTAAAGCTAGCCCAGGCTATATCACAAGATCCTGTCCCAAAAGCCAAAACCAAAAACAGATTGAACAAATAAAGAACATTCTTCCCCGCCAGTGGTGGTGCATGCCTTTAATCCCAGCACTCAGGAGGCAGAGGCAGGAGGATCTCTGTGAGTTTAAGACCAGCCTGGTCTACAAGAACTAGTTCCAGGACAGCCTCCAAAGCCACAGAGAAACCCTGTCTCGAAAAAAGAAAAAAAAATCCTTCCCTTACTATGAACTCTTTCTCAGATCTTTTTGTATTGACAAACTATTGAACTTTTATGTACCTATTATCAGCAGTTTTACTTTGAGAAATATGCACATGTGTAGAACAAAAGATAGACATAAAAACATTCATAGCAACATTATTTATAATGGCGCCAAACTGAATGTTCTTAAGTAGGAAGGGGATGAACACTGATTTATCTATATAATGAAATGTCATAAAAGTAATAAGATGATACATAACAACAGTACTGATATATCTAGAATGTACAGTACTGATAGATATCTTTAGTGTTGATCAAAAGAAGCCATACACAAAGAATACATACAGCATGGTTTAGTTTATAGGCATTTCTCAAAAATGGACAAAATAAATCTTTGGTGCTTAAAGTGAGGATACTGATACTCTGTACTCTAATGGACAGAGAACATGCAAGTAAATCAAACTTGTAGCACTTAGTCATTTAATTTTGTGAGGATAACTTATTGGCCTCTATTTAGAACTGGGTAATTTTACATATATCTCGTATTTTTCAATAAAAACATTTGTAAATGAATGTAATTCAAAATGCCATTATAATTGCTTTTTTTTTTTTTTTTTGATTTTTCGAGACAGGGTTTCTCCTTATTGTTTTGAGGCTGTCCTGTCCTGGAACTAGCTCTTGTAGACCAGGCTGGCCTCGAACTCACAGAGATCCGCCTGCCTCTGCCTCCCAAGAGCTGGGATTAAAGTCGTGCGCCACCAATGCCCAGCTATAATTGCATTTTTTAAATTTCCATCTGCAGTGGTACTATAGCTACTATCTTAGGGTGTCTATTGCTATAAAGAGACACCATGACCACAGCTACTCTTATAAAGGAAGACATTTAATTGAGGTGGTGGCTTACAGAAGTTTAGTCTATTATCATGGCAGGCAGACATGGCAGCATGAAGGCAACAGGAAGTAGACTGTGACACTGGGAGGAGTTTGATCATAGGAGACCTCAGAGCCCACCCACACAGTGACACACTCCCTCCAACAGGGCCACACACCTCCCAATGGTACTATTCCCTGTGGGGGCCATTTTCTTTCAAACCACCACAGCTACTAACCATCCCACTACCCCTTTAAATTTACTCAGTAAATATGTTTTCTTTCTTATAATACTTTTTTAAAAACTTTAGCTGGGCATTGGTGGTGCGTGCCTTTAATCCCAGCACTCGGGAGGCAGAGGCAGGTGGATCTCTATGAGTTTGAGGCCAGTCTGGTCTACAAGAGCTAGTTCCAGGGCAGCCAGGGCTACACAGAAAAACCCTGTCTCGAAAAACCAAAAATAAATAAACAACTTTATTATGTCACTTTCTGTGTATAGGTGTTTTATGTACATGTATGTATGTATGTCCACCGCATGTTCAAGAAGGTCAGATTAAGGCATTAAATCCCCTGGAACTGGAGTTACAAGTACTTATGAGCCACTGTGGAGCACTCCCTGACCAGCAGGAAAGACTACCACCAGACAAGGATTCTTCCCAAATCACGCTTTATTGGAGCCTCTTGGTTGAAGGGAGAGCAGGAAGCGAGGGACCCCGAACAAAGACTGCAGCTGCTTATATAGGAGCTGAGGCAGCGTGCAACTGTCTTATTGGTCGAGCACCCCTGGCAGCCACCTCAGGCTCCCTGATTGGCCCAGCAAGCTGAAGACACTGAGCATGCTCGAGCTGGTGATTCTGGTTATGACCCTATATGGAGTTGTTTACTCCAGCCCTGCAGGGGCCCAGTGCCATCTTGGAATGGCGGCCACAACTCATGGCTCCCTGCAAGCCACCACGTGGGCTCTGGGAAGTGAAACTGGGTCCTCTATTGACAAGATTAGCAAGTTCTCATAACCACTGAGCCATCTCTCCCAGCCCCAGATGAGAATGCTTTTAAAAATGTCCTTCCAGAAAGTAAAAAGCACTGTACTGGCAAGGAAGCTTGCCAGACAAATGTGTTTTCCTAGCGCTGGCAGCTGACCTTTCCATCTCACGTGTTTTCCAGCTCATGCTTCACCCCTGCTGTCTTCTGCACCTGCAACTGGTCCTGCAGACCCTGTAACAAGACAGAGAGAAGAGGAGCTGAGATTAATAGATCAACTACGCAAAGTGTGTACACTATCTTTGGCAGTGCCTTTTCTATAGTCCATAGCCTCTTGTTTACATGCTCACTTCTACCATTGCCATAAAGTCAGCCCATTGTTTGCTGTATTTTATGATGATGAAAGAAATTTTACTATTGAGGAAATTCCTTTAAACTGTGAAAATTAGATGAACAATTTTAAAAGCTCACGGCATAGCCATGTTCATTTTCACTTTTTCCATTTCTGTTTTTCATCATGTTAAAAGGGAATCTCAGAGGAGTAGTTACAATGTGTAAGTGCCATTGGGATCCACACATGTAACCACTCAGTAATCTGAGGTAACAGGATCACCAGTTCGAGACCAGACTATGCTACATAGTGCATAGGCACATTCTCAAACCATACTACATGCTGAGAGATTACAGTTGAACAAGAATCCAGTTTGGTTTCATGTTTGTTGAGACAAGTTCTCACTATGTCACTCAAGCTGGCCTTGATCTCTCAGTCTTCCTCCCTGTGCCTCTCTGTCTAGTATGGAATCATAGGTACACACTGCCATGCCCAGACTTAGTGGCTTTCCAAGTCATAAAATGATGGTCATTTCTTTTGTGCCTTATACCACCTTGACCTGGCTTCAATGCATACACTCTGTCTCTTTAAGTTACTGACCTGAGTTAGAAGGAAAATGGGGACTGGAGTGTCTAAGGTATTTCCTTTTTTTCTGGAGTCTGTTTTATTTTGGCTTTTTGTTGTTGTTGTTGTTGTTGTTGTTTTTGTTTTGAGACAAGGTCTTACCTTATGACCCTGACCAGCCTGGAATTCACTGTGTCACCCAAGTGGGCATCAAACTTGCTATCGTCCTTCTTCTCACTAAGCATCCTAAATGCTGGGGTTATAGGCATATGTCACCTTATCCATTTTTTTCCTGGATTTTTAACTATATATATATCATTGTCTCACTTGTATATCCTATATAATAATCACTCTTCAATTACTATATGGCATTTCCTGTCCTTGCAGCATATTGAGTACCGGTTAAAAGTATCTCTGCCCTGTGATCTTGGAGCAGCTCTAACTGATGGTGTTGTACTTTGCCACTTGGCCAATCATGTTCGGCCTCGATCTGTCCCAAGCATTCATGTCCCATCTCCAGCCGTGGTAAGTTATAGTGCCAGGCAACATTGACTATTCATGGATGCTTTGTAGTTCAGTGGAGTCATTGTGCTAGAAACTAGCAGTGCAGTTACAAAGGGCCCAGTCTCCACCTTCTTAGTCTCACTTACAGCGTGGATGGACTATTGTAAGAGGTGTGTAAGACGTGTACTATGGGGATACCAAAAGGAGACTGGTTAACTCTGCCTAGAGAATTCAGAGAAACCTTCTAGAGGAGAAATTAAACTAATCTGATTATGAAGTATGGGAAGGAATTGGCCAGCTAGCAACTTAAATACGGAATTGTTCAGTTGTTGAGAATAGATCACACACAGGGTGAATGTGCGAGTATAGATAGCAGTGGATGAATCTGCGAGAGTTAAGCCTAGGTTGTGTTTTAGAGGCTTTGAAACATATTGAGGAGTTAGAGGTTTGTATTAGTATAAATAGTGGGGAAATATTAAAAATGCTTGTGTTCAACAGGCATAGTAGTATGATGCACACTGTTAGAACATCATTAAGAAGGGCTGGCAAAATGGCTCAGCAAATAAAGGTTCTTGCCACCAAGCCTCACAGCCTGAATTGTAGTCTGATGCAGTAGAAATCAATCAAGCATAAAGGGCTCTTTGTATTTCCCTGTCCGTTTCTGGTTAACAATTTTTGAGCTTACCCTTGGCTCCAGGCTGGAGCCAGGCTTATGACTTGTGTCTACAGACTGGCTGCTCTGTCGGCAGACTCCTCAGACTTCTTTGAGTTCATTTACTGTCTACCTCTTGTGGAATCAGGAAATATATCACTAAGAAGCATTCTCCTTGAAAGTCTACTCACTTAAGAACCAAACATTGTAAACATCATGCTGTTTGAGGAAAGTTTAGATTCACCTTTAGAAAACAGTGGTATAGGGCCTGGAGCATGACTCGAGGGGAAGAGCACTCCTGGGTGCAGAGTGCCTGCGCTGGATTCACAACACCCATGTGGTGGCTCACAGCCATCCATAACTTCAGTTCCAGGGGACCTAATGCCTCTTCTGACTTCTGTGGGCAAAACATCCAAACACCTAAATAAAATAAATAAATCTAAAAAAAAACAGTTTGAAAGTCACAGACAGTGACATAGGAGTAAGGGTTGGGAACCAAGGGCCATAGGAAAGAAATTTATCACTGTCTAAAGTGGGAAATCTGGGTCAAGCCAGGAATATCCACTTTTGAACTACCTAATTTTTCTCCTTTGGTTCTAAGTGGAGGAATTAAGATGTATGCTCAAAACAGTTATGTACCGTGCTAACTTGGGGAATACACTACCTCTTAGAAGTTGGATCAGGGCCTATGGACGTTAGCTTTTACATTTTTAGGCATCCTCCTTTCTCTAGAATTATTTTTTTAATTACATATATGTGTATATCTGAATATGGGTCTGTACATATGACTGAGGCAGGCATATCTTTGTGAGTTTGAGGCCAGCCCGGTCTACAAAGTGAGTTTCAGGACAGCCAGGGCTACATAGAGAAACCTTGTCTCAGAAAAAAAATGTTTTTAAAATTTGTGGGTGCACATGTACACATATACTTAAAATAGTTTATGTGTATCACATGTGTACAGGAGTCCATGGCAGCCAGAAAAGGGTATTGGATTCTGTGGAATCAAAGTTAATGGTGTCTGTGAGCTGTTATATGGGTACTGTGAACCAAACCCAATCATCTGACCCCATACTTTAAATGAAATCTTTATTTTTTTATTTTTTATTTTTTATTTATTTATTTTGGTTTTCCAAGACAGGGTTTCTCTGTATTGTTTTGAAGGCTGTCCTAGAACTTGCTCTGTAGACCAGGCTGGCCTCGAACTCACAGAGATCCACCTGCCTCTGCCTCCCGAGAGCTGGGATTAAAGGCGTGCGCCACCAACGCCTGGTTTAAATGAAATTTTTAATGAAAGCAAATTTTTAAAATACATTTTTTGAGCCAACTGTGGTAGTGTACACCTTTAATCCTAGCACTTGGGAGACAGAGGCAGGTAGATCACTATGATTTCAAGGCCAGCCTAGTCAGTTCAGACCAGCCAGGGCTTCATAGTGAGACCCATCTCAAAAACAAACAAATATTAAGTTTTGGGCTGGTGACATAGCTCAACAGGTAGAGTTTGCCACATGAGACTGACAACTAGAGTTGGATCCTGGAACCCACATTAAGCGAGAAGGAAGTCTGCAGAGTTGTTCTCTGACTTCCATGTGGCACACGCACCACACACTATGTGTATGCACAATAAAAATAAACAAATGTTCCACTAAATTTTCAAGCTGGACATGGCAGTTCATGCCTGTTATCCAAGCACTTAGAAGTTTGAAGCAGGAAGAGCAGGTGCTCGAGACAATCCTGGTCTAAACAGCAAGTTTAAAGCCAGCCTGTGCTACATGAAACCCTGTCTTAAAAATAAATAAAGTTTTCAGTGCCTGAAAAAGTGTTTGAATCATTTTAAATATCCAGAACTAATTATTTATCTGTTCTTCTTGGTTCAGACCTCATATTCTCTGTAGGCTCTACATTATAGAAATAAAAGAGGCTAGATTTTGGTGCCAAAAATCATATGTCATGCCATTTGCAGTTCTGGAAAAACTTTTGGAGATAGTGGATTCCTGTAAGACTTGCTGCTTAAGATGAAACTGTGATTCCCACAATCTAAAGTGATGGAGAGGCTGCAGCCTGCATTGCACTGACGGATGAGCCTTTCTTTCCATTGAAGTTTGCAGAGGAGGGTGGCATTTGGGAACTTCTCAGATGGTGGTGGTCTTCCATTCTGCCCCACGCTTGTGTGTTTTAAGATGCTACTAGTAGTCCTCGTGTGATAGCAATGTGTACTGAGTGCTCGCTCGCTCTCCTTCCCCCCCTCCCCCCATGTCTCCTTCCCTCAGTCCTTCATTTTCATAGGAGCTATAGGAAATTGCATTTGAACCAGTTTTTAATTAGCAGCATTAGCCTTATCCTTTTTACCCTTGCTTTTGCACAAAAACATGATTTTTTTTCTTCCTATAGCAGGGTTATGTCAGTCTATTCTTCCATAAACATTAATATTTCAGAAACTTAAGTTTCCCTCTTTTGTAAAACAAAGTGCTCATGGCTGCTTCTGCTTATCTTCTCTTCTGAACTCACACCAGGATCTCAGCCACTTCACAGGAAGAAATGCTAATGGTTCTTGCCTTTGCTTCCTGCCCTGTGAGGCAGAGAGAATCTGACATGTAGAGGGAATTTCTAGCCTAGACAGATACGCCAAAGTGAAGCAGTTGCTCCTGTTGGATTTGGGAGTTTCCTGAGACATGGTTTCACTGTGTAGTCCTGGCAGATGTAAGACATTGTAGCCCAATCTGGCTACAAACTCAGAGAAATCCACCTGCATCCACCTCTTGAGTGCTGGGATTAAAAATGTATGTCACTTTACCCAGCTGCTTTGTCTCATTTAGCCAAGGCTGGCTTTGAACTCCCTGCCTGTACCATCCATATTCCGGAGTTCCATGCATGTCTAACCACACTGGCCATGCATGTTTTATTTACAAAGTTGCTGTGAAAATTGGGTCCTATGCCCAGGAGCTGCTGCTCCTAGCAGCTTTCCCCTTGCCTCTTACCTTCCTCTGGAGCTAAACAGGCCACACATCTCCTTTATTTTTTCTGGCACAAGCAGCAGCAGCAGAGGTCAGCACCAGTGTGAAGTAGCAGGTGGAGAAGCCCAGGCCTTGGTTCTTTCCTCATCTCCCAGGGGATCATGATCCTACATTTTTTGTTCAATCTTCCCCCCACCTTTTTTACTTGAGTTAAGAATTTGGCAGTGGCAAGAAAGGAAGCTGTACTGGTTTACATCTTTCTGTCAACTTGACACAAGCCAGTGTCATCTGGGAAGAGGAACCTCAACTGAGAAAACACCCCTACCAGATTGTCTGTAGGCAAGTCTGTGCTCCATTTTCTTGATTAATGATTGATATAAGGACCCAGGCTGCTAGAGACATTGCTACTCCTTGGCAGGTGGTCCTGGGTTATATAAGAGAGCAAAGTGAGCAAGCCTTGGAGAGCAAACCGATGTAAACATAATTCTTCTGTGGTCTCTGCTGTAGCCCTGATTCCAGGTTCCCATCCCCCTTGAGTTCCTGCTTGGTTTCCCTGATGATAGCTTGTAGCGTGTAAAATGGACTAGACCCTCTGCTCCCCAAGACGTGTGCTCGTGGTGTGTCTGACACAGTAGAGAGCTAACCAGGGCAGATCCCTCCCTGGACACTGGCCCCCTGTCAGCTCTCCTGATCCTGTGAAAGCTACTTCATCAGAACTGGGAGATGATTGTTTCTTTCCATCCATCTCACTGGCTGCTTTCTATCTTTCATGACAAAGCTCATCCTAGCCCTGTAAACCTTTGTCTGGTCAAGATCACAATGCTTTCTTTCACTGCTTTTGTTTTGTTTCTTCTTGTGACAAGGAATTATGTTTCATGTTTGCAGAAAACTCAGGTTTACAATAAAGTCTTTTGTTTTCCAGAGATGGTACAAGTATCCATGCACTTACTAATTTAAAAAAAACTTGTAGGTCAGCCAAGTGGTACAGGCCTTTAATCCCAGCACTCTGGAGGCAGGCGGATCTCTGAGTTTGAGGCCAGCCTGGTCTACAGAGTAAGTTCTAAACCAGCCAGAGCTGTGTAGGAGACACTGCCTCAAAAAGTAATAAACCAAAAGAAAAGAACTGTTAATTGCGGTCATGCTTGAATAGTGAACCACTAGGTGATACATTTTCTTGATGTTCTCTCTAATTTTCTTTTTATTTTGTTTCAAGATGGAAAAATACCTTCTTAGCACTTACCTTACTAAACCAAAGCAAAATGCAACTATTGAGAGGTGGCAGACTCCCCTCAGAGGCCAGCACGTATTTCTGTAAATAGTATTTATCATCCCTGTGACTGCTTTCATGCCCCAGCAGACCTGAGTAGTGGCAACAGTTCTGTGGCTCTGGAGATTCGCATTCCCTTCTGATCTCCTAAGGGAAAGTGTGCTGAGCCCCAGTGTGCACAGAAATGAGTATGTGACAGCCAACAGAGTGGTTTGAAACCTCATGCTTTTTTACGTTTGTTGGTAACACGGTTTCCCCACCTTCTTGTCTCACTGCAGCCTAAATTAACAATGGCAAAATGCAGGCGAAATGTGGAGAACTTCCTAGATGCTTGCAGAAAAATCGGTGTGCCTCAGGTAACTGGGTGTGTGTGTGTGTGTGTGTGTGTGTGTGTGTGTGTGTGTGTGTGTGTGTGTGTGTAATTCTTACCAGGTCTAACTGTGAACTAAGCTGATCACTACTAACATGATATGTAATTACAAGCCTCTCTCAATATTCCCTTCAGCAATATTTTTTCATGTTTCCCTCATTTCCAAGGATCTTTAAGGTGACTGCTAAGTGTTGATTTAAATAGTTGTATTATAACAAATAAATGAAAAATAATTGTTCTATTTTCTTAAACATCTCCACTAGCTCTTTGACCTATATACAGCCACACATAACAGAATATTTTCACACAAGTACCATTCAGATTGGGAATTCTTTTGTTGACTTCAGTTTTTTAATACTTGCTTTTAATACATTTTAAATATATGTATTAAATAATTTTAGACTTCACAAAATGTTACAAAAATAGCAGAGTTCTTATGTATACTTCACCCCAGTTTCCCAGATGCTAGCATCAAATATGCAAATAGTATAGGTGTACAAACTGAGTAATCCAAATGACAGTCCTGTTAGCTAAATCGAGCTGTAATTCCGCTTCCACCCGTATTTCACTAGGCTGCAACTCTTTGGAAGTTAGCACAGTGGAGACCACAGTAAGCATGCGCCCTGTTAGAAGGGACAGTGCTTCCACGGCCTGTAGCAGTGGTTCTCAACGGTGGGTCCAGAGCCCCTTAGGGATCAAACAGTCCTTCCACAGGGGCCACCTAAGACCATGGAAAACACTGATACTACACAACTCATAACAGTAGCAAAATTGTAGTCATAAACTAGCAATGAAAGTAATTTTATAGTTGGGGGTCACCAGAGCATATACATTAAAGGGTCACAACATTAGGAAGGTTGAGAATCACTGGTCTGTTGTGTTTCTTGCCATTGATGGTACTATAGTTAAACTTTAATCAGAAAAGAAATGCTTACGCTGTTCATTCAGTGACCCTTTTGATGTGCAGTTAAAAACTGCTTTACTCTTGAGAGGTGCGTGGAGTTTGGGAAGATGTGGACGTGGGCTTTTTGACCTAGTGTTCCGCTCAGGTTGGTCTTAGAGCTTCCTTGTCACCTTAGTCTCCAGTGCTGGAATTGTGGTGCTCACCACCATGCTTAGCAACAGTGTAAAGAAACTAGCAGCTTGGTGTGGTGTGGTTGGCAGTTTCTCTTTTCTTTCTTGCTGAAGATGGAAGCTGTGGCCTCCTGTATGCTCTGCCACTGAGCAGTCTGTAAGCCTTAGTTTTGTCTAGTGCAGAGAGAAAAACACCAGCCTCTTCTGCCAGCTGCTTGATTAACTGTTAGGAACACACTTTGTAGACAAGGCTGGCCTGGAACTCACTGAGATCTGCCTCTGCCTCTCTGCGCCCCTGCCTCTGCTTCAAGTGCAGCATTAAAGACATGTGCCATCACTGCCCAGCCTTTTCTAGACTCCACTAAGACTTCTTTTATGGACAAACTCAAACTCATTTTTATATCATTATCTTACAAAAGGTTACGAAATCATTTTACCATTTACTACATTTTCTAAGAAACTGGCATGTATTTTCTCCACAGTTAAAGTCCTAATGTCCGGATGTGCACATTAGCATTCAGGTATTCCTGTCTTATGTCAGCACGGCTGCTACCTGCTCAAGTCCCAGACCATATGTACTGCACCGAGTGTGCCTTGCACTGGTACAGAAAATGGGAAGCACAAAAAGCAGTAGTATGCTGACTCTGCCCACGCCAGACTTTCTGGGAGTCCTCCTCGGCACCGTTTCTAGACATCAGGGCTGCGTGCCAGGTTTTACAGAGGCATCTTATCTCAGCTGCAAAGGCCGGAATCTGAGACTCTTTCAGAATGTTCCTGTCCTTGGTCAGCAAAGCAGTGTGCATTAAAGCATGCATTTAAGTCAGCATTCCCCAAGCAGAGCTTCTAAATGTTCATTACAGCTCAGCCACCCCTTCTACCTGAGTTGAGCTGTTTGAAGGCAGGTACAGAAACAGAAAAGGTATAGTTTAAAACTGATTTTTTTTCCAGGCTGGTTAACCTGGGTTCTGTACATCCACACCACACCTCCAGCACCTCCTCCAGAAAGAGGAAGTGGACACCCACACAAACCACCTCTTCCTTCTCCCCTTCTGCCTTCCACCCACTTCTCTACCAATTTTAGATGAGTTCTAGTTTTGCTGCTATTTCTGTTGAAAATTAGTCATTTTCTGGACAGCATAAAGGATAATGAACAAATTCACAAATTGGTAGCATCAACCTAGCAGTCTATCTTGCTTTGTTCTTACTTACTTCTGCCACTCATTAGACTGTAAAACAGGGAACACAGTAGCTAAATGTGTCAGACTCAGTGCTTAGGTAGAAATAAGCATACAGGTTGTTACTTCTCAGTATGACTAAAAAGTGTTGTGCAGGATGAACTATGAGTCCAGTATGCCTGTAATCACTCCACCTGGAAAACGGAGGCAGCAAGATATGGAGTTGAAGGTCATCTTCAGCTACATAGTGAGTTTGAGATGAGACTGGGCAGCATAAGACCGTGTTTCAAACAAAAATAAAATGAGAGACAAATGATAAAAATGAGTCAAATTATAACGTGAAATGGACTGGGGATGTAGCAATAGTAGAGGCCTTTCCTAGGGTCCATCCCAGCTCACCCTCAAAATATGAAGGGATCACTAAAACTAAGGAAACTAAGAAGCCTCTGAATAAAGACATGTATGCATGTTCACTTTAATTATTATGCTTTTATTATCTTACATCCTAGAATTATTGTATGTGTTAAAGAGTATTTCCAGGTTGAGTCCACTGATACCTTACTAATGGTGACTTTAGATGCTCTCTCCATTTCTGTTGTGTGTAGTAGTGAACCAGATCTAGGGATGGTGGGCTTCATCTGATGGTTTAAGTCAGTACACGGAGCTCCTCTGTAGTAAACCTCCTCATTACAAGGCTTGCTCAGGCTTGGAGCCTCTGTGGTTTCTCCCACTGCAGTCAGCAGCCTCCCTCTGTGCCTACTTTTCCCTCAATAAGGAAGAATGGGAATTGAGATTGAGGGCGCCTCCTACTCCCCTTCCCAACTCTCAAGCCTCACACCACCCTGAACCACAAGCCAGCTCTGTCCATTGTTCCCATAATGCTCATGGCTAGCCACCAACAAGCAAGCTTTATTCTGCTACTCAGTAGAGAAATCATCTGTGTGCATAGATGAACCCACAGTTTTGTTTTTGAGTATTTCATACTTATGATAAAAGGCCTCAGGGTGTGTGTCTGACTGTGGCTGACATGATTTACTGAGTTCTGTACTCTGCATTCTGCTGCACTGACTGTGTTTTTCTGTTTTCCTTTCCTGCTCACATTTGGACAGGACAATCTGTGTTCCCCTTCCGACATCCTTCAGCTAAACCTCAGCGTTAAAAGAACTGTCGAAACGCTGCTTTCTCTTGGGGCACATGCAGAAGAATCCAGCTTTGTCTCTCTGTCTGTCCAGCTTCTGGGTTTTGTGGCATTTTACTGTGCTTTAATGTTAACTCTCTGTGTGCTTTATTACCGGGTCTTCCCCTCTTAGCTGGCCGTGCATCCTGTGCCTTCACCTCCTTCCTGTGCTTGGTGAAGGTTTGCTTCTCATACAGAATTACTGACAGAGTGCTAATTTGGGTAGGTGCATCGTTTCTTGTATGTCCAGACAGCAGTGCATTGCACAGTAGGCGCTAACGATGGCTAACAGAGAGGTCAGAATTCTGTCTCCTGGTCATTTGCTTCCCTCCTACCCTGTGTGGCCTTGTTTCTCATATTGGGGGTGGGGGATGGTTGAGGTGTTGCTATTAATGCAGTCCTGAGCCATAGAGAACTCTGCCCATCTTTTATACTGTGCTACAACCTCACTTTTGAAGTAAAGAATGTCTGAACCCTTTCAACAGCTGCTCACCATGAAATTACTGGTACCCTTTCTAATTTGGAGTACTTTGTCACTTAGTCCTCTGTCCTCAAGTCCTAACGAACCCTTAATATTAACAGTATTTGGACATTTAGAAGGCATCAGGCATTTAAACTTTAGTTTGTCTGAATTTTTTAGTTTAAAGATACTGGAAGTTCCCCAAATTGCTGTTCTGAGCCAATGTGTCCATTTAAGACTGTGGTCAGTGAGCAGATGACCAGTCTGCATCGGAGATCTGGCCATGTTTATGACGTGTGCTGCCTGTGACAGATCCCCTGCTGGCGTCCTGTTAGAATGTGACATTTGAAAGTCATATTATTTCTACCATGTTTGAGCCATTCTTATAGGTGAGCTTGTATTTTGTAGACTGTTGGGAAGATTGTATTGGAACTGCAGGTCCAGTAAAGTTGCAGTCCGTATCAGAACGTTTAGTAGATCAGTTTCTGGACCTGGGGCCGAGAATGACATTCAGATAGTAGCTCTCACAAATGATGTCTCCAAACTCTAGGAACAAAACTGGACAGCAGCTCAAGAGAGACTCCCAGGAGCATAATACCCTGCGGTAGTCAACCTGGGCACATGCTTACCTCATGTATTTCTGTCTAAAGTGGGCTGTTCTTTACTGTCCCTACTAATGTTGATGCAGTGACAGACTCAGTGCTGTGCAACAGTGCCTTCCAAGGTGTGCTGGTGTGGGTTTGCCTTTTATTGTCTGAGTTCCATAGAGTTTTGTCCTTTAATACACAGAGAGAGAGAGAGAGAGAGAGAGAGAGAGAGAGAGAGAGAGAGAGAGAGAGAGAGAGAGAGAGAGAGAGAGAGAGAGCAGCAATAGTGAGTTCCTAGGAGACATCCGCAAAGTTGATGTACATGTGGTGTCTAGACCACTGTGTACCTAGCCACTTGGCCTTGGCTTGGGCCTGGGTATTGCTGAGCAAGCAACAGGGAACTGGCCCTGGAGAAAATGCCTCATCCAGAGCAAAGTACACACCGATTTCATCTTTTTGTTGTTGTTTGTTTGATTTGGTGGGGGGATTTTTGTTGTTTTTGTTGTTTTGGTTTTTGGTTTTTCAAAACAGTGTTTCTCAGTATAGCCCTGACTGTCCTGGGAACTGGATCTGTAGACCAGGCTGGCCTCAAACACACAGAGATCCACCTGTCTCTGCTTCCCAGTGCTGGGATTAAAGACGTTCATCACCACTTGGCTTTCAAATACTTTTTTTTTTCCTTTTTTTGGTTTTTCAAGACAGGGTTTCTCTGTGACTTTTGAGGCTGTCCTGGAACTAGCTATTGTAGACCAGGCTGGTCTTGAACTCACGGAGATCCACCTGCCTCTGCCTCCCGAGTGTTGGGATTAAAGGTGTGCGCCACCACTGCCCAGCTCAATTACAGTTTTTAAGACAGAATCTCACTGTGTAGCTCTGGCTAGCCTTGAACTCACAGAAACCTACCTGGCTTTACCTCCTACATCATAGGATCAAATACACCTTTTAAAATCTGATTTTTTAAATGATTTAGGTTTACCCTTCCACAAATTACCCAAAGTAGAGCAATGTTTCTTAAATTCATTTAACATTGAGGGCTGTGGTGCCGGTCTTAAGCTGCCTCCCTGTCCTGCAATTAAAGTCATCACAAAACTATGATGTGTCCCTGATGTTTGTGAGTTCCTTCCCAGAGTGTTCTCTGTAAATGCTGTGTTTTCCACTTGAGTCGTGCTGTAACTGGGCTGTTTTTCCACTTTTACGTGCTTTGTAAGTCTGCCCTGATCTTTTGTCAGAGATAGTGTGGCTTCCTGCACACTTGCTCTGTTCATCCTGCTGTGTAACTGTGTGTCACCGGTCAGTCTTGTGCTTTTCCAGATGTTTGTATCGACCTTTAATTGTGTTAATAAAGTGACCCTGAGTATGAGACACCATCTGCATTGCCTCCTTTAGCAGGGTGGGTTTACCAGGAACTTTCTGTATCTCACTGATTATTGTGGGGTGGGGGTGGAAGTTCCTTTCAGTTTTGTGATGCTCATCCTGATTTCTTTTCTGTTTGTTTATGTTACATTGTCCCCTTTCAGGAGCAATTATGTTTGCCTCTGCACATTTTAGAAGAGAAAGGGTTGAGCCAGGTTGCGGTGACTGTCCAGGCCCTCCTGGAACTTGCCCCACCCAAGCAGCAGCAGCCGCAGCCACAGCCGCAGCAGCAGCAACCGCAGCTCTCTGCTGTCTGAGGACTCCCAGGGCCCTGGGTGTTGGCACAGCCAGAACAAGGAGCGGGAGGATGCTGTTGCTGGCGTCGCCTGCTCAGACAGAGCCCTGTGTGTTGCTACAAGTGCTGTCTTCATGATTCCTGCCAGGAATGTTTGCCTCATTTCTCCATTTTAGGGGAGATTAAACCCACTTCCACTATTTTTGTTTTTAATGAAGACAGATTTTGCTAGATGGAACTTCCATTACTGAGGACCCAACATGAGAGCCTAAGCTGGCTGTGCTTTCTTCTTGGGGAGCAGACTCAGTTTTCATGCCAGAGCCAGTATCTTCGAAGCCGGCTGTTTAGCTCTCTCAGAAGACAGTTCCCAGGTGTCTACAGCTCCCCAGTTTCCACAGTTGGGCCTCATTCTCCTGGAGCATTTGTGAAATCCAGATTTGCATCAAAGGTTTTGGCTGTGGCCTGGGAACCTGCATTTTCGGCAGACATTGCAGTTGTTCTCAGGCAGTAGAGACCACTGTTCCAAGACACATAGTTATGTGGTTTGAGGGTACCACCCCTACTGCATTTAAATCAAAGGCTGTATTATGATGATTTGGACAATTCTGTCAAAGAAAACAAAAATAATAGAGAAGCCCTCGATTTTGCACAGTATAACGGGTATTTAAAACCAATGTCCAGGCCTCTCCCAGCCCTGCCCACTACCACCCCATCTTTTTCTAGAGGGCGGTTCTGTGCATCACCCTGCTATTTCCTGAACACAGACACATGATACCACAGTTCTAAGCAGTAAGGTATACCGTGCACTACTCAACAGTGTTTGCATTTGCCTTAGTGAGCCCTGCATGCTGATCCCAGGGCACCTGAACCAGGCACGGCAGATACACTAATAGCTCCCTGCTCATGGGACCCTGAACACAATGCCAAAAGAACTGAAGGAAAACCACACTTCTTACAGTCCTGGCAGGCAACAGCCAGTTTCCATAGCGCCAAGAAAGCACTCAGCAACTTCCTGTTTGTCTCTCATCTAGCCCCTCCCCCAGATCCTCTGCCTGTGCCTTACTGCATAGCTGTGAACAGAGAACAAAGGGGCTTAGGGTTTCAGCACCAAGTAGGCATCTTTATTTAAATTTAAGCACAAAGCTTTGTGTTCTCCTAGATTTTGCACACTTTTTGGTTGTTGTGTCGTTGGTGTTCGTTGTGGCAGAAGAGTAATTACGTAAAACGGTTTTGTAGGGTTTTTCCTATAGTCATTAACTTTTATGGTTTTTCTTCGCAAGGCTTGCATTTGAGTATTTACCCTGTGTAGTATCTAAAAGTAATAACTTTGATACTGGATCATGGTTCTATCCCCGGCACCACCTAAAATAAGGTGCAGAGAGGCACAGGAGCCTGTAATTGCAGACATTCTGAAAGTGGAAGCTGGGTGGTCAGGGTTTTGCAGGATGCTAGGCAGATTCAGCCCACCTGGGCTACATTAGATTGTGGCTGAAGAGCTGGCTCAGCAGTTGAAAACACTTGCTGCTCTTGTGGAGGGTCCGGGTTCAATTCCCAGCACCCACATAGCAGTTCATAACTGATGCCCTCCAGTGATTTCCTTAAGTACCAGACATGTACATGGTACACATACATACATGAAGGTAAAACACTCATACATATAAAAATATTTTTACAAAAACATTCTTTCTCTAAAAGTGACTTTGAACAAATTCATTTTGAGTAGTCAAAATAATTTCTCCTTGTTTGTGCAGAGAAGTGTTTATTAGAACATTGCCACTTTATCCAAGTTTAAAAACACGTAACAGCAGCCAGGCATGACAGCACATGCTTATAACTCAGGAGGCTAAGGCTGGAGGAACATGAATTTCGGGCCAACCTGGGCTACACTGCAAGCCCTTATCTTAAGAGAAAGTAAGTGTAACCTAGAGCTCCTGGGCTCCTGCTCAGCCCTTCAGCATCCTCACAGAACAGAACCGACACAGACAACTTCTTTACGGCCAGCTGTGCTTCTGGGCCTAGGTACACTTCCTTCTAGTCTTCGTTAAGCCTCAGCATAATTTCTGATTTCTAGATTTTACTATTGTATAGAAAATGAAGACATTACATACTACAACACTTGGAATAGCTACAGGAGTTCGTTCCTAAGAGTACACCGACGTTGCAGAGCATGGTGGCACATGCCCTTAATCCCGGCTTATGCGGGTCAGGGGAGGCAGATCTCGTCTACACAGTGAGACCCTACCTCAGAAAAAAGAGGACATTTTAACATTTCAGTTTTTCATGTGACACCTTGATGCTATCAAGCTAATTCAAATTTAGTTATCAGGAAACATTTACACAAGTTTGGTTGCAGCTGTTGCAGTTCTTGAGTCAACATATGACAACAAATCAGATTTCTGTTGCCTCTTGTGGCTTCATACATATGTTTCTAAATTGGAAAGAACAATCCATTTTGTATTTAACCTTGCTAGAGACCCCATCGTAGTTCCTTGACCAGAAATAGCTACCTTACCATTGCTGATGGCTGGACAAGCCAAGTGCCCGCCCGGCCCTGCCTGCCTCCTACAGAGGTGTCATGTCAGCGGTCTGCAGGCTTGCAGAGGTGTCTCTGCCTAGCACTCCACCAAGACCCTCCTGTAATGAGCAGGTGTGAGGGATGCGGTGCAGGAGCCATTGTACAGATAAAAATGCTAGAACAAACTAATAGGGCAGAGCAGTGGGTGGTTTCCAAACCAGCCACTATGTAAATACACCCTTGCAGCTAATCATGGAGCCTGTAATCTGGCTTCCTCTAGTCAGCAGTGACTAATAACGTGCTATGCTGATGAGTTTGAAGAACTAAGTACTTAGATGGTTGTAGAAATGAAGGAAAACTTGGTTGTTTAAAAGCCTTTTATATACACATTGCAGTGAGGTGGTTACAGCAGATTTGACTTCTGAAATGTTACATGTAATTAGTAAAAGATTTTGTAAACATTGTCCTATATTTGTATGTCTGTAAATATATTGTTTAAGTTCTGAGTATAAATATGTCGATACTATGTATGTTATTTTAAGTTGCCTATATACCATCTTATATGTGAACATTAAAATAAAAGCCAATACTTCAGTAGCATGTAATAAACACTTACAAATGTTCAAGTCTAAAACTTGGCCTGCATAGCAAAGACAAATCCAGGAAAAGACATCTGTCTATCTGGGTGGCTGAAGGGACCAATCTTGTTAAAGCAGACTTCGAAGTTAACACTCACTTCTTAAGAAGGCACAAGTAGCGGGGTGGCCTGCCAGCACAGCAAGCTTTAGGCTCAATTCAGGCTGGGGCTATAGTGCAGTTGGTAGTGTGCCTACTAGCATGCATGAAGTTCTATATGGTCATTCACTCCTGTGATCCTAACACTTAGGAAACAGAGCAGGAGGTTCAAGGCCAGCCTACTACATAATGAGTTGAGTTTGAAACCAACTTGGACTACATGAAGTCTTAATTCATGAAATATGTAAGACAGACACATTAAGACAATTTTCCTCTCAGAAATAACCAGTTGAGGGCCAGTGAAATGGCTCAGCAGGAAAAGGGGCTTGCTGCCAAGCCCGATGACTTGAGTTTAATCCCAAGACCCAAAGGAGACACAGTAGAAGGAAACAGTTCTTGAAAGCTGCCCTCCTGTCATCCCCCCACACATGAGTTGTGGCATGTACACGCTAAATACTTTGGGGTTTTTTTTTTGTTTTTGTTTTTCTGAGACGGGATTTCTCTGTAGGTTTGTAGACCAGGCTGGCCTCAGACTCACAGAGATCCACCTGCCTCTGCCTCCCAAATGCTGAGATTAAAGGTGTGCACCACCACTGCCCATCGAAATTTATTTTAAAGAAACAGCTAGGCATGGTCAAGCGTGTTTTTTTATCCCAGCACACAGGATGGCAGAAGCAGGCAGGCTGGTCTAACCTGCAGGTTCTGAGATTAGCCTGGCAACCTGAATTAGCCTGAGGACCCACAAAAAGTTGGAGAGAACCGAGTCAACAGAGTTTACTCTGCATGTGCACTGGCACACATACACACACACACATACACAGAAACAAGCAGAGGCAGGGCGCAGACAAATGAGCCGACTGTGCTGTCCTGAAAACTCCTGGTTGATCAGTCAAAGCAAGAATGAGCCAGTGGGCTCACTGATTTTAAGGGAGAACTTCAGACAACCAGCAGACAATGCCACACAAGCCCATTTTCACCCATCTTGTTTCCTTAATTCCAGATGATGGACATAGTTGGGTCTCACTTGGCAAAACATCTCTGAACTAGCTTCTGGAACCCATGTCCCATCTTTACCACTAGAAAACTGTATCCACACTCCACCTCTCTCTCATATTGGCCACTTCATCCCCATCCCAAAAACAGTCACCGGAGCAGCTTATGTAAGGTATATTAGGTGTCATCCCCCAGTACCACCAACCCTAGACTGACAGTGACCCTGTGAGACAGGCAAGAACCAAAGTTTACTAATTTCCATGGGCATACATAGTATGCTAGCCGATAACCTTGTAAATCTCACTGAGCATTTCACTTATAGCAGTTTTTCACTTTAATCATATGGCATAAAATCAGAATCAGAAATAGTACAGGAGTTTTTAGTAAAAGCATCACTATAAGCCAATGAGCTGTTTTCTGTGAGGAAGAAGAAGCTACTCAACACTTCTCCCCCAAGTCCACAGCCTGGTGAAGAGGCCCTACAGCCGTGTTGTAGCCCCATTCGGGGTTTGAAAACTAGGGCAACAAGCCTAGAGAAATCCCTAGGCGTCATGGATGACAACCCACAGATGAGTGTTGTGACAGCATCATTTGTGCCTCTTGAAACCAGAGGAAAGAACAACAGGCATTTGTCACTTGTCACTTCTTGCCTCTCCGTTTTTCCTTCTCCTTGCCTTTGGAATCTTTGCTGTCATCTTTCTCTTTCTTGGGCAATTTGAAACCTCCGATTTCCTTCCTGACCACTGTACCTCGCCACCAGGCCTGGAGCTGCAAGAGAGAAGGGAGGCAGTTCATCCTCAGTGTGCCCAACAGTAGCTTGTGTTTAAGGAACATCTCTGAGACATGGCAGTGGCCAGGCTGCTGTCAGTGTGGCTACTCTGTTGTCCCTGGCCAAGAGTGAAAATGCAGTGTGCTAGGCCAATTTTCCTTCAAACTTAGAACTCCAACTTCTGTGTTGTGTTTGCTCCTTTGGTAAACACCTCACACCTGGCAGCCATTGGTGGTAAAGGGAATGAATGTCTGTTACCAGCACTCAAGGACCCGCAAAGAAGTCTCAGTGGTTGATGGTGTGGTATGCCACATATCTTTAGGGAGCTGCTAAAAGTCCCTTGGATGTCTTTATCAGTGTGATGCAACTGTTCTGAGCAATCTAGATTATAAAATCAGACTAGCCTTGCCTTCTGAGAGCACATGAATCCACCAGTGAGAACAAAAGCAGTCTCTGCTTAGTTCTTCATTGTGAACTGAATCTTGACAGATGGAAACATACAAGCTTGACCAACATTTCTAATTACACACCAGATTTTCCTAATGGGAAGATCAAAGATGAGCCTGGGTACCTGGTTCTCAAAGTACTTTAAAATTCTCATTTTGGACTTGTGGTTGTAGCTTAGTGATAAAATGCTTAGAGGCCCCGGGCTTGATACCCAATACCACAAAATGGAAGAGAACACCGCCTTGTGTGGTGATGCATACCTATGATTCCAGCACTTGAGCAACCTGAGCCACACAGGCAGAACTTGCTTCCTACTCTACATCTCAGATTCATTTCCCCAGGACTCCTGAAGGAAGGATACTCTTCCAGGTACTGTCTTTGCATTATAGTTTTTGCTTTAGATATATTTTTCCGATGGCTGAAGAGATGACTCAGTCAAGAGCATGTACTGCTCTTGCACATGACTTGAGTTAGTCTCCCAGTACCCACAGCATCTGGACTTTCACAGCCATCCATAACTCCAGCTCCAAGGGACCTGATGGTTCCTGCACTCATGTGCACACACCCACACACAGACACACAGACCTTTACATAATTAAAAGTCAAAGTGAGTCTTAACACACTTTCCAGAATCTGGACATGATAGTGTTGTCATTACTAATGTTTGCAACTTCACACAGAACTTTTACGAAACACTTTACTATCTCAGCTAAGCCTTGATTGCGCACATCTATAATCCCCAGTGCTCAAGAGACCGAGGAAGAAGAGCACTGTAGGCTACATACATAGTCCCAGTCAGTCGGGGCTGTGGAGAGAGACACTGTCTCAAAAATAATGAATAAATGCTGCACGCCTTTAATCCCAGCACTCGGGAGGCAGAGGCAGGAGGATATCTCTGAGTTTGAGATTAGCCTGGTCTACAAGAGTGAGTTCCAGGACAGCCTCCAAAGCCACAGAGAAACCCTGTCTCAAAAAAAAAAAAAAAACAAAAAAAATAATAATAGTAATAATGAATAAAAATATTAAGCTAAAAGAAGTTTCAAATTTCCATTGTTCCTTTTACCTTTTGGGTTTTTTGTTTTGTTTTTGGGTTTTTTTGTTTTGTTTTGTTTTGTTTTTTTGCAACTTGTATTGGATGGCAGCAGACAGCCAGGGCTGACTTACAACAGGATGTGGAGGAGGACAGGGCATTTGGAAGCATGCTGCCTATATCAGAGTCCCCTCCTCAGATTTTATAGCTGGAAAGAAGCTTTGCTTCCTCTGCTCGCCTCCTCGCCACAGACCTGCACTGTGTCTCCCTGTACTGCGGCTGTGTGCCCTCACCATGTGCTGCAGAGTGTCTGCGGTCTGCCTGCTGTGCCTACCCCAACCGCCCCAGCATCCTACCTTCACAATGCTCTTCAGCTCCAGGTCATCCTGCTCCATCTTCTTCCTGGTCTTCTCCTTTTCCAACCGGTCCTCAATAATGACCTGCTCATACTCCCGGATCTGCACAAGTACACACAGAGCACTGTCGCCATAGCCCAACTAGCCCTGCATGCCAGTAATCCCAGAATGCCGGGGACATAGGCAGGAAGATTGCCACAAGTCCAAGGCCAATCTGCCCTACATAGTAAGTGTATGTCTCAAAAAAATAAAAAAAAATTCTGCCCTTGTCATCATCATCAGAGAATCCCATTGGTTTACCGACACACCTCTACTTTTGACCAGTCTTCCCCAGTCCCTAGATTAGCTTCCACTCATTCTCCAGGGGTCCCCCTACCACCCCTTACCGTCTTTGCCAGGTCTTGAAGGTGAGCTAGGTCGGAGGCCTTGGCAGCCTTGAGAGCATTTAACTCATTCTGCTTTGCTTCTGTGTCTTTATCAAATTTCTCCATCCAGAACTCTAGCTTCTCCTCAAGTTTCTACTTGGAAAGAACATTAAAGCATGGCTCCCACTAGACATAAAATAGCAGGACCATGTGTTCCTGTTACAGCAAGAACAAGCACATGTTTCTACAGAGATCCATTCAGAAAAGACTTGGTGAGGGCACGAGAGAGGGGTGCTGTCATTTCATCTGGTTGGTGGCTACATCAAACTCTACACCCCATATTTGGATACTGGGGTTTTAAATAGAAGGAGGAGCGCCTACGAACTAACAGCTTGTGACACATGAACTTAAGCCGGTCAAAACCCCAGAATAGAGGGTGGTGGTGAGCTAGGAATCCCACCGCAGCTAAGACGATAATGGCAAATAGCTGTTGGGAGAGGAAGAGTCCATGTGGCCCCTGGTAGTCACCATACCCACTAGAATGCCACGTCCACGAGTATAGGGCAATAAAAATTGTGTTTGTTGAGTTTTTTTTTAAGGACAGACTAAGTAGGTAGGGAAGTGGGGGATAGATCTGAGAGGGGTTGGAGAAGAAAATATGATCAAAATACATTTTATGAAATTATCAACTAATAAGATGAGAAAAATACATAAAATGACAACAAAAACAAGAGGAGGGGTTGGGGTACAGCTCAGGATAATTCTTGCCTTGCACCTGAGGCTTTGGGTTGGACAACCAACACTGCAAAACAAATGCTTGAACTCTTCAGAAATGAATCAATACAAAGCCAAGGTAAAGACTAGGGGAGGGGCTTCAGTGTCATGGGGTAGGTGGAAGAGGAGCAGGTAGAAATTCTGAAAGATAAGCAATGACATCAGTTCTTACTTTTTTTTTTTTTTTTTTTTTTTTTTTGGTTTTTCCGAGACAGGGTTTCTCTGTATTGTTTTGGAGGCTATCGGTCCAGCCTGGCCTCGAACTCATAGAGATCCGCCTGCCTCTGCCTCCCGAGTGCTGGGATTAAAGGCGTGCGCCACCACCGCCCGGCTCAGTTCTTACTTTTACTAACACTGAACACTAGTCAAAAGACTGAAATGTGGGCTGGGGATACGCTCAGTTGGGGTGCTGGTCTAGCATGCACAAAGCCCTGGGTTTGACATCCAGTACCACATAAAACTAGACATGGTTGCCCATACTAAAGTAAAAGAGGATCAGAAGTTCAAGGCCATCATTGGCTACATAGCAAGTTCTAGTCCAGCCTGGAATAAATGAGACCCTGTCTAGGGGAGGGGAATATTGAAGATACTCAGTGAAAATGGATATGATTCTTAGATTCACATTTTCCAATATGATAGATGAGATTCAGTCTTGGAAAGTTACTAAATTGGACGCCGGCAAGGGAGAATGAAAGAAGGTGCTGGGAGCTGAATTCCAGCCTCTGGAAAACATGATGATGTCTGTTCCCTGTGCCAGCTCCAGCTCCACGGCTGCCTTTTCATTTCTTATACACGATTAGGCTCTGATTTCTTTCTCATAGGTCTAGAATTAATCATTCTATATTCTGGTTTTTTGGGGTTTTTTTGTTTGTTTTTTGTTTTTGTTTTTCAAGACAGGGTTTCTCTGTGTAGCTTTGGAGGTTGTCCTGGAACTCGCTCTGTGGACCAGGCTGGCCTAGAACTCTGCCTCCTGAGTACTGGAATTAAAGGCATGGGCCACCAACGCCCAGCTTATTCCGTTGCTTTTATTAAAGTAAAACTTTTTATTTACCTCCCCTTTCCAATATCCTATTTAAAATCAATGTTATGCAAATGTTACTGCATTAGCATACAAAATTATTATGCTGCATTGTGCTGTACAGGGATTGTTCTGTTTCTGCTTTACAACCACTATCAGAGAGACCTAAAGTCTAGAGAATTCAAGGAAACTTGAGGGCTAGACTGGAATCTGAACCTTGGCAATCCAGATCAGAGCCTGTGTGCCTTCCAGTAGACATGACTGCCTCCTGAGGGACTTCAGCTATGGGCTATGGCTTACCGTCACTAAGAGTCACACTTTGTGTGTGTGTGTGTGTGTGTGTGTGTGTGTGTGTGTGTGTGCGTGCGCGTGTGTGTGTGTGTGTGTGTGCGCGCGCGTCTGTGTGCGCGTGTGTGCGCGTGTGTGTGTGTGCGCGTGTGTGCGCGCGCGTGTGCTGTGTGCGCGCGTGTGTGTGCGCGCGTGTGTGTGTGAGTGTGTGTGTGCGTGTGTGTGTGTTTGTGTGTGTGTGTGTGCGCGTGTGTGTGTGTTTGTGTGTGTGTGTGTGCGCGCGTGTGTGTATTTGTTTGTTTTCAAGGAGCCTGTCCTGGTCTTGTGGAGGGTCTGAGTTTGAGAAGTTCACAACCACCTGTAACTCCAGCTCCAGGGGACCTGACACCCTCCTCCAGCTTTCACGTGGCAGGAATACATATACATAGGCAGACAGACAGACTTAAGATACTTTATGAACATATTAAAGGAAAAACATCATTTTGATGGATGAAAAACTGCATCATCCAGGCATGATGACACACACCTTCAATGCCAGCATTCATGAGGCAACTCTGAATTCTTGAGTTTGAGGCCAGCTTGGTCTACATAGTGAGTTCCAGGCTAGCCAAGGGTATATTATGCAATGCAGTCTCAAAAAATTTAAACTTTAAAAACAAATGGGTCAAGCCGGGTGTTGGTGGTGTACGACTTTAATCCCAGCACTTGGGAGGCAGAGGCAGGCGGATCTCTGTGAGTTTGAGACCAGCCTGGTCTACAAGAGCTAGTTCCAGGACAGCCTCCAAAACAATATAGAGAAACCCTGTCTCAGAAAAAAACAAAAAAACAAAAAAACAAAAAACAAATGGGTCATTACTGGTTTAAAAAAAAGGGGGGACTTTGACAAGAAACTCTTTAGTATAATACATGTACACAGCAGTGACCTACAGAGTCAACCTCCCTGTTTTCAGTATAATACATGTATACAGCAGTGACCTACAGAAGCAGCCTCCCTGTTTTCAGTATAATACATGTACACAGCAGTGACCTACAGAGGCAGCCTCCCTGTTTTCAGCATAATACATGTACACAGCAGTGACCTACAGAGGCAGCCTCCCTGTTTTCAGTATAATACATGTACACAGCAGTGACCTACAGAGGCAGCCTCCCTGTTTTCAGTATAATACATGTACACAGCAGTGACCTACAGAGGCAGCCTCCCTGTTTTCAGTATAATACATGTACACAGCAGTGACCTACAGAGGCAGCCTCCCTGTTTTCAGCTGTCAGCTTGCAGCCTTTCGGCTCCAAGCCCTTTCTGCACCACCTGGCCTCACTGGTAATGCTTCTTTGGCCAACTAGCAAAATACTAAGCATTGTCAGTAGGGGGCGCAGGAGGACATGACAACGATCTTCTGGAGGCTCCTGCTCCCAGGGAACACTGCTAGAGATTAGACAGTGCCAGGTTTCATTCATGGCACTCGATGTGGGGTGTAGAACATTAGTAACATTTATACAGAATCACAGAATCACAGTCCCAGTCCCTCTGAAGTGCTTTCTATTCCTGAGACTGCGTTTTAGTAAACACCTGCAATGACGAGCAATAGTGGCATAGCCACACAGGGAGACATTTTATTATGATTTTTTAATTATGATTTTAAATTAGTTGTAAAGAGATTGTAAGAACATGAACAACTGGGCATTGGTGGTGCATGCCTTTAATCCCAGCACTCGGGAGGCAGAGGCAGGCCGATCTCTGTGAGTTCGAGGCCAGCCTGGTCTACAGAGCGAGTTCCAGGACAGCCTCCAAAGCCACAGAGAAACCCTGTCTCAGAAAAAAAATAAAAATAAACAAAATGAGAAAGCAATTGATAATTTTGAAAACTTCCCTCAACTAAACATATTATTTTTATAACTTAAAAAATCAAGCCAAGCAGTGGTGGCATACACCTTTACTCCCAGAACTTGGGAGACAGAGCCAGGCAGATCTCTATGAGTTCAAGGCCAGAAGGAGTCCCAGGATAGCCAGGGCTACACAGAGAAACCCTGTCTGGAAAAACAAATCAGCAAATAGAGGGCTAGGAACATAGCTCAGTGCCATAGTGCTTGCCTCGTATACCTGGTGCCCTGGAGTCGCAACTGTGAGCTGCCATGTGGGTGCTGGGAACTGAACCCAGGTCCTCTGCAAGAGCAGCCAGTGCTCCTAACCTCTAGGCCCTCTCTCTCTGCAAGAGCAGCCAGTACCCTTAACCTCTAGGCCCTCTCTAGTTTGATTCTAATTGAGGAGTCAAATTGCTGGGAGACTCACCTGCTGCTCTTTCCTAAGGAACATTTCAATCTCCATGTGAACTCGGTTCTCTTCTTCAGTTTTCATCCTTAGTTTCTGCAATGCATCAAACATGGGTTCTCTCCTCAGCAAGGCTGAGGTCAGCAGTTCCTGGGTCGCATGTGCAGCAGGGACCCCGGGAATGCCAGGGCTCCCCAAAGAGCTATCTAGCCATTTGTACTCCACAAACCCTGCGGAGCCATAGGCTGGCACCTCCTTAGACACACACAAGGGCCCCGGAAACATCATCACAACCCTATCATCTAAAACCAATGAATGCTTCAGTGGTACAAGATCCTCAGCCCAGAGAAGTAAAGTACAGAATTCAAGACAGCCCACACCTGGAATCTCAGCACTCTGGAGGCTGAGGCAGGCAGACCAATTTAAGGCCAGCCCTTCGTGACAAAGTGAGTTTGCGACCAGCCTGAATTACAGAAGCTAGTGACGAAGAAGGAGGTCTACCTGCCTGTGTCTCCCAAGTGCTGGGAGTAAAGATGTGTTCCCCCCGCCCAGCTAAGAAGTCATATACTCTTAACAGCTGACCCATCTCTCCTTCCCAAGATAAATCAATCATTTTTTAAGTGACAGCTCACATGACATCAAGTCATCTCCCTGGGGTTTTGTTTTGTTTTGTTGTTTGTTAACACTGTAAGGTGGACTCAGAACCTGGCATATGCTGTCACCTAGCTCCATCCCCAGACAGCCTAGTGTAGCACAGGTTACCTCAATCTCCTCCAGCAAGAGTTCCTCTGCTCTGTTGCATTTCTTCTGGGTCTGGGAAATCTGCAGCTCAGTATTTCTTTTCATATAAAGATTCTCCAAGTTGGTTTTGGCCTTCATCTCTTGTAACTGGTCTTTGAGGTGAGCAATGTATTCATTCCCATTCTGCAGAGGTGAGATCGGGTTTCTGAACTAAAACTCCATTGTGCTTATAAGGCAATAGGCAAGTGGGGCTGGTTTTCTCCCAGCACACCGAGGGAAACTACTCAATCATCGGGATATTGTGAATGAAAATGAATCTCAGAACCAGGAGGCGGAGCATAAGGCTTGTCACAGACTCCAGGCCAACCAGAACCACAGAGCGAGAATCTGTCTCTTTAAAAAGAAAACCAATGCCGTGGTGGAACACATCTTTAATCCCAGCACTCTGGAGGCACAGGCAGGTGGGTTTTGTGCATTTGAGGCCAGCCTACTTACATAGCAAGTTCCAGACCAGCCAGAGCTACACATTGAGACTGTCTCAAAAGAAGGAAAATAATGCTGGGTGTAGTGGTACATGCCTATAATCCCAGACCTTGGAAAATAAAGGCGGAAAGTTTAGGAGTTCAAGGTCATCCTCAGCTAAATTCTTAGCTGCTAAAAGTCAGCCTGGGCTGCAGAAGACCGTGTCTCAAAAAGGGGCAGAGGGGCTGCAGAAGACCGTGTCTCAAAAAGGGGCAGAGGGGCTGGCCAGAAGATGGCTTGGTGAATTACTACCAACCAAGCCTTATGACCTGAGTTTGATCCCTGGGACCCACATGACAGAGGGAGAGAACTAACTCCCGCAAGTTGTCCTCTGACCTCCATATATTCGCTCCACATATACAATAATAAATAAATGTGAAAGAGACAGAGAGGGAGGGAGGGAAGGAGGGGAGGGAAAACGGGAAGGGAGAGAGGAAATGAAAACCAGCAAATGCAGACTAATTGGATCTCTCCAGTGTCAGAACACGGTCCATGAATGAAGCTGCATGAAGAGATTTCTGAGAGCTTGTGAAACAACAACACAGTCTTGTAACCTGTTTCTCCGTAACATGGGTCTGTTCAGGTAGAGTAAATAGGAGTGGGTTTGCTTCACATTAACCATCATCTTTGTTTGCATGTTAATGTGTTTTTTGAGACAATTTCTCTGTAACAGCCCTAGGCTGTCCTGGAACTCACTCTGTAGTCCAAGCTGGTCTTGAACTCACAGAGAAATGCTTCTGCCTCCCGAGTGCTAGGATTAAAGGTATGTACCACCACCTGACATGCTTCACAGTTTTAAGGTCTCAAAACTCACTGATTTTTTTTAAGAAAATTCTCCAGTAGCAGACACTGAGCTAGGCAGTAGTGAACAGTGAAGACCTAAACAGCTGTAGTCCCATAAGGATTACAGTCTAGTAAAAGGTGTTGTGGAAGGGAAGAGTGAGTATGGACTTCTCTAAATTGTGTGGATGGTGTAGGAGAACGTAATAGGCTCTGGGAGACACAGTAAGGGTGACCTCCATTAGCACAACTCTGAGAAGGATCCTCTGAGGGGACTTGTCTATCCAACACTCGAAAGATGAATAAGCCAATTCATGAAAAATGAGTCAAGAAATGTTTAAATATAAAGAAAAGGTGAAGCCGGGCGTTGGTGGCGCACGCCTTTAATCCCAGCACTCGGGAGGCAGAGGTAGGCGGAACTCTGTGAGTTCGAGGCCAGGCTGGACCGACAGCCTCCAAAACAATACAGAGAACCCCTGTCTCAAAAAAACAAAAAAAAAAAAAAAAAAAAAAAAAAAGAAAGAAAGAAAAGGTGAGCTTCATGCTAGAGTCTCCAGTCAACTAAAACCGGGATATGTTCCAGAAATTTGAAAGAGAAATCTGGATCCTGAGTTGAGCACAGGATGAGATGTGCCCATGTTCTGGTTGTTTTATATCAAAGTGTCTAGAAGTCAGGGCTGAGATGCTGAGGTGGTTAAGAGCATTTCCTGTTCTTTCAGGGGAACCTGACTGTGACTCCCAGCACCCATGCTGGGCAGCTCACAACCACCTGTAACTCTAGTTCCAGCAATTGAATGCCCATCTTCAGGCCTCCTTAAGCAACACACACACACACACACACACACACACACACACACACACACACACACACAACAGCCCCCCCACATGTGCATACACTATTACCCACACACACACAGGAGATAGCAAACCCGTACTTTGTACATGATGGCAAGCATTTTCTCATTGAGCTACCTCCCTGGCTCCCCTTTATTTTGTTTTCCTGAAACAGGGTCTTAAACAGCCAAGATTATACTTGCTCTATAGCCCAAGCTGTCCTCCAAACTTCAGTCCCTATCCCTCAGTATAGAGATTTCAGGTTAGCACCATTATGCTTAGCAGCTACTAATCTTTTTTAACATTTTTTAGATTTATTTATTTATTATGTATATGGCGTCTGTCTTTATGCCTGCAGGCCAAAAGAGGGTACCAGATCTCACTACAGATGGTTGTGAGCTGCCATGAACTCAGGACCTCTGGAAGAACAGCCAATGCTCTTAACCTCTGAGCCATCTCTCCAGCCCCACTACTAATTTTTTTGTTTTTTGTTGTTTTTTTTTTGTTTTGTTTTTCAAGACAGGGTTTCTCTGTATTGTTTTGGAGCCTGTCCTGGAACTCCCTTGGTAGACCAGGCTGGTCTCAAACTCACAGAGAACCTGCCTCTGCCTCCTGAGTGCTGGGATTAAAGGGGTGTACCACCACCGCCCGGCTTTAACAATCCTTTCAACACTTTCTCCTCTCTTTCTCTTGCTTTTTATTTTTGTTTCTGTTTGTTTGTTTGTTTTTTCAAGACAGGGTTTCTCTGTAGCTTTGGAGCTTTTCTGGAACTTGTTTAGTAGACTAGACTCTGGGATTAAAGGCATGCACCACCACCACCCAGCCATCTCTCTCTGTCTCTCTGTCTCTCTGTCTCTCTGTCTCTCTGTCTCTGTCTCTCTGTCTCTCTCTCACTCTCCCTCCCTCCCTCCCTCTCTCTCTCTCTCTCTCTCTCTCTCTCTCTCTCTCTCTGTCTCTCTCTCTCTCTCTCTCTTTCAAGGGTTTTGCTATTCGGCCTTAACCAACTTCAGTTTCACAGTCCTCTTCCCTCTGTGTACTGGAGTTATAGGCATGCATTTTCATGCTTTGGCCATTTCAAAAACTATTTTAGGACTGGAAAGATAGCTAGGCAGTTAGCAGCATTGGGTGGTCTTCCAGAGGACCCAGGTTAGATTCCCAGCAACCACAAGCAGCTCACAACTATCTGTAATTCCAGTTCTAGGGGATCTGCTGCTGTCTTTGGTGAGTTCCAGGACAGCCAGGGCTACACAGAAAATCCCTGCCTTGAAAAACAGAAAAATAATTAGTTAATTAACGAAACAAAATAAATAGGCACCCCAGCAGAAGCAAAGGCCTTTCATAACTAACCCTTCTATAAATGATCACTTCCATGTAGTGGTCTTTGCTCAGTAGACAATCCTCACAGGTAAGTCTTACCTGTACTTGCATTTGGCGCTCCTTTTTGACATCAACTAACTGTTTTTGAAGAGATTTTATCTGTCTTCTTCCTTTTTCCTCCCTAAAAGAAGTAAGAATGTTAAGACCGGGCTTCTCAAATGTTAGGATCACCTGGACTTTTAAAAATCAGGCTCTTCGCTGGGCGTTGGAGGTGCACACCTTTAATCCCAGCACTCAGGAGGCAGAGGCAGGTGGATCTCTGTGAGTTTCAGGCCAGCCTGGTCTACAAGAGCTAGTTCCAGGACAGCTTCCAAAGCCACAGAGAAATCCTGTCTCGAAAAACAAAACAAAACACACACACACACACAAAAAAAAACAACAACAACAAAACAATCAGGCTCTTCAGAAAAAAAAATCAGGCTCCTAGTCCTGTGTTGACTATCTTTGGACCATGGTGAACATTTCTGGGAAGGACAGTGTATCATGGTGTACACCTGGCTTTATGTTGGTTGTTGTGTTGTCTGTTTGCAGTGCTGCGAATCGAACTCATAGTCTGTATGTTTACAGAAGTGATCCCTGACAGCTACACCACATCTAGGACACTGACCAGGTTTCAGTGTGCTCCACTGCTCTCTGTATAGGCGAGTTCTGGGTTCAGATGAGAACAGAGAAGCAGTATCTTTACTGTTATTGCAGTACAAGAGGTTGACCCAGGAGCTGTGTACCAGGCACTCACTCTCCCACTTAACTTAGCCATGCTGGCCTTAACTTGCAATTCCTCTCCCTCAGTTTCTAGAGCATCTGAGATTACAACCCTGTACGATATACCTAGCAACAGTATATTTAATATAGTGTGAATTCAACTAACTGAGTCTCCAAAATCTGAATGATTGCTCCCTCTAGGTTAGGAATATGTAGGACCCAATGGTCAGCCTTCCAGTGACTTAGTGGGTAAAGTGCTGGCTATGAAGTGTGGCCTTGAGTTTGGAGACCCAGAACCCAGGCAAATCCAGGTGCAGTAGCATCCAGCTGTAGCCCACTGTAGGGTAATTCCAGCCCTCCAAATGCAGAGACAGGACATCCCTGGAGCAAGCTGGGTAGCCAGACCACTATATAGGTGAGTTCTGGGTTCAGATGAGAGATTCTGCCTAATAAAAGAATAAGGTGGGAAACACTCAAGAAAGACTCTGATGTCAACCTCAGGCCTACATGCACCCACATACATACATATGTCTCCATACAAGCAAGCATGTATACACACACATGCACACCACATACACATACATGTTGAGAAAGGAGATATTGCAAAGTAGACCAGGTTATTTGGCACACATGTGTAGTCCCAGCTACTTTGGGCAGGAGGAACTCCTAGGATCTAAGTACTGCCTAAGTAGCATGATGGGAGGACATCTAAAGAGAGGATCTCAAAACAGACAAATCCATCACCACCCTGACCTTGTGATGACATCATGGAAATTAATTCTATTATCCCTTTCTTTGCCCAAGGTTTCCAGGAGACTCCTGAATGAGCCAGAATCTTGCATCTCCTTCATGGCATTTGCAATCACGTCACTGAAATATTGCCTACAAAGGAAACAAACAAGCTCATAAGACACACCGCCCACCTTCATAAAGAGTTACACAAGTCACACCAGTTAAAAGTTGAAAGGGGCTGGACACGTTGACCCACACCTATAATCCCAGCTTTGGAAGTCTGAAGGGCCACCAAAGTTCAAGGCCACCCTGGACTACATAGAAGCTTTGGGGCCAGCTTAGGCTACAGAGATGTCCCAAAAAAGAAACAGTGGATGGGGAGATGGCTCAATAGATGAAGTGCTTGCTATGCAAGTGATGAGACCAAAGCTCAGATTCCTGGAACCCTGTATATGCAGGTTGGGTGTGGCAACCTGCTTGTAATCCCAGTGCTTGGAAGAAAGGAGGCAGGGCACCCTCTGGAGCAATCTGGCTAGCTAAACAGAGTTCTAGGCTTGACGGAAAGCCTGACTGCCTCAGTGAATAAGGTAGAAAAGTGACTGACGTTTTTGACTCCCCGACATCAATCTCAGGCCTGTAGGTATGCACACACACATATGTGCACCTGTACCCACACATGTCTACACATACAAAAACTGCTTATATATGTGTACATCACACATCAAAAAAGAAAAGAAAACCAGGAATTTGGCATGTCCCTGCTACAGTCTCCCGGCTATTTCTGTTGGTGTCCACAGATCAGTGCTACCGTGGCGTCCTGTTACATAGGGCAGCTGTTACTGCAGAGCTGTGGGGCTGCTGGGTGCTCAGCCCTAGGTGGGGTATCTCCACCACTCCTCCCAAACTCAGGGAACTCTCAGAGGAGGGTGGAAGGAGAGTGAGAGCAGAGATGGGTTCAGGGATGTGGAATGCTGTCCTCCAGCCCAGACAGGCCAAGACAAAGAAAACCAGAGGCTGGAGAAGCTTGGGCTGCTTTTGCAGAGGACCCAGTTTTGGTTCCCAGCATCCATATGGCAGCTCACAACTGGGCACAAGGCTCACACATAGTCCACATACATATATGCAGGCAAAACTCAAACACACACACACACACAAAATTAAACCTAAATTTTTTACATTTATTTTGATACAGAGTTGGAAAAATTATATTTGTCATTTTATATTTATTAACAATAGTTCATACAAAAAGATTTAACAGCTCTATTAAGAAGAAAGTTCTGCCAGGTAGTGGTGGTACATGCCTTTAATGCAGCACTTAGGAGGCAGAGACAGGCAGATAGATATCTGTGAATTCAAAGCCAGGCTGGTCTCCAGAGTGAGTTCCAGGACAGCCAGAGCTACACAGAGAAACCCTGTCTGGAAAAAAAGGGAGAAGAAGAAGAATGAAGCTACAAACTAAAGCAGGATGTGGTGGTGCAGATCTGGAAGTCAGAACTCAGTAGACAGCAAGAGCCCCAGAAGTTTTAGGCCAGTCTGGTCTACACAGTGAGTTCAGACCACTTGGGACTAGGGACTCTGAGAAAGAAAGAATGAAGGGAGGAAGGGAGGGAAAGAAAAGGAAAAAGAAAAGGGGGAAGAAAGAGGTAGGGAAAGTAAGAGGAAAGGAAGAAACAAAGGCTCATTAACTTGTTCAAGATAATACAGCATCATGGTTTTTTTTGGGGGGGGTGTGCTTGATTTTTTTTTTTTTTTTTTGGTTTGGTTTGGTTTTTTGGTTTTTCGAGACAGGGTTTCTCTGTATTGTTTAGGAGGCTGTCCTGGAACTAGCTCTATAGACCAGCCTAGCCTCGAACTCACAGAGATCCGCTTGCCTCTGCCTCCCAAGTGCTGGGATTAAAGGCGTACACCACCAATGCCCGGCCTGTTTTTTGTTTTGTTTTGTTTTTTTCGAGACAGGGTTTCTCAGTAGCTAAGGAGTTAGTCCTAGAACTCACTCTGTAGACCAGGCTGTCCTCAAACTCTCAGAGATCCACCTGCTTCTGCCTCCTGAGTGCTGGGATCAGTCGTGTGCTATCACCGCCCAGCCTGTTTTGGTTTTTCAAGGCAGGGTTTCTCTGTGTAGCCCTGGCTGTCCTGGAACTCACTGTGTAGACCAGGCTGTCCTGGAACTCACTGTGTAGCCCTGGCTGTCCTGGAACTCACTGTGTAGACCAGGCTGTCCTGGAACTCACTGTGTAGACCAGGCTGGCCTTGTTTTAAACTGTACCATTCTACTTCTGAGACTGTCACAGAAGCAGGTGCCTTCTTTCATGCCTGCTGCCTGGTATCATTACCTCCCCAAATCTGTTGTTCTTACCTGTCATTCTGAATTTTCTTCAGTGTCTCCAGGGTCATCATGGTCTGCCTTGTAGGAGTCTTTAAGATAAAGTCCTGGCCTCGTTGTTTGATTTCTGGCCCAGTGGATTTTTCCTTAGCTGACAAAGGAACAGATGATTTCCTTGTACTTGAGGCCATTGATGTTCTTTCATGACTGGTTTTCTGAAAATAAATGGCGTCCTAAGATACTGTTTTAGGCCGGGCGTTGGTGGCGTTCGCCTTTAATCCCAGCACTCAGGAGGCAGAGGCAGGCGGATCTCTGTGAGTTTGAGGCCAGCCTGGTCTACAGAGTGAGTTCCAGGATAACCTCCAAAGCAATACAGAGAAACCCTGTCTCGAAAAACAAAACAAAACAAACAAACAAACAAAGATACTGTTTTAGGAGCTGTAGAGATGGCTCAGTGGTTAAGAGTACTTATTCTTGCACAGGACTCATGTGGAGGCTCACAACCATCTGTAACTCCATCCAGGGCACCCACACACCCTCTTCAGACCTCTGTGGGTGTACGTGATGCACAGACATACACTCAGACAAAACATTCATACACATAAAAATTAAATAAACCTTAACAAGAAACATTTTAGAGAAGATTGTTTTAAAGAGGCAACACTCTAAGAGGACTGCTATCTATTTTTCAACCTTTTTCTCCACTTGCATTCCATACTCCAAGAAAACAGACCTTTCTTCAGCCCCATCAAACCACATACCCAGCTATTTCCTGTCTTCCTGCTCCACACATTCTGTCATCCCCTAACTTACCGCTTGGTGAACTATAGACAAAGAGGGAAGGTAAAGCTTGGGGCTGAGGGGGCAGGCCCGTGATAGAATACATCCTTAACATGCGGAAGGCCCTGGACCATCCCCAGCATCACAAAGGGAAAAGAGTGAGAGTTCGATGGTTCCGGCTTTCAATCCCAGTACCTGGGCAGTACAGGGCAGAGGTCAGGATTTCTGGGTCACCTGGCAGGGTATTAAGTTTCAGGCCAGCTTGGGCTAAGGTTGACCCTGCTCAGAACTACAAAGCAACAATCCAAAACTAAATGGTTAAAAGCCAAATCAACAAAAACCCACAGTGAGCCGGGCGGTGGTGGCGCTCGCCTTTAATCCCAGCACTCGGGAGGCAGAGGCAGGTGGATCTCTGTGAGTTCGAGACCAGCCTGGTCTACCGAGCGAGTTCCAGGACATGGTCCAAAAAACAATACAGAGAAACCCTGTCTCGAAAAAACCAAAAAAAGAAAAAAAAAAAAAGAAAGAAAAAAACCCCACAGTGATCTGTAAGCTTACCATATTGTAAGTATAAAATACCAAGATGAGGTAGATCATGGGCTCTATGAGAGGAGAGACAGTGTCTTAGAGGCATCAGTTCACTTCACATTCTTTTATTTCTTCCACTTATTCATTATTTATTTATTTATTACTTTTTTCTTTCTGTATTGGGGATAGAACACCAGACTTTGTGCCTGGACATTTCAGATTCTGAGCTAATCCCTATTTCTTCATTTTCTTTCATTTCAAATTCTCCATGGAATAAGGTTGGATATAAACATGATCATCCTGGGCCTGGAGAGATGGCTCAGCAGTTAAGAGCACTGGCTGCTCTTCCAGGGGTCCTGAGTTCAATTCCCAGCAACCACGTGCTGGCTCACAACCATTGTAATGAGATCTGGTGCCCTCTTCTGGCCTTCAGGGACACATGCAGGCAGAACACTAGATACACAGACAGCATGGTGGCATGCACCTGTGGTCATGGTATTAGGAAGGCTGAGTGGAGTCACGAGAAAACTCACTGAACAACACAGTGAGACAAACAACAAAAAACTATATTTAAAAAAAACTATACAAAATAAAAGAATTGTACTAAAAAGTGAAAATTGGAATCAGATTTAGTGATGTAGTTCAGATCCTAGGGCTATATAGGAAAAGTCATATTTTTCAGACCTAAATTCAAGTACTTAGGAACCACAGGACATCATGTGTCTCCCAATCTCCCAATTGATTCTTTTTTTTTTTTTCCTGAGACAGGGTTTCTCTGTATTGTTTTGGAGCCTGTCCTGGAACTCACTCTGTAGACCAGGCTGGTCTCCAAGTCACAGAGATCCACCTGCCTCTGCCTCCCAGTGCTGGGATTAAAGGCGTGTGCCACCAATGCCCGGCTCCCAATTGATTCCTACTGAACTTGTGGCTAAAAGCTTGGGTTACTGACAGTGACTACACTTTTGGACTGTAAAGTCAGCTTCTGTGTCTAAATCCTGGTTCTGTTTTTTACTAATCATATTGACCTTAGGTAACTACCTACTTAGGTAACTGCTACTTTCCTATTGGCAAAATAAACAGCTAATGTTTTAGAAATTGGACAAGGAGAGAGCATGGAAATATAAGAGAAAATATGATAATCTTCTTTCTCTCTTTTCCCCAGATCTCAAACTCCCTTCTCCCTCATCATGGTTCTCTCTATTCTCATGTCCTGGGTGAGTGTATATGTAAGTTCAGATCTCATCTATGAGAGAATACATGCACCTGCACACAAATGCGCGCGCGCACACACACACACACACACACAATGAGGGCTAGAGAAGTGGATGATTTAGCAGTTCAGAGCATAAATTATTTTTGCAGAGGACCTAAAGTTTGATTCCTAGCATCCAAGCCATGTGGTACCTATATTCACATGCACACATACTCCACACACAATTAAAAATAATAAACCTTTAAGGAATGAAATCTGTAAAGGGTAATTAGAGGTAAATTTAGTCTTCTTCTATTAGTATGAACTTCTCTGTTAGACATGAAAAACAAAGTACTCTCTCTTCAACATAGTGGGTTTTACTGATCACAAGATTATAAATAATATATTCTGTACAAATTTTATTTTTTAATTTATTTAATTTTTTTAGACAGGGTCTCTCTGTATAGCCCTGATGGACTTGGAACTTGCTCTGTAGACCAGGCTGTTTTCAAACTCAGAGATCCACCCAACTCTGCCTTCCAAGTGCTGGGATTAAAGGCATGCACTCCTACTACCTGGCAAAAAAATGTGTTTTTTAAATTACATTTATAGGATTGGAGAGATGGCTCAGAGATTAAGAGAACTTGCTATTCTAGTAGAGGACCCAGGTTCAGTTCCCAGCATCAACATTTCACCTTGCAATCATCTGTAACTCCAGTTCTAAAAGATCCATAACCTTCTTCTGACTTCCTTGGGCACCAGGTATGTATGTGGTGAACATCCATACATTCAGACAAAATACCCACACACTTAAAAAAAACTTTCAAAAAATTACATTTGCTTTTGTATTTGGAGTGGGGCAGGCATGTGACCCGAGTGGGTTTGGAAGCCAGAGGACAACTTATGGAAATCAGTTATTTCTTCCAGTGGTGGGTCCCAAGGGTCAAACTCAGGTCATTAGTCATGCTAAGCACCTTTCCCCACTGAGCCATCTCACCAACCTGGCCTGGAACTTTCTATGTAGATCAGGCTGGCTCAAACTCCCTGCAATTTTCTTGTCTCTGCATCACCAGTGCTAAGATTACACATATGAGCTCAGTGGGACCCAGAAATCCACATTACCATTGAAAATATAACTGCTGACATGGTAATGTGCCCAGATATTTGCAAAAGCAGAATGCAACATATTCAGCAACAACAACAGAGTTGTTTTTGTTTAATGCAATGTTGACAGAGTCCAGATGCATTTCCTCCACACTTAGTGTCCAGTTGGCTTTTAGCAACCAAGAAATACAAGATAGGTGGGACATTTGGTCTCAGAAAACTTAAACTGTGATCTCAGTATATGCACAGTAGCCCCTCAACATCCATAAGATAGGTTCCTGGGCACCCCTGGATACTCAAGCCTCTTAAATAAGGCTGGTGCGACATTACATACAATCTAGGCAAATACTCTCTATGTTTTAAATAGGCTCTAGATTTCCTATAACGGTGAATACAATGTACAATAGTTGTTATATTGAATTGTTTAGGAATAGTGATGGGGGGGGGTCTAACATATCCAATAAAGACCAAACTTTTTCCAAATATGTTTTTGCCAGAGATTGGCTGAATTCAGAGACCCGGAATCTGTACACCAAAGGCTGTCTGCTGTGTTTACACAGACTTAGCTTTGGGCCTTATGAACAAATGCCAGTATATTGCTAAAGCACACCATGCTCCCTGGGCTATATGCTACTTGTTCTGTTTTAAGCATGGACCTCAAATAACTGTGATATGGCCTTTTACCCAACGTAAAGGTGTTGTTTCCCAAGCTAAGTAGTACAAGCACTGGAGAGGTTGACAGGAAAGGCAACAAGATGGTATGGATGAGGTGAGGGTGCTGACCTGGCTGAGGCTCTGCCTTCTTTCATATTGGACTGGAATGATGTAGCCTAGAATAGAAAGCTGGTCGATGATGTCCTCCATAATGGTAGAGACCCTCAGCACGTCTAGAAGGGACAGTGAATCTATGACTTCTACGGAGGTTTCTTCCTCTTCTTCATTATCTAGTTCTTCTTCTACAGCACCAGGAGGTTCTCCTGTCACTACCATAGTCACCTCAGCATGCAAACCTTCTGAAGAGAAGTCCAGGGCTTCCAACTGGTCCCTAAGGCCAGGAGACAAGAAAGATTAAGTCAGTGGCCAATGAGGAAATATTACTTACCCTCAAAAACACAGGTGAATTGACTCCTGTGAGGTTCACATTGTCATATAACATAACCTCTAGAAAAACAAAGGCAGGCCAAGCACCCTCCAGTAGGACAACTGAAGACAAAGTACTGGCCAGTAAAGCTGAGCAGTCTATCTATGCTGTCTGCCTATGCTAATGCAAGTTGAATGCGAGCCACAATTAACTTGATCCAAAAGCATCATGTTTAGATGCTAACCAAAAGTGCCTCCTGGTTACTGAAAGACAGTCAATGGTAGCCAGCCTCCAAGGTGGTCTGTGTTTATGTCTGTGTGGTTTTCCCTACACTGAGCGAGAGGAAGTGTGGTTTCCAAAGCAAGTGGTGAATAACATGGCAGCTTCGCTGTCACTCGGAAGCTCACTCCCAGGGGAGCAGGGTGCCCTGTCTGGCCCTGGTCAGCTTCAATCTCCTGGTTAATATTGTCAACTTGGCTGGATCTAGACTCACCAGATAAACCTCTGGGCATTGCTGTGGAGGATTTTCTAAGACAGGGTTGCTTGAGATGGGAGGACTCACCTTAAATGGACTGAATAGGGGCTAAAGAAATGGCTCAGAGATTAAGAACACTGACTGTTCTTCCAGAAGTCCTGGGTTCTATTCCCAGCACCCACATGGCAGCTCGCAACCATCTGTAATTACAGTTCCAGGGGGCCCAAGACTTAAATACACTTAAAAATAAATGTTTTTAAAACTGGACTCAATAAAAGGTGAAATCCAAGTAAGCCTCAGCACTCAACTCCCTCCATCCCTCCCTCTCTCTCTCTCTCTCTTATCTCTCCCTCCCCCCCAACCTCCTTACTGTGGATGTCATGTGACCAGTCCCTTTCCCTCCATAACAGACTTTCCCTGCAAGAGTAAGCCAAAACAAAGCTTTTTGCTTCTTCCCTTAAACTGCTTCTTCTTTTTTTTTTTTTTTTTTTTTTTTTGGTTTTTCGAGACAGGGTTTCTCTGTGGTTCTGGAGGCTGTCCTGGAACTCACTCTGTAGACCAGGCTGGCCTCGAACTCACAGAGATCCGCCCGCCTCTGCCTCCCGAGTGCTGGGATTAAAGGCGTGCGCCACCAACACCCGGCTTAAACTGCTTCTTTTTTTTTTTTTTTTTTTGGTTTTTCGAGACAGGGTTTCTCTGTGGCTTTGGAGGCTGTCCTGGAACTCACTCTGTAGACCAGGCTGGCCTCGAACTCACAGAGATCCACCTGCCTCTGCCTCCCGAGTGCTGGGATTAAAGGCGTGCGCCACCAACACCCGGCTTAAACTGCTTCTTGTTCCGGGTTTTGTTACAGCAATGAGAGAACTAACTAAGCACAGACCCCAAACCAGGGCCATTTTCTAAGCTCTTCCTGAACTCCCAACCCACAGGACTCTGAGATGGTAGACCTTTATAGTCTAGGTCATTAAAATTTGGGGGGAGTTTGTACCAGGCTTTTTCTTTTGGGTCACCAACCAACTCCCAAATCATGACACAGAGACTTACTATTAGTTATGAATGCTCAGCCTAGCTTAGGCTCATTTCTGGCTAACTTGTTTGTTTTGTTTTGTTTTTCGAGACAGGGTTTCTCCGTATTGTTTTGGAGCCTGTTCTGGTACTCTCTCTGTACACCAGACTGGACTCCAACTCACAGAGATCCTTCTGTCTCTGCCTCCCGAGTGCTGGGATTAAAGGCGTGAGCCGCCAATGCCCAGCTTCTGGCTAGCTTTTTTGTTTTGTTTTGTTTTTTTTCAAGACAGGGTTTCTCTGTGTTGGGGTACCCCAAATTGAGGAGGGGTCCCCAAGCTGGATTCGTCACCCCAAGAATCAAGAGTCCACGCGCCAATTGATGCAACACGCAAGAGGCTTTAATTAGGCATCTGCAGATGGGCCTCTCGGTCACCTTTTAGACCGATTGGCCCTGAGGTTCAGTTACAATCAGCTTTTAAAGACAAAAAACACAAGCCTTTGGGAGGGGTCCCTATCTTGTGACGGGGGGGTATGTGACTACTGACCAGGGGAAGTAGATATCTTCCTGACCTACACGTTGTAAATTCCTCAAACCTTGGTATGAGTTAATCATCTCTCCCTAAGTAAATGGTGGTTATCATCTCCTTGTTTCCCACGAATCTTGTTTGCCCATCTCTGACGCCCTGGTCAGTTCTTCACAGGTGGTCAGCAGCCTGGAATTGGCCTTTTGTGGGTTTACAGCCCTTCTGCAATTAAGGTTGCTAAACCATACATTTCATTCTGTGGTTTAGCCAGTTCCTGGGATGGGGTCCTTTGTTCACTTCCCAAGTTCTCTAGTGGGGTGCCCTCCCTGTTTAAGCTTATATTTTATTTCTATAAATTCGGGGTCTTTCACTCTGTATAGTTTTAGAGGCTGTCCTGGAACTCGCTCTGTAGACCAGGCTGGCCTTGAACTCACAGAGATCCGCCTGCCTCTGCCTCCCAGTGCTGGGATTAAAGGCGTGCGCCACCACCGCCTGGCTCTGGCTAGCTTTTTAAACTTAAATTAACCTGTTTTTGTCTCGAGGCTTTTTACCTTTCTCTCTTCTGTATATCTTTTGTTTTGTTTCTTGGGTTTTCGAGACAGGGTTTCTCTCTGTACTGCTTTGAAGGTTGAGGTTGCCCTTGAATTAGCTCTTGTAGACCAGGCTAGTCTCAAACTCAGACAGTTCTGCCTGCCTCTGCCTCCGAGTGCTGGGATTAAAGGCGTGCACCACCACCGCCCGGCTCGCCCAGCTCTTCTGTACATCTTACTTTCACTCTTCCTCCTGACTGGCAGCTGCCTGGCTTCTGGCCCTGAGTGACTCTCTTTCTCCCTTGTTCTCTTCATCCTTCTTCTCTTGTTCTTCTCTCTCAAGCCTAGATTTCTCTCCCTATTTGTTCTATCTACCTGGCAGCCTTGTCTGTCCTTTCACAGTCTAACTACCGACTGTTGAGCTCTTTAATAGACCAGTCAGGTGCCTCAGGCAGGCAAGGTTAAACAAATGCCATCTTTAGATAATTAAGCATACATCTTTACATAGTTAAACAAATACAGCAGAAACAAAAGTAACACACCTTTACACAGTTAAAGTAATATTCCACAGCCAAAACAAATGTGACACATCTTTGCCTAGTTAAAGTAATATTCGACAACAGCAGTTTGTTATGCAGTAACAGATAAATAATCCACAGAATTTAGTTATTACAATAATGTAACACTATATGTACAAACAAACTGGAATTTGAACATACCCTTCCATTCTTCCTGAGTTACTTCTGTTGTCTTCTGGGATAGATTTATAATTTCACAAGAATTCAGGAAGCTAAAATGGAAAAGAAATGCTATTAGTTCAAGAGAATGCTGAATCCTGTTTTCTTTATTCCCATGCTCTTTCACTAGGAGAAAAACAAATCCGAAAATTACAAGAGCTGTGGTTTATCTCCTTCTCCTCAGTGGAGCAGACTCACAGGGTGAGGCTTATTCAGTGGTTGGTTTCATTACTGGTCTACCAAAAGAAGATACATGCAACACAGCATTTTGCCTCTTCTTATGGTAATTTAAAGACAATTTTAGGATGTGTCATTGTATTCTGATTTTGAATTTGTAATCACTATAGAACAGATTTAGTTATTGTTTAATTTTTCTATTATTCTCTCCTCTATATTGAATTAAATGAATCTACCCTGTTCTGTCAGATTATAGAATTTATTGTACCTTGACTTAGAACAATTGAACATTTAGAAGACTGTATTTTTTAAAAAATTATTCATTTTTATGTGCATTGGTGTTTTACCTGCATGTGTGTGTGTGTGTGAGGGTGCCAGATTCCCTGGAACCAGAGTTACAGACAGTTGTGAGCTGCCTTGTGGGTGCTAGGAATTGAACCTAAGTCTTCTGGAAGGGCAGTCAGTGCTCTTAATTGCTGAGCCATCTCTCCAGCCCCCAAAAAACTATATTAACCATGGAAATCAGTTTCAGTTATTATCTTTCAGAGATGGGCATGGTGGCAAAAGTCTGTAATCCCAGTACTTGGGAAGGGGAGGGGCGAGAATCAGGAGTTCAAGGCCATCCTTGGCTTAACATAGGGAGTTTGATAAGCTACATGGGACCTTGTCTTTGTTGCTAATGTTTCTTTTATTGTTTTTACTCATGTGTGTGTGCCTGTTTGGCCCTATGCGCACCCCATGGACACACAGAAGACCAGAAGATCCCCTGAAACTGAAATTACAGGTAGTTGTGAGCCATGTGATAGTAGATACTGAGAATCGAACCCCATATCTCTCCAAAAGCATTAAGTGCTCTTAACCACTGAGCCATCCCTCCAGCCTAGTTCCTCTTTTTAAAAAAATGCATATGAATCTAGTTCCAGATCTGAGGCTCTCTTCTGACCCCTGAAAACACCCACATACATGTGACACACACACCTGTACATAAACGTGTTTTGGTTTTGGTTTTCCAGACAGGGTTTCTATGTGTGGCCCTGGTTGTCCTGGAATTTTCTCTGTAGACCACGCTGGCTTTGAATTCACAGAGATCCGCCTGCCTCTGCATCCCGGAGTGCTGGGATTAAAGGAAGGCCTGTGCCACCACCACCCGTCTTCATAAACAGTTTTGGTTGGTCAGTTGTTTGGTTGGTTGATTTAAGGAAGTTATCACCTTCTAACATGCCAGATGTTCTATCTGATTGTTGTCTTGTGATTTTGGGAGTGGGGGGGGGCAGGATATCGGTGTACATGTTATGTACTTCTGACTGGCCTGAAACATAAAGCAATCTTCATACTCCAGCCTCCCAAGTGCAGGAACTACAGGCACAAGAGCCAAAGTGCCCAGCCTGCAAGAGGGAGAAGGTTCTATCTGTTTACTGCAGTGCCCTCAAGCCTACACCATTCTCCCTCGTGGTAGTTAGTCATGCAGTACTTGCTGAATAAATGAATGAAGCCATCAGTCAGCACAGAGTAATGCAGAATTAGGAAATGTGAATCTGAGTCTACTAAATTCATCCTCACCTGGCAAGTAAAACAATGGAAGAGTGAATATTACCGTCTCTCATTTTCCGCACTCCCTCTCCCCCTTTAAGAGGGGTCTTTAAAAAAAAAAAAGGCCGGGTGTTGGCGCACGCCTTTAATCCCAGCACTGGGGGGGCGGGTAGAGGCAGGTGGATCTCTGTGAGTTCAAGGCCAGCCTGGTCTACAGAGCGAGTTCCAGGACAGCCTCCAAAGCTACACAGAGAAACCCTGTCTCGAAAACAAAAACAAAAACAAGGAGAGAGAGAGGGGGGTCTCATATAGCTCAGGGTGACTAGCAGTCCCGATCTATTGTCCTGCTTGCGCACCCATGATACTGGGACGACAACCAAGCACCGCGACCTGCGGTTTGCCTCGTACGCTGCTGTAGTTTAAAATGGGACCTTGCTGTCTAACTCAGTCTGGCCTCGAATTTGTGATGTGATACCTCAGGCTCCGGAATGAGTTCTGACATTAACAGACAGGAATCACCATGCCCTGTTTTTTTGTTTTTGTTTTTTTTTCTTGAAAGATAAAGATTCAGATAAGAGAAAAGAGCGAAGAGAAAGGAGCGTTTCCCCTGCCTTCGTGCTCCAGGTTTTTCTGCCCTCTATGGGTAGGATCCCATTCTAGGGAAAAAAAAAAATACTCCTTTTCCTCACCTTTCCACCAGCCCGGCAGGAGGAGGGACCCAAACTAAGGCGTAGCTATGGCAACGCGCAGGCCTTTTTTTTTTTTCTTTTGGTAGGACCTTTGCCTTTTTCTTAGTCGACTACAATTTTGCCTTTTTCACCCCCCGAAGTGCTACGTGTCGCCGCTCACAAAGATGAGAGAACAAGAGAAGAAAGTAAAGTTCCCGAGCGTGGCTCGGCTGAGTCGAGCCTCTGCCTGACCATTTCTCTCCGGCAGAGGGCAAGCGGCCTAAGCGCGGAGAGGGGCGGGGCGTGCATCCCACAAGGCCGCGCGGCGGGGCCTCCCTTCCTCTTCCCGCCATCTTGGCGCCTGTGGAGGTGAGCGCAGTTCCTGCTGTTGAACTTTGGGGGCGGATTCCTGGGGTGGGTTTGTGTACGTCGCCCCCCCGAGACCTCCCTGCATCTCGGGGACCCTGACCGCTCTCGATTTCTGGAGGTTCCAGGGGGAGGGAGGGCGGGATGGGGGAGATGAGGGACCGATGGTGTTGAGTGCCCGGGTCGTGGGACGGAGAGCTCGCTAGTCCGGCGGTCCTCGGGCTCGGAGGGCGCGTTCCTTCCGCCTTGCTCGCCCGGGAAGCGGCGATCCCTAGAAGCTGCTTTCCCCGAGCTGGACCTTGTGTGTGTCACCTGTGCGCTCTGCGGAGTTTTGTCAACTGATAGAGGCTTAAGTTTGTCTCTGGGCTCCTTACGGGGTTTCTAGAAGTTAGATCGTTGTTCAGGCTTCCCCACACCTAGCTTTTCCACGTTTCGGAGTAGTGAGTTGTCATTCGTTCTGGGGAGTCTTGAGTGTTTTGCCAGGCTCTGTTTCTGTAGATGATATGGCAGAGTTAGGAGTTCCCAGTGCTGGAAGTGCTACTGCATTCGCCCAACGTGCTCAAGAAAAGAAGTTGACAGGTTCCCGGGAAACGTGCTCCATGGCTCTAATTTGAGATCTTGTTTGTTTTCAGGCCTGCTGGGAACAGGACTTTTCTAAAAGGCAAATATGTCTGGAAGGTACGAGGTTCGGTTTTCCCTTTTTTATTAGTCTTAAGTAGATGTGAAACCCAGATTTAAAATAATGCGGGAGGGGAACAAGATGTTTGCTTTACATAGCTTCAAAACAAGTCATGATGGATTGCCAGAAGTTAAACGAAAAGTTGTGAAGTTCATTCATAGTGTCTGTCTTGTGTGTCTTAGGCTGTGGTGCAAGGCCACTTTTGCTGGCTATAAGCGAGGCCTCCGGAACCAGAGAGAGCACACGGCTCTTCTTAAAATTGAAGGTGTTTATGCCCGAGATGAAACTGAATTCTACCTGGGCAAGAGATGTGCTTACGTGTATAAAGCAAAAAAGTAAGTGTGGTTTGATGCCTTTTTACTGGAAAAGCAGAGGGTTAGTGAGGACTGATACTGTTGATTCTGCTTAGAGGTGTGAGGAGGAACTTGTTAGGAGATTATAGATGTTGTCAGTGGTAGTGAAATAGGCAACCGTGGCTTTTAGAAAAATTGCAGTTGTATAAAGGCCCTGGGTTTGAAGGGACCAGCCCCCCAGTCTCAACATGGTTTAAAATAAGAGATTAAGGCTTCCCACCCCCCACAAGGCATTACAGAATACTTTTGAATGCATCTTGGCTTGTTTTAATTCCTTGGGATATTTTTGCGTTGTCTTTTATTTTAAGGTGGATACTGCCTTGGCTCTTTTGGCTCTTTGCCTACTGGGAATTGATCATAAGGCCTTATACACGTTATAAGGTCATGAGTATGTTCAAACTCCTGTGATGCATGCCTTTAATCCCAGCATTTGGGAGGCAGAGGGGGATGCCTCTGAGTTCCAGGCTAGCCAGGACTCCAGGGGTTCATTTCATTCAACTATTGAAAGGTTCAGGCATTACTCTGGCCTGCCCTGTTACCTGGCAGGATGCGTTCAGGCAGCACTCTGGCCAGCCCAGAGTTCCGTGAGAACCAGGTAGATGCAAAGGACCCCTTTAAAGGACTGACCCCTGCCCGTTTATGCTCTCCTACTCTCTTGCTCTTACTCTCTCTCTGCTCTGCATGGGTTGGTTACCTCTCACCCCCCTTTTCCCTCCCCGTCCACGTGGGATCGTTGAGTCGCGGTCTGTGTCTCCTTACTGGATAAACCTAAACTTTTTTTTTTTTTTGGTTTTTAGAGACAGGGTTTCTCTGTGGCTTTGGAGGCTGTCCTGGAGCTCACTTTGTAGACCAGGCTGGCCTCGAACTCACAGAGATCCACCTGCCTCTGCCTCCCGAGTGCTGGGATTAAAGGCGTGCGCCACCAACGCCCATTGGTCATCATCTTATTAAAAATTGTTTGACATGTGTGAACTGTTGAATGAAAGTATTAGATATCAGTTTCCTAAAGGGTTCTTTGTGGAAAACTAGAGGTGAAAGCTGGGTCCTAGAAAATAATCAAGTTTGTGTCAGGTAATGTTAGTGAAAAGCTGTCATGCTTCTTGTGTCCTTTTAAAACAGCAACACAGTGACACCCGGAGGCAAACCAAACAAAACCAGAGTGATCTGGGGAAAAGTAACCCGGGCCCACGGAAACAGTGGCATGGTTCGTGCCAAATTCCGAAGCAACCTTCCTGCGAAGGCCATTGGACACAGAATCCGTGTGGTAAGTGCAAACAGCAGAGTAAATGACTCTTTGTCAAAGTTCAAGGGTGGACTTACTCTAAAGGCTTTAGTGAGTGACGGAAGTGGCAAATTGGATAGAACATCTGTTGATTGTTGAGAGAAAAGCTAGGTGAAAGCAGATGATCAAATGAATTACGTGAGTTTCAGATTTTGCTAAAGCTGATTGTCAGAAGAAATATCTTGGGCAGATTTTGGTTGTGTCTTTGAGACAGGTCTCACTTTATCTCTGGTTGTCCTGGGATTTTTTAAATGGACAAGGCTAATCTTTATTTGAGGCAGTGTCCAGGCAGGCCTGGTCCTCCTGCCTTAGCCTCCCAAGTACATGGGATTTAATGCCAGTCCTATTAGGCTTGTCTTGTGTCATATATGCTTTGGGGTGGGATGCTTACTATAATATTTAGCTACATCGATCATGTATGTCAGTTTTACCATACCAGAATATGTGGGAAAACATACTCTAGGTCTCGGGACTTGGGTCCTTGTCTTAGACATAAAATAATGAGATTTTTAGCAAGGCAGTGGTGTTGCACACCTTTGATCCCAGCACTAGGGAGCCAAGAGGCAGGGGAGTCTCTGTAGTTCCAGGACAACTGGGGCTGTTACACAAAGAAACTGTCTCAACCTAAAAGAGCAACAACAAAAAAAAACCAACCCAAGAACTAGATGAGAATTTTGTCAAATATCTTTAGGGTACACTTACACTATAATGATGGTAATGCTAGACTTAGTGCGACCATACCTGACTCTCATATTATACTCTGGTGCTGTTATTTTATTTTTATATGTGTGGGCACACATGCCACAGCATTATGTCAAGGTTAAAGGACAGTGTTTTGGAAGCCACCTCTTCTACTGCGGCAGTTACAAGAACTCATGTGGTCATGAGTTCCTGTGCCCGCTGAGCCATTTCACCATCCCTTGAAAATTTTTGTTGCTGTTTTGGGGTTGGGATGATAAAATCAGGATCTAGGCCCAATTATACCTAGAGTTCATAGTGCCTTGTGCTTACTAAGTGTGGAGTGGAGGGGTGCTGGTTCTTGGGGCTGGGGAGATGGTTCAGTTGGTAAAAGCGTGCTGCACAAAAGGAAGTCCACAGTTCTTTCCCCGGGAGCCATATAAAAAATTCAGGCATAGCAGTGGGTTTGAGGAATTCTAGCGCTGGGGAGAAGATCCTTGATGATATATTGGGACAGCCAATGAACTCTAGGTTCACTCAGTGAGAGACCTCCTTATCTCAAAGTGAAAAGCCATGGAAGCAAACGAATGTCACGGGGTGTGTGTGTGTGTATACACATATGTAAATATGTGCGCAAAATGAGTATTGGCAACTGTGTTTCTTAAAGGCCAAATGCAGTACAAACTAAACTTCCTTCATATCAGCATATTTGTCCTTTTTGTGTATCCAATGATTTGTAAGTTTGTATGTATCATTCACCTAATGTTTATATGCTTTTCTTTTTTCCCAGATGCTGTACCCTTCCAGAATTTAAACTAATGAAAAGTAAATAAAGAAAAGTGGATTTGTGGTCTTGTTTTTTTTTTTTTCACCAGAACGTCCTAAAAGATTCTCTGTGTATCTAAGGTGATGGAAGTTGTCTAGCATTTTCAGAGTGCAAGGAAATTCTATATAATTGACAGTATTGACTAAATAGGCATGTTTAAGATTCCCCTGTTGCCTGGGCTGTGGTGGCGCACGCCTTTAATCCCAGCACTCTGGAGGCAGAGGCAGGCGGATCTCTGAGTTCGAGGCCAAGTTAGACCAACAGCCTCCATCCAAAACAATACAGAGAAACCCTGTCTGGTAAAACCAAAAAAAAAAAAAAGATTCCCCTGTTGTAGGGGGGAGTAGAGCTGAGCTGGGATTGACATCTGAAACAAGCTTGTTTCTAACTTCAAAAAAAAATCCCTTGTAGGGCCTAGCTAGCATTAAAGGCTAGCTAGGCTCACAACCAAAAATATAAAAGATCCCTTGTCACCAGGTGGTGGCAGTGCACAGCTTCAGTCCCAGCAGAAGGGACAGCCTGGTCTACAGGGAGAATTTCAGGATAGCCTAGGCTATACAGTGTCTTGAAAAATCCCCCAAAACGTAATGCCATTGCTCTGGTATTTTAGGCCAGTCAGGACTACTGAGAGCCTGTCTCAAAGTTCTACTTTATTGCTGGGGCGTCATAGTGGGTGGTGTACAAGGTTTGGGAAAGTGATTTCAGTTCTAGACTTAAGCATTGAATCATCTTGGGCATGGGGTAGGTGAAGCGTTTGGGTGATGTGGTTTTGCGGCTGGAGGTCTCCTGATGTTCAGTATAGGTAGGGAAAGTTCAGTACAAAGAGTTGCGAAGAACTTAATTGGTGCTTCTCTTGGTGTTGCCTCATTTGGATGAGTTGGGGCATTAATTTGGGATTAGTTAAATAAGAGTAGATGTACATTACTTTTTATATGTTGGTGAAAGCCCTTGAAAAATGGCTTTCCTTGATTTTAAAGCCCACTGCAGGGTTGATAGCATATTTACAACAAAATAGTGAGTAGGGCTCTAAAATGCTTGTAATTTTGAGGATGTGCTAAAAATAGGAAGGCTTCTATAGTTTGGCTAATTGCTAGCAAGTCCTTTTTATTAAACAGTCTTTAGACTGGATTGTAAATGTGTACGAGGTCCTGAGCTAATATACTTTGTGAAAAGTGAATTCTCTTCCCACAGTAAATGAATGCCAAGACCAAGGTGGGGCATAGGCCGGTTAGTTCAAGCTGAAGTGTCTCCAGAGGAGTGTGCTGGGAAGCAGTGGGTCAGCTAGTTAGCTCACTAGATCCCTAAAGGACTCACTCTTGGAAAAATCTAGGTTTCAAGGGTAGGAGGTGCCATTGGGATTACCACAAATGAAAGCTGGTTTTCCAAAAAGGCAACTTGTGTTTATGGCTCAGGGCAGTAGTGGCACACGTCTTTAATCCCAGAAGCCGGGCAGGTCCCTGAGTTTGAGGCCAGTCTGCCCTAGAGTTCCAGGATAGGCTCCAAAGGTACACGGAGAAACCCTGTCTCAAAAAAGTGTTCAGCAGCCTCAGGAATAGAAAAATTAAGTAGGGTGTAATGTGAAGAGCACATAGTGAGAGCACTAGGTGTCTCAGGACAAAGTTCTTGGGAAACAAGGCATGAACAGTCTTCAAAATTTCTTATGAGGTTCCCCCCATTGTGGTTACGGAAATTAACGAGTGACAAGGTTAATATGTTTGGATTATCTTGGCAACCCTTTATAAACTGAAATGGGATTTGGGATTTTAAACTTTGGAGAAGTAGAGTGAGTTCCATAAATGCTGATTTAATCAAGCTTTAAATTTGCATTTTACAGGTAACTGGTTGTGAAGGTTTCAAGAATTTGGTTTTGGTAATTGCATAGATAATGTTTACAAGGTTGGGGGGGCTGTGAGCCGAGTGGTGGCGCACGCCATTAATCCCAGCACTCCGGAGGCAAAGGCAGGCGGCTCTCTGAGTTCGAGACCAGCCTGGTCTACAAGAGCTAATTCCAGGACAGCCTCGAAAGCCACAGAGAAACCCTGTCTCGAAAAACCAAAGGGGGAAAAGAAAAAGTTGAATGTGTGACGCAGACAAACAGTGAATAAGGTAGTATTGGAGGGGTTGATAAGAATTAGGCATTTGGCCAGGCATTGGTGGCGCACGCCTTTAATCCCAGCACTCGGGAGGCAGAGGCAGGTGGATCTCTGAGTTCGAGGCCAGCCTGGTCTACAAAGTGAGTTCCAGGACAGCCTCCAAAGCCACAGAGAAACCCTGTCTCGAAAAAAACCAAAAAACAAACAAAAAACCAAACACAAAAAAAAGAATTAGGCATTTGAAGTTGAGAAAGTTGAACCTCCACTAAGGTATAAGGAATGATTTATAATTGCCATGTCAAGTGACTTGTGCAAAGGTGCCAAACTTTTCCTGGGTTAATACTGGGTAGTCAAGCTGCCCCAGGAATCCCAAACCCCTTAGTGGGTTGTATAGGCAGCTTTGGCGGTATGAACTGAAAACAGATCTGGTTCACAGGACAATTCTAAGCTGTTAGTCCCGGCAGCTGGTGGGTACACATCTAGTGAATGGAGTAGGACAAGCGACTTCCGAGGCGGCTGCCCCCCACGCCCTTCTGCTCCGCACTAATCCCCACCAGCCCTGGGTTCCCACAGCTCAGGTCACGTGGGCTGCCCAGCGGTGTTCATTGGCCAGCTCGACGCTCGCGCGGACGCCGCTGCCCTCGTCCTCCACCGAACCCGGCCAATGGCGGAGCGACCGAGGCCCCGCCACCTGTCCGCGGCGAGGGCGGGCGGCGGCGCGGAGGCGTCGCACTCCATGGTAACGACGCCGGCCCGAAGATGGCGGCCGCTGGGGCTGGAAGAGCGGGCGGCGCGGGTGCAGGGCCGCGGGGCCGCTGGGGCGGCTGCCTGTGGGTGCGAGGTGTTCTGCTCGTGCTGGGCGGGCTCCCGGCCGGCGCCGCGGCTGCTCCCATATCCCTGAGCACTTCGCCTCCGTGTCGGCATCACGTCCCTTCTGACACTGAGGTAGGGCGAAGCGGGTGCGAGCGGGCCGGGCGAGGGAGTGCTGGCGTAACACGGAGGGTGTGGCGTCCGGGGCGCCCGACTGCAGGTGCTCTGCCGGAGAAAGCCAGCGCCCGGTCCGCCGTCGGCCCCTGCTCCGGGCAGAGCGCCTGGGTTAGGCGCTTGTCCCCCTCGCATTCCGCTTAGCCAGTAGCCCCACAAACTTGGACGAGCACCAGAATAACCGAAGCACTTGTTAAAACAGACTGCTGCCCTACTCCCTCACTTTCTGACTCAGGTTTGGCATGGGTCCTCGCAATTCAGATTCCTAGAACTGATGCTGCTCACCCGAGCACCACACCGGGAACCACTATCTGAAGACTTAAGAAGCAGTTTACGGGAGAACCAGACAGAGCTATTGGAGGGCTACTGAGAGGTCTCTGGAGACAAATTTCAGCATTTGTTTTCTAGTTATTATCGGTTTGCTGCCTTTATCCCCACCCCACCCCAGCCCTGCCAAGTCTGTTCCTCCTTCCACCCGTTTCTCTCCCAGTCTAAATTCCTTTAGTCTGTTCAAGTCTCAGCCTCAGGTCTGCCTAACCAAACTAGCCCAGTAGAGCATTCTTTCCAGTTCCACAGAACGCCTTATGTGCCCTGTGTTCTGGCCGGCGTTTAACCAGGTTCTACTCTGGTTACATTTAGCTCAGTATAATCTAGTCCTAAGGCTCCTTGAGATAACATTTGTGTTGTACTGAGGCAGCCCCATAATTACTAATCTGTGAGTAAACAAGGGACAGTACTTGAGACAGGACTGCATGGTGAGATTGGCATTTACAGTGTACCTAGAAAGCTTAGAAGCTTTATCTAGAAAAACCATTTCAGCCCAGAAATCTCAGCCTACTCTTTTTGTGGTAATTTCTAAGAATGTCGTATGCATGCTGTTTAACTTCGTTAGCCAGAATGTTAGGAAGGTTAAGTGGTGGTTTTATTATTATTATTATTACTGTTATTGCTTTGCGTTGTTTTGTTTTCTTTTTTGAGACAGGGTCTTATATCATACAGTTCTTCTTATTATTATTGCTTTGCGTTGTTTTGTTTTCTTTTTTTGAGACAGGGTCTTATATCATACAGTCCAGGTTAGCCATGAGTTGGAGGATGCCTGATCTGATAAGCCTGCCCCCATCTCAGACACCCATGTACCTACATTCAGCGTTTTAGCTTTATCATGGCATTAAATTTCAGATGGATTATTTTACTTATCCTATTGAGACAGGGTCTCTTTCTATAACACAGGCTAGCCTGGCACTGGCTATGTTGCCCAAGCTGGTTTCTAAGTCGCTTAGAATAACATCTCCAAATGCTGTCTGATGTTTTTGTTGTCTCTAGACTTGCTGTGTAGCTCAGGCTGGCCTTGAACTGGCAGATCACTCCTGGCTCTTGTCTTTTATGCTCTCCAGGGAGCTCGTCATTTAGTTGGTGTTCCTTTAAACCACATTGGCTTCTGTTTGGTTCTTTCTGTTACTGCCTGCTGGGCTTATTCACCTTAAGCCTTTGAGCACATGAGAGCTTCATTACCCCTTGTTGCCGTTCAGGTCTGTGGGGTTGAGCACAGGTCACACTCTTCTATTCTCAGGACTGTGAGTCTTCATTAGATACATAGTAGAGGCTGTGGGCTTCCCCTCTGGCTTCTCCTGTAACTCTGTGGTGCTGTAAGATCTTCTGAACACTTCAACCCGCCAAGTTTGTAATTCTCTGCATTCTGCCACCCACACAAAACCAGAATGGGAAGTGTTCTCAAGAGGAAGAAGTAGCCTTATAAGTCAGAGGTGCAGTGTATGTGTGTGTGTGTGCGCGCGCGCGCACACGTCTGTATGAATGTGTATATACATATATATTTTTAATACTTATGTGCACTGGTGTTTGGCCTGCACGTCTGTCTGTGTGAGGGTGTTGGATCCACTGGAACTGGAGCCACAGACAGCTGCGAGCTGCCATGCGGTGGGTGCTGGGAACTGAACTCAGGTCCTCTAGAAGAGCAGCCAGTGTACCCTTAAACACTGAGCCATCTCTCCAGTTCCCAGTTTCTATTTTGAGAGTAGATTCTTACAAGCTGTCCCTTTTCCTCCTCTAGTGCCTTCAAATAGTATTCCTTTGTCGTTTTGTTTTCTGAATCAAGGTCTTAGGTAGCCCAACCTGGCTTGGAATTCACTTTGTAGCCTCTGCCTGCCTCCACTTCCCAAGTGCTGGGATTGTGGGCCTCAAGTAGTATTCTTTTAAAACATTTCCTCCAAATTTGGTAATGTGTGATGCATATGAAGCTACCATTCCATTTCTGGAAGCCAGCAGTTCCCACGTCCTCTCTTGTATGTTAGTGCTAAGTTTGTTCTGGGTTCTGCAGTCTCTATGTGGCCTATTAGTCCCCTGTAACCAGAATTACAGACAGTTGTGAGCTGCCACGTGGGTGCTGAGAATTGAACTCAGGTCCTCTAGAAGAGCAGCCAGTGCTCTTAACTTAACCGCCGAGCCATGTCTTCAGCCCATAAAGCTTTGTAATTTTTATTTCTCCTAAACTGGGGAGAGTCATGTAAACGAGAGCTAGGCAAAAGATAGATGAAGGGCTCCCTTGTAGGAAGTTTTTGTACTTTTTAAAAGGTAACTTAAGGTTCTTTAGGCTGGGGTAATGACTCATTTGGTGAAGTACTTGCCTTTCGAGCCTGAGGGCCTGAGTTTGGTGTCCTAGAGTCCAGGTTAAAAAGGCAAACTGAGCTGGGCAGTGTTGGCACATGCCTTTAACCCCAGCACTCGGGAGGCAGAGGCAAGCAGATCTCTATGAGTCTGAGTTTCAGGACAGCCAGGAATACACGGTGAAACCCTGTTTCAAAGGGGAAAAAAAGCCAAAAGATGGTGAAGATTCTACTTATAACCCTAGCCCTGGGGAAGCAGAGACAAAGGGACTGCTGGGGCTTAGTGGTCAAACAGCCTAGACTGCTTGGCAACTTCCAAGCCTATGAGAGGCCCTGTCTCAAAATACAAGGTGGAGGGCATTTGCCTCCACATTTATGTGCACCCATGTGTATGTGCACCTATACGTATGCACACATACACACATAAACATACACACACAAACATACACACACAATCCACCATACATACATGCTTATACTTTTAATCTTTTGTCATTTCTTTCCTTTTTTGAGACAAGGTCTCACTAGTCATTCTGTAGCTCTGACGGGGATTGAACTCACAGAGATTGCCTGCCCCTGCTTCCCAGTGCTGGGATTAATTGTGTGAGCCAAGTGCTCCACCTCTCTTGTCATTTTCTAAAAACTTGGAGTCAGCAAAACTAGAATTAACAAAGGCCAAGCCTTTTGGCAGTTGCAGTCACTATGATTGGTTCATGTCACTCAAGTTCAAAATACTTCTCTCTCAGATGATAACATTTGCTTGGGAAACATTTGGGATTCAGGACTGCTAACATCATAGAATATAAAGTAAGGGACTTTTGGGGAGTATAATACTTTGGCTCATTAATCTTGTTTAGGTTTGAATTGGGTAGTTAAGTGAGCACACATTATATTTAAATTCTACTTATATAAAGAAAAATGTCCATATTGAGCTTTTACAGAGTTTTCAAACTGTTCATTCTTGTAGGTCATAAATAAGGTTCATCTCAAGACAAATCATGTCGTAAAGAGAGATGCTGATGGGCATTTACGAATCAAGACTATCTACGATCAGAGTATTGAAGAGTAAGCTTGCTGTCTTCTTGCCATTTGCTTATTGTTTGTTTGAGACATCGCTGTGTTGCTCACACTGGCTATCCCTTCATTGCGTTGCCCAGACCGGGCTCAAGCTCCCTCACCATCTCCCTGCCTCAGTCTTGTCACCTTCTTCTAGTGCCAGTCTAAATATGAAAGACATGTTCATGGTTAGCTAACGTAAGGCCAGAGATAGAACCAGAAAAGGGCTGGTGTAACTCGAAAATAGAACTGAGTTGAAATTGCAAAGGCCATGGTATGTAGCTAAAATCTGTTCATCATGAATAATTTAAAGAGAACAAATCCAACCTTACTTGACTATGGCCACAGCAGACCTGGAAGACATTTGTCATTAAGTAGTCAAAGGAAAAATAAGAGGAGTTGCAAATATAACCAACATAAGGAGGTTTACAGAATTATTCAGTAGGTAGATTATGTAGTGTAATTGGTATGCTATCTGAGAGCGGTCCAGACGACAGGTAGACTAGGAGTCTGAAGGAGTTTATGATGTGCTCACAGAGCAGTCTGTGCCTTTCTCCAGCCTAACCATTCTGGATGAATGAGATAATGTCTGATCATGCTAAGTTCCCATGCTTAGGCACAAAGTAAGGTGTCACAGGCCCATCCGGCTAAGCTGAGACTTTGGAAAACAAGCTCCAAATGTGCAACTGCGCACCTCAGTATGGAATGTCCTAGGGCCCTTGAGATACAAGCCAGAGAGATAGGATGTGCTGTAACTCAGGGCGGCCATGCTTTTCTTGTGTGGTAGTAGAGACTGTCCCCAGAGCCTTGTACCACCAGGCAAGTGCCCCACCACTGAGCTAGGTCACCACCCTTAGACGGCAGTTCTTTTATGTTTTTCTCATCATTTTCAGGCTGCTCCCTGAGAAAAGATATCTTGTAAAGGTATGTAATAATAAATACTTACCAAGTGGATACTTCAAACAGGTATATTTTATGTGCTAATTCTTCCATGAAAAAGAAAAATATATGCATCTGGTTTGTGGATAAATGAATAAAAGATTTGGTAGTAGTTGTAATTTTCATTTGATAAAGGTGTTTTGTGATATGCTTAGCAAAACCTTTTTGGAATTTGACATTAAATTAACCATTTTTTTAAAGATTTATTTATTTAGCCGGGCGTTGGTGGCGCACGCCTTTAATCCCAGCACTCGGGAGGCAGAGGCAGGCGGATCTCTGTGAGTTCGAGACCAACCTGGACTACCAAGCGAGTTCCAGGACAGCCTCCAAAGCCACAGAGAAACCCTGTCTCGAAAAACCAAAAAAAAAAAAAAAAAAGATTTATTTATTTATTATGTGTATAGCATTCTGCCTGCATGTGTCCCTGCGGGCCAGAAGAGGGCACCAGGTCTCATTACAAATGGTTGTGAGCCACCATGTGGGTGCTGGGAATTGAACTCAGGACCTCTGGAAGAGCAGCCAGTGTTCTTAACCGCTGAGCCATCTTTCCAGCCCCCCTAAATTAACCATTTTATAATTTATATTAAATCAGTATTCTCATCCTTTTTTTCCTCAGTCTGTCAAGTTTTGGGGGAACAAAGCATGCTGAGGATAGGGTGGGTACGAAGGACAAGTTTTGCAGTCCATTGAGAACAGCGTTGTGTGCATAACATAAGAATGTTCTTTGTCCTAAGGATCAGCTGACGTGACAGTGTGACACAGCAGAGACATTATTATTATTATCATTATTACTGTGTATATGTGTGATGTAAGTATAGGTGCACATGTAGAGGGCCATCAGGGGACAAACTTTATTGGCACATGCCTTTACACCTGAGCCATCTCGCCAGGTCTTTAATCCCAGCACTTGGGAGGCAGAGGCAGGTGGATCTCTGTGAGTTTGAGGCCAGCCTGGTCTACAGAGCGAGTTCCAGGACAGCCTCCAAAACAATACAGAGAAACCCTGTCTCGAAAAATCAAAACAAAACAAAAAAAATAACAAAACGACAACTGAGTCATTTCACCATTTCACCAGCCTGTTTTTTTTTTAACATAGAGTCCATTTCATCAAGTGTGTGTGTGTGTGTGTGTGTGTGTGTGTGTGTGTGTGTGTGTGTGTGTACATGCACTTGTGCATACCATATAGGCACAGGTGGTGGTCAGATGACAACTTTCAGGGTTTGATCCACCCTCCACTGTGGGTTCCTGGGATTGAGCTAGTATCAACAGCATTACACAGCAAATGCCCATACCTGCTAAGCCATCTCACCAGCCCTCATCAGATCTTTCACTGTGGATAACGTCCTCCTACATTCACTCTGTCTTTGCTGCCACATAACTTTGGACAGGTGTCTGTATTTCTGAATCCTAGGAGCTTCCTTCTTATGTCTTGTAGCCACTGATAACCCATATTTCTTACTTTATATACCAATGCCAGTATTTATCCCTAGTGCATGAGCTGACTTTTTGGAGCCCATTCTCTATGGAGGGATATCTTGCTCAGCCTAGGTACAGGAGGGAGAGCCATGTTTGTTTTCTTAAACACACTGTTTCTCTATTCTAACTAGATTTTTCTATTTTATTTAGAACAAACTTTTCCCACAAGCTATTTCTTACTTAGAGAGAACATTTCAGGTTCGTTGGCCTGCTGGCAGGATCTTACTCAGCAGGTATGTCACTTCAGACAGTGATCCTTTCCTCCATCCAGCTAGTTCTGTGGACTCCCCGTTTTACCACATGACAACGCATGAAATTTATAGTAGAATTTTATTACATGTGTTTTTAGAAACTAAAATACAAGATATTTAAAGGGGTTGAAAAAAGCACCTGCTAAATGACCTCCTTTCCATTATAAGCTGTTCTTGTCTCCACTCCCTCCTCCTCCATGTGTTTGTGATGTTTGCTTTGTGAGGTGTTTGATAAGTCTCTTAGTGAACTACCTACCGAGTTAAATCGTAACCATTCTTACAGCAGTATTACAGTGAGTGCATTAGTTACTTCCTATTGCTGTGATAGAACACTGGACCAACGCAGGGCTTATTTGGGCCTTAGGGTTCATGATGCTAGGGCCCATGATAGTGGAGAAGAGGTAATGGGTGGCAGGCAGCGCAAGTGACTGTATTTTAACTGCTGTGAACTGTTCTCTTTATTTTTTGTAATTTTTGACATGTGAATAACCCAAAGACAATGTGCAACAAACCAGTACCTACGGAAAGAAAATGATCCACACAGATACTGTACTGGGGAGTGTGCAGTGCATACCAAGTGTGGCCCAGTTATAGTGCCCGAGGAGCATCTCCAGGTGAGTCCCCGCACTCACAGGCTTTCCATTCCAGAGTGTTAATGGGAGGTTCCCAGTCTCTGAGCAAGGAGCTGTCAGGTGCTGGTACGAAGGCACAGTAACTCCGTTTGTTTCTTTGTGGTGCTCTGGAGTAAGCAGGTGCTTCTGCATGTTAGGCAAGTACTCTATCACCCCAAGACTCCATTTTCTACCAACATCTAATCACACTTAGGGTTCCGGCTTTATTCCTTCATGTCTTTGCAGTCTTGTTTGACCTTTTCTTTGGCCCATCCACATAGGTGCCTGGGTCTGCTGCAGCAGTTTGGTTGAGAACTATCTTTTGTTGTTTTGTTTTTTAGGAACATTTCTTTTAGCATTTTAAAAGGGCAATTTAATGTCAGATTACCTGGAACTGGAGTTTCAGGCAGATGTGAGCAATCTAACATGAGTGCTAAGAACTGAACTTCGGTCCTCTGCAAGAGCAGTCAGTCTGTGATACTCTTAACTACTGAGTCATCTATTCAGCTTTACTATTTACTTATTATTTATTTTTTGAGATAGGGTTTCTATGTAGGCTTGGCTGTCTCAAAATTCACTATAGAGACCAGGTTGGCTTTGAATTTACACATACCTACCTGTCTCTGCCTTCCAAATGCTGAGATTAAAGGTGTGTACTACCATTCCCAGATATTTGCTTTTTTCTTATGTTTTATTATATTTATTTATTTTGTGTGTTTATGCCATGGCATGTGTGTGGAACTCAGAGGACATTATTTGAAAGTTCGTTCCGTCCTCTCAAACACAGGTCTGGCTTGGCAGCATTACCTCTACTGCCAGGCCATCTCAACAACCCAAATTTTCTTTATAATGGGAAATACTGTCCATTAGGTTGAAAGTTTTCATTAGTTAGATTTGAAATAACCATATCCAAAGGAAGTTGCAAAAATTATGTATATAACATAAGTCAATGGTAGAGCACTGCCTAGCGTGTGTTCCATTCTGAGTGCAGCGAAACATGGGTGTGGCTGTGTAGGAAAACCCCTTCAGCAAGTGTTTGACTTTCATTTCTGTTGCTGGGACACATACCTGACCAAAGTAACTGGGGAGAAAAGTGTTTCTTTCATCCTATAGTCCCATCACTAAGGGACGTCAAGGCAGGCACTTTAAGGACAGACCTGGTTGGTATTCCAAGTTGCTACAGCAGGAACCGTGGAGGAGGATGCTTGCTGGCTGCGTAATACTCAGCTTTCGCACAGTTCAGGACCACCTGCTTGGGGATGGCACCACCCACAGTGGGCTGGGCCCCCTACATCAGTTAATAATCAAAGCAGTTTCCCACAGACATGCCCACAGGCCAGCATGATCTAAGCCACCCCTATTTGAGGCTTCCTTCTCATGGGATTCTAGGTTGTGGCAAGTTGACATTTAAAAGTAACCAAGCGTGCCTAGTAGTTTCTGGATTGTTTTTTGTTGGTTATTTTTCAGGTTTTGGTGGGAGGGGGTGTTTTTAGTTGTTCGTGTTTTTTTTTTTTTTTTTTTTTTTTTTGGTTTTTCGAGACAGGGTTTCTCTGTGGCTTTGGAGGCTGTCCTGGAACTCGCTTGGTAGTCCAGGCTGGTCTTGAACTCACAGAGATCCGCCTGCCTCTGCCTCCCAAGTGCTGGGATTAAAGGCGTGCGCCACCAAGGCCCGGCCTTAGTTGTTCGTTTTTTATTATTTTTATTTCATGTGCACTGTGTTTTATCTATATGTACATTTGTGTGAGGATACAGAGGAAAAGAGGTGGAATTTGTGATCCTTGATTTGTTTTGTTGCTTGGTATTGCTTGCCTCATACTTAGCCTCCCAGGTACCAGGACTGTAGGTTTGTAATGCATGCCTGCTCAGTTCCCGATTTGGGAGAGAGTTTAGGGAGACTAAGTGAAAGTTAAACGATGTGTCTCTCCAGTCTGTACTTGCCTGATACTGTCGCTCGGCTAACCCAGTGTCTGGTCTGCTTTTTCTGTTCTCCCGTCCGTGCAGCAATGCAGGGTCTGCAGAGAGGGTAAGTGGCCCTGCGGAGCAGTGGGTGTGCTAGACCAAGAGGGTGTCCAGGATGCAGACTTCATTCTCTATGTTGGTGCTCTGGCCACTGAGAGATGCAGCCATGAAAACATCATCTCTTATGCAGCTTATTGTCAGCAGGAGGCGAAAATGGACAGGTAAGCATTCTTCTGAGGCCGCCTCCCAAAAGCTTTAGCGTACTGTAAAAGGAATTTTGCATCTGTTCAGTTGCTTTTAGGACTAAGAAATAAGTTGTTAGAGGTAAGAAAGTGAAAACTTCCCTTGACTTTTTCCTTTTTTTTCTAATGTGTTTAGTTACTCTTTATGGGTATGTATGTGTACCTGAGGGGTGTGTGTATACGTGCGTGCGTGCATGTGTGTGTACCATATGTGTGCAGGAGCCTGAGGAGGTCAGGCGTTAGATTCCCTGAAATTGGCGTCACAGGCAGTTGTGAGTCACCATGTGGGAGCTGGGAATCAAACCCGGGTCCTCTGGAAGAGCAGTCATTGCTCTTAACTGCTGAGCCATCTCTCAGTCTCATCTTGCCTTTTTCCCACAAAAAAGTTCAAAGAAAAAAATCTACTATCAAGAAAGAATTTCTGATTAAAAAACAAAACAAAAGAAATTTTATTGTCATATTAATTCTTCTTTAAGAAAATAATTTGGACTTTAACTTTTACCTTTAACAGCTTACACTGTATGAATATAAGAATATTCTTGAGCCGGGCGTTGGTGGCGCACGCCTTTAATCCCAGCACTCAGGAGGCAGAGGCAGGCGGATCTCTGTGAATTCGAGACCAGCATGGTCTACAAAAGCTAGTTCCAGGACAGTCTCCAAAGTCACAGAGAAACCCTGTCTCGAAAAACCAAAAAAAGAAAAAAGGAAAAAAAAAAAAGAAAAAGAAAAATCCTGTCTCAAACCCCTTCCCCAAATAAATTGATTACATCTGTAAAAGATTGGCTGCCACACATCAGAAAACTAGTCAATGGAATTACTAAACTCTCACATGACTTAGAGCAGTGGTTCTCAGCCTGTGGGTCACAACCCCTGTAGCAAACCTTGTACAGAGCCTACCATGCATGCAAGGGTGACCACTCTGCCAGGTCCCCAATGGGCAGGGCCAGTTTGCATTTGCCTAATTGATAGCAGGAAGGATATAAAATTCCAGGTGACTGAATCTTAGTTAGTGCCTCTCCTTTCTGTGTCTCATGATGCTGAAAGCACCTACTGGATCTGTTTGTCTTCTGCTGAGAGAATTCAGTGTAAGAGGCAGACAGGAGAGGTGTGTTTCAGTTTTGTTACACTTCTCTTTTTTAATGTTTGATCATATTTGATATAGATGAATAGGTAAAAGAATAAATGGCCTTGTACCAGGGAATGAGGAACTGATCACACCTGGGCAAAGATTTGGTTTCTTCTGGGAATGTTGATGTGGGGCAAAGGGCAGCCTTCTATCTTTAGTTCTGCCCCCACACCAGTGAGATAGGGTCTCATGTGTCTAGCCTGGCCTGGAATCCACTATATGGCATGAATAAGGATGGCCTTGAATTCCTTATCTTCCTGCTCCTTCCCAAATGCTGAGATTACAGAGGCATGTGTGCCACACCCAACCAGTATTGTGATTATAGAGAACTCTGTATTGTGTGAATCTATGCCCATGACCAGCTGATTATTCTGCCAGCAAAGAAGGTGAACAAATTAGACTTGTGTGCTTGCCTCCTGCAATTTACAGATTGTATAAAGAGACCTAAAAGTAAGCATGCTGTTTTAAAATGTGATACACACTTCATACAGGATCCTATAGCATAGAACAAAGGAAAAGAGTTACAAGGAATATCATTTAACTTGATTTGAGAAGGAAGACCTCTTTTGAAACCTGAGCAGTGACAGGTTTTAGCCAAATAAAGGGCTTAGGGAACTCTCTGGGGGTAGAGAGAGGTGTATGCTTGCAATCTTGGCAGCTTGGAAGGCTGTTCAGGCAAATTCAAAGTTGAAGGCTAGTTTGTTGTTGTTTATTTGTTTGTTTGATTTTAAAAACTTCTTGATATGTAGACCTGGCTGCCACGAAACTCAACCATGTAGACTCCAGACTGGCCTTGAACTCAAAATGATCCTCCACTGTTTCCCAAGTGCTAGAATTGCAGGCATGTACTCCCATGCCTGGTTTAGCACAATTTAGCAAGATCCTGTATCAAACTGTAAAAAAACGAGTTGGGATGCAGCTGAGTGGTAGAGTGCTTGCTTAGCATGTGTGAGGCTCGGAATTCAGTCAGAAAACAAGAAAGAGACATGAAGCTGGAGAGGGATGGAGGACCTGATCCTCCAGAGGCCCCTCTGAGGCCCAGGCCTGCGATTCCAGTACCTAAATAGGACAAATGCTCATTAGACAAGTGTTGCTTTTCCATGCCATTAGAAAGCAAAAGGTGTGGGTCTTGACATTAAAAAAAGAGTTAGCTATAAAATTGCATTTCATAAGTATTGTCCTTGAGCTGTCTTTCATAGAGAAGTATAGGTTAGCAAATGTTGTAAATACTACTCTGGGATATAGTGAAAAATGTCATGTTTATTTTAACAGGCCAATAGCAGGATATGCTAACCTGTGTCCAAATATGATCTCCACCCAACCACAAGAGTTTATTGGGATGTTGTCCACAGTGAAGCATGAGATCATTCATGCCCTGGTAAATGCCATTAACTTCTATCCTTGCCTTCAGACCGTTGATTTGTTGTTTATTCTTTCATCTTAATACATGTTTTAAATGATACGTGAATTCTTGGGTTCATAGGAATTTTTAATGGTCAGGATGGTAGGTTGAGTTTTGCTATCTAGTATAATTTACAATTAAACAAACATTTCCATTGCATAAGTAGGATGTTTAAGAGATGGTTAAACTTCTAAAGAAAAGCATCTTAGAGCCAGATGTGGTGGCTCAGGCCTGTATTCCAGCATTTGAGATGCTGAGGCAGGAGGGTTGCTCTAAGTTTGAGGCCATGATTACAAATGTGCTATAGTACCCAGTGTATGCAGTGCTGGGGATTAAATCCAGGGCTTCATACACACTAGATAGCCATTCTGCCAACTGAGCTGCATGCTTAGCTGACTGCCTCTGACACACACACACACACACACACACACACACACACACACACACACACAGATAAATGTAGATAGATGTATGTGTATATAATGTCAATTTGAGGCTTAGACACTGAACTTTTTTGTTTTGTGTTGTTTTTTCGAGACAGGGTTTGTAGACCAGACTGGCCTCAAACTCACAGAGATCTGCCTGCCTCTGCCTCTCAAGTGCTGGGATTAAAGGCGTGCAGACATTGAGCTTTTATAGATGTTATTAGGAGTATACTTGATCCCCAGCTCCCTACACATTCAATATTGTTAATAATTTTCAGTAGTAGTGGCTGCAATTTTGGCACTTAGTAAATTTGGGTGAAGAAAATAGCCCCAAAATGCCCTTGTTATTATTGTCCATGGTGCCTTAGATTGTGTTTAGTATAAAGTAAATAATAACTTTTTCTTAGGTTTTTCTCTTTAAGTCTGATACTTGCAAATAAAGGCCAGTGAAGTGGTAGGGAATCGGTCTTGCAATTCATTGTGCCAGTTTTATATTTTCAACTTTTGTTTCACATTTGGAAATGGTACATGATAGGGTCTCCAACAGGAAAAATACTAAAATATCTGTAAAACCATACAGATGAATTAAAAAGTACAATTCCCAGTACTCTGTAGTATGTGCCTGGAAGTATCATGATAACATAGCATTGATATATATATAACCTGAAAACAAATGTAAAATATATAATGTACTTTAGAAAATCCTGTAGTGGAAACATCTACATCAGTGAGCTGGAGAGGTGACCCAGTGGCTAAGAATGCATACTGCTCTTACAGTTCCTAATACCCATGTGGGGCAGATTGCAACCACCCCTAACTCCAGCTCCATGACCTCTAGCACCCCCTTCTGGCCCCTGAGAGCACATACACATACATGGGTGTATTCACATAGTCAGATGCACATTAGTGAAAGTAAAAATAATTTTTTGAAATGTTTACAGCAAGTAGTTCAGTGTTTTAAACTATAAATGCAGCACCCTTGTGTGCTGTTGAGTTGAACTCTGGGATAACTTTTGCAGAGCTGCATAGCACTCTTGTACTAATGACAGCACCTCTGTGATGGTGGATGCTACTGTGTGTGTGCTGGGACTTAGCATTCTGCTCTTAGACACTTTGGATTCTTTCTTCCAGGGTTTCTCTGCTGGACTTTTTGCATTCTACCATGATCAAGATGGAACTCCCCTGACGTCACGGTCTGCAGATGGACTCCCACCTTTTAACTATAGGTATTTGCTATCTTTATTCTTTTTATTTTTTTAATTATTATTATTTTTTAAAGATTTAGTTATTTATTATGTATACAGTGTTCTGTCTGCATGCATGCCTGCAGGCCAGACAAGGGCTTCAGATCTCATTATAGATGGTTGTGAGCCACCATGTGACTACTGGCCATAAAACTCAGGACCTCTGGAAAGAGCAGCCACTGCTCTTAACCGTTGAGCCATCTCTCCAACCCTGCTATTTTCATTCTTGTTTATCTTCTTTTTTTTTTTTTTTTTTTTTTTTGGTTTCTCTGTAGCTTTGGAGGCTGTCCTGGAACTCACTTTGTAGACCAGGCTGGCCTGCCTCTGCCTCCCGAGTGCTGGGATTAAAGGCGTGCGCCACCAGCGCCCGGCCTTGTTCACCTTCTTTAGAGGATGCTAGGACTAGAACCTGGGAATTGCAGCACTGTTCTTGTGGTGAGTGACAGTGACTTCGTGGCCAACCTAGAGTAACTGTAGACAGTAAGACAAGATGCACTTAAGAGATGGCTTGTTCTGAGGATCAGGACACCCCTTGACACTCGGGGCTCTACCCACCATATTATAACACATTTCACTTGACAGTATAGTTAGGCTGTGGGAAAACATGGAGTGGTCATATTTGGGGTTTTATTTATTTAGCATACTAAATTAGCCTTTGCTGTTTGCAGAAACTTGGGTGAACTGCTCAGGTGTAGTATAAAGCAGAATAACTCAAATAGTCCATTTATATGGAAATCAGATACTGGCAATAATAAAAGATAAGGGCTTCACTTTAGGTGGCAATCTGTTAACTGCTGTAAAGTAGCTACTGATGGAGGAGCGTCACATGGAAACCTTCCCAGGTGCTGACCGTTCCCATTCCTTTCTTAGGGTACTAACATGGAGTAAGTATTAACAATTCATCTGGAGCTGGCAAGATGGCTCAGGAGGGAAAGTGCTTGCTATATAAGCCTAACAAACACGCATATAACACAAACATACATACACATGCACACACTAATAGTAATAAATAAATTTTGAATTAAAAAAAAATAACACTTGGGCTGGGCGTTGGTGGCGCACGCCTTTAATCCCAGCACTCGGGAGGCAGAGGCAGGAGGATCTCTGTGAATTCGATACCAGCCTGGTCTACAGAGTGAGTTCCAAGACAGGATCCAAAGCAATACAGAGAAACCTTATCTCGAAACCCCCCCCAAAAAAAACCCAACAACAACAAAAACACCTAACACTTGGGACTGGAGAGAAGGCTCAGCAATTAAGAACACTTGTTGCTCTTCCAGAGGACCTGAGTTTTATGACCACATCAGGAGTAACTGCTTGTAACTTGAGTTCCAGAGGATCTGACCCCTCCTCTGGTCTCCCTGAGTACCTGCACACAAGTGACATAGACACATATAGACACACACAGGCACATAAATTAAAAAAAAATTTAATTAACCCTTATATGACTTGTCTTATGTATATTTTGCTTTAATTGCAAAGTTCTCCAGTAAAATAGTTAATACTATTTATTTATTTATTTATTTATTTATTTTCGTTTTTCGAGACAGGGTTTCTCTGTGGCTTTGGAGGCTGTCCTGGAACTAGCTCTTGTAGACCAGGCTGGCCTCGAACTCACAGAGATCCGCCTGCCTCTGCCTCCCAAGTGCTGGGATTAAAGGCGTGTGCCACCAACGCCCGGCCTCAATACTATTTATTTAGTATGTATTTCTTAATTTCTAGTTAGGTTTTTTTGTTTGTTTTGTTTTTTGGGACAGAATTTCTCTATGTAACCCTGGCTGTCCTAGAACTCTCTGAAGACCAGGCTGACCTTGAACTCAGATATTCAGCTAACTATGCCTCTCAAGTGCTGGGATTAAAGGTGTGTACCACCACACCTGGCTTATTTCTAGTATTTTTAGAGTAATTATAAAGTACAAAATTCTAGGCAGTGGTAGTGACCCATATCTGTAACCTCTGCACTTGGGGGTAGAGGCAGGAAGATGAAAAGTTCAAGGTCAGCCTCTGCTACATGATCAGCTCTGGGTTACATGAGGACTCATCTCAAAGAACCACAGTTGGGAGGACAACAACAAAGAAACAGAATGATAATGTATAAATGGATGTTTTTCCTAGAGTGTGCCTTTTGTTTGGTAGTATGGAAATCTGGTCTTTGAAAACAGTGCTGGTCCTGATGTAAAATGTAAATGATGAGATTACATTTCTGGAGTGGGAGAGTGATGGATGTGAGGGTCAAGGGAAGCTGATACTTGATGAAATCTTCCAGTTTAATTGGAAATGCTAGAATAATAAGTTCAGTTGTTAGGCGTAAAGAATTGGATTAGACTCTACCCTGTTTGGAGAAACCATTCATATGCTGGGCTTGGTGGTTTATACCTGTAATCCCAGAATTTGGGAGGCTGAGGCAGTGGGATAAGGAGCTCAAAGCCAGCCTCTGCTACATAGCACATTTAAGGCCAGCCTATACTATATGAGAGCATCTTTAAGAAAAAACAAACAAAAGGGAGTAAGGTTTGAGAGAAGCTGTTACCCTTGAAGGATGAATGGAGAACAGAATATTGATTGATTAATGAACTAAAAACTGTTCATTTTCTTGCTGGCTTTGTTCACTAAGTTTGAACATTGTCTTCAAAAAATAAAAATAAAATGAATTAATGCAGCACCCCCCATAGGAATAAGGGTCCTGAATATCAAAGTATTGAGTAGGAGGAGCAGGGATGAGAACTAAAGAACATGAAAACAATAGCTAGGACCAGAAGGTCTTGCATAAGCTGATAGCTTATGCCAAGAAAGTTTATTAAGAAATATAGTATCATTTATACTGTTTGTAGGGGGAATGGCCAGGGTCAGCAGAGAGCTAAGACAATGCTGACAGAAAACACGGGATACCTCAGCTACAGCTGGCTAAGGACTGATAACCATTGTCTGGGGGAAGAGTCAGGTCCCTAGAAATGGCATCCCTGACTGCTATGAGGCACTGAGTTTAGCTCTAGACTGGCCTTGCCAAATCCACTCCTGGACAAGGACACAGAACTGAAGTTCCCTTTGTCCTTTCTTCAGGGCCTCTAAGACAGCCTTGGGTTAATCTTGCTGCCTACAATGCAATGCAATGTCACCAACTGTCTCACACTTATATTGCCATGACTTCCTCACCACAGTGCACGGTATCCATTTTTAAAATCATAGTCCAAAATAAGGTGTCTCTTCCAAAAACAATCTCGAAATTGGAAGTAGATAAACAGATATGTTATGCATATCTGTTTATTCCCCCCCAAATATGGCCTAATATGCCTGGCTAGCCTCAAACTTACATGTAGCTAAGGATAACCTTGAATTCCATATTAGAGGTGTGTGCCACCATAGCCAGTTTACATGATACTGGGGACCAAACTCAACTCAAGTACTGCACCAACCGAGCTGCATCCAGCTGCATCTATAGCCTGGTGTTTTAGTGTTGATAGAAATTTTTTTGGGTTCTTCTGCAAGCCCTTTTATCATTGTTGGATATTCTTGTCTCTAACGATATCTTTGTTTCACGTCTTTCATCAGATGTTACGATAGCCACTACAGCCCTCTTACATAGTGATCTTCTAAATTGCTTTCCTTCTGTTTGTGTCCTTGGTTCTAAACAGCATTTCTTGGGCCGAAATAGTGAATCATGCATTTTTAAAAGTCCCCTTTGCTACCGCTGTGCTGGGTTATTGGTTTTCACAGTGGCCTTGAAATTGTAGACAGGGGATGGGAACCTCAGTGCTGCTGTTCTTCACGAAACTCATCCATCTTTCATGAATAATTGCTTCTTGAATTGATGCAGCCCTTTGCTTATTTCCAGGGCTCTGGAAACGTCGATTTGGCCAAGTTCTCATTGATTTCACCCCAGAATTTTTTTCCTGAGAACTTTCTAGAATTTAATTTTGTAGCTGACATGGAATGATTGTTTCCTTGATGGATAACCAGTTTCAGTGCACAACAATTAAATCATGTTTTCATTAATTATGGCAGCATTTTTTTTTGTTCAGTTTCCTTATATGCTTGGGTCTGTCTGCTTTGGTTCCTTCTCTTTTCTTTCTTTACTTTTCCTCCTCCTTCTCCTTTTTTCTTTTTATTTTTTAATGCAATAAACTTGCCAGAAGAAGCCACTGAGGGCTGGGGTCTACTCAGTGGCCAAGTGCTTACCCTGCATCTACAACATCCTGGACTGGATCTCTCACAACCAAAGGAGAAAAGATGGAGTTAATTCATTGTTGTCCCAGCTCAGTATTACTGTATGAACTTGAACAAGTTATTTCATCTCCCTAAGCATCTTCCTTTTTGCCTACAAGAGACTGTTAGAAAATCTTTATGAACCTGGGTGTGGTGGTACACACCTATAATTGAAGTACTTGAGAGGCAAAGATGGGTGGGTCTCTGTGAGTTCAAGGCTAGCCTGGTCTACACAGTGAATGCCAGGCCAACTAGTGCTACATAGTGAGAGCCTGTCTCAAGAAAGAAAATAAAATGCTTACAAGTACATTACATGGAAATAATGCATAAGAAACACTCAAGTAGTTCAATTTCATATTGTTATTCATAAATACTTTTACATTTACAGTTGTAGTAAATTGGCAAAATGACTGTCTTTTCTGTAATTACAGTCTTGGATTGTATCAGTGGAGTGATAAAGTAGTTCGAAAAGTGGAGAGATTGTGGAATGTGCGAAATAATAAGATAGTTCGCCACACTGTGTATCTCCTAGTAACTCCTCGTGTTGTTGTGAGTATTATTGAACTTCTTTGTGTCTCATTTTTGATTATGGTCCTTGCTTTACTGGTAATTTCTGTTTAAGAATGTGTGCTTAAATTTCAGTGTGTAATAGAAAATATAGGAAGACAATTTAATAAAGCCACCAGCCAAGACAGAGGGGAGGAGATGGAAATTTGGCAGTGCACCCCCATCAGCCCATTACTTTAAGACAGGAGATGAGAGTTGCTCACACCTAGGGAGAAACAGCATCATTCAACGTTATTCATGGGGCAACACAAGCATGAGGATCCCCTGGTTAAAGAAAAATTCTAAGAACAGCTAGTGCTTGACTGAAACCCCAGAAACTGGTGAAGGAGTGGAGACAGGCAGATCCCTAGAGTTCAGGTGATTTGCCAGCCAGCCTAGCACAGGAGATTAGCTCCAAGTTCAGTGATCTCTCTCTCTCTCTCTCTCTCTCTCTCTCTCTCTCTCTCTCTCTCTCTCTCTCTCTCTCTCTCTCTCTCACACACACACACACACACAAACACACACAAACACACACACACACACACACACACACACACACACAGAAATGTTATTTTAAAAATGAGGTGGATGGGCTGGAGAGATGGCTCAGAGGTTAAGAGCACTGACTGTTCTTCCAGAGGTCCTGAGTTCAATTCCCAGCAACCACATGGTGGCTCACAACCACCTTGAATGAGATCTGGTACCCTCTGCTGGCCTGCAGGCAGAAGGCTGTATACACAATAAATATTTTTTAAAAAACCTTAAAAAAATGAGGTGGAGAATATTTAAGGGACATACCAGTGACCGACTTCTGGTTTCCACATGCACATATACACATAGGATCATGTATGCACACCACACACAAAGTTATTTGAACAGAAAAAAAAAAACCATACCTGGGGTTGGGGCAATGGCTAGTGGGTAAGAACACTTGCTGTTCCTATAGAGGACCTGGGTTTGAGTTCCAGCATCCACATAGCTGCTCACAGCTGTTTATAACTCCAGTCCCAGGAACTCCAGGCCCCCTTCTGACTTCAAGTGTCAGGCATACATGGGGTGCACAGGCGTGCAGGCAAAATCCTCATAAATAAACAGAAGGAGGAGAAGAGCATGGGGACTCTTGGATCCAGCTCACTGGCAACTCCATTTGTCCTTCCTTGGGCACATACCTGAATAAAGGGAAGAAAGGAGGCCGGAAGAGGATAGCTGCTGATGCTTGCTTTGTTGGAGATGGCTTTAAAAGACTGTCACCTCAACCCAAAAGGCTCATTCAATGAGCTGACATTTCAAGAAGGCCCATATAATACACACGGAACTTTGCTGACAGAATCTTGTATAGAAAAGAATTTGTGTACGGTTTTGGGTATTCTTATCAAAGAATATGATGTGAATGTAACCAAGGGTCACCTGACATTATGACACAAGAGATGTGGCTGTTTGGAGGATGTCAATGTTCCAACAATCCTGAAGTGATAGATGCATAAATGCAGTCTTATCTGGTTTTATAATTTCATATAAGAAATCCCTTGTTATGATTACTGAGGACTAAAACTCAAGAAAACTGTCATTGCTGTAATGTTTCTGAGTAATGTCAACAGCCCCACATACATGCCATCAAGATAACTATTAAAATGGAAAGAACAAGCTGTACACTAGTGGGATGCAGTTGATGGTGTGAAAAGAGCCTTTGGGTTGGGACAAAGTATTTGCCAACCGTATTTTTGCTAGTAAGTTACTATAAATACATAAGAATATAACTGCAAGAAAACAAAGCCCTTGTTGCAAAATGGACAAGAAGACAGATGTCATGGTGTAATCTGAGTACTCAGGATTCGGAGGCAAAGGATGGAGAGTCTAGGCCAGCCTGGATTACATAGTGTGACCCTGGCTCCTAAAAGGAAAATAAATGTCTAAAATTTGGTATTCCCTATCCTCATTTGTAAGGGCTACTTTCAGGCTGTGACTCTTTCCTAAAGTTCTGTTTAGTTTAATAAATTTATAAAACTGAAAAAAGAAAATAAAACCAGCAGCAACAAATAACAGGCAAGGGACCTGAAAAGGCCTTTTTGTTTGGTTTGTTTTTTGCTTTTTTAGACAGGGTCTCTTTTTGTAGTCCTGGCTGTTCAGAACTTGCTCTGTAGACCAGACTGGCCTGGAACTCAGAGATTCACCTGCCTCTGCATGCCAAGTGCTGAGATTAAAGGCCTGGGCAACCATAGCGACTGACATGACATAAAAAAGCAAAAAACAAAACAAAACAAAACAAAAAAAACCAAGCCTGCCAATAGATATATAAAAATGTTCAGCATTACTAACCATTGGGAAATAATTAAAACTCCAATAAGATGTCTTATACCTGTGGCTTTTATAAAAAAGACAGCATGTTATGTATTGGTTGGAACACAGAGAAAGCATGCACTGTTGTTGGGAATATGAATAAAATACCTCCACTGAGGAAAAATTTTTTCCTCAATAAACTAAAATAGAATTACCATAGGATCCAGCAATCCTACTTTTGGATATTTAGTCATGAGGTTTCAAATCAGTTTGTCAAATGTCTCTTTTTCACATATTTGTACGGCACAAGTCACAATGGCCAAGTTATGAGAACTGCCTAAATGTCCATCAATGCATAAATATGTGACATATGTGTACATACATAGTGAAACAACATTCAGTCTTAAAGCGGAGGGAAACTCATTTATGATATCATGCAAGAGATTCAAGAACATTATGCTAAGTGAAGTAAGCTAGGCACAGAATGAGAAACACTCAGTGTTCTCGTGTGATATCTGAGACAGTGCAGGCTGGCATGTGTCTCAGTTGGAAGAGTGCTTGCCCTGGATTCGGGCCCCAGTACTACATAAAGTGGGCATGTGGGCACATCTGTGCACCCTGTACTCTGGAGGTGAAGGAAGAAACTCAAGGTCGTCCACAGCTACATAACAATTTATAGATCAGCCTGGGCTACATAATAGTACCCTATCTACAATAAAATAAAGGGATACACAGACGTGGCATAGGGTGGGGGTTATAGATGACAGGGGCCAGCATGGAGGGAAAGCTATAGAATTTCAAAGAGGAGAAAGGACTTTTTTCTTCTTAAAAATCAATTTTTTATCAGATCTAGAGTTAACAAATTAGTATTATACATTTAAAAGTTGTTAGGGGGCTGGAGAGATTGTTTGGTGGTTAAAAGCACTGGCTCTTCTTCCAGAGTTCAATTCCCACCACCTACATGGCAGCTCACAACTGTCTGTAATTCCAATGTCAGGGAATCTGATATCTTTTATGACCTCTAGACCTCTATGGGTACTGCATGAACAGACCCGCACTCAGGAACACAAATACATGTAAAATATATATTTTTAAATTGCTAAGGAATAAATTTCAAAAGTTCTTTTTTTTTTTTTTTTTGGTTTTACGAGACAGGGTTTCTCTGTATTGTTTTGGAGGCTGTCGGTCCAGCCCGGCCTCGAACTCACAGAGATCCGCCTGCCTCTGCCTCCCGAGTGCTGGGATTAAAGGCGTGCGCCACCAACGCCCGGCGTATGTAATGTATTTTAATCTTATTCTTGCTCTCAAATATTACCATAAGTATTTTGAGATGATAGATATGTTAATTATCTTGATTAAACTCTTCCATGATATTCATAAATCATGACATTACTGTACCCTATAACAATGCATAATTTTATAAATTATCAATTTATAAAGATAAGAAATGTTTAAATTATTAACATTAGAATTACAACTAAGCATAATAATCTTTTTTTTGTTGTCTTTTGTTTTTGGAGACAGGGTTTCTCTGTGTAACTTTGGAGCCTGTCCTGGAACTCATTCTTTAGACCAGACTGGCTTCAAACTCAGAGAGATCTGCCTGCCTCTGTCTCCCAAGTGCTGAGATTAAAGGTGTGTGCCACTACCTCCCAGCTCTAATTTTTTTTTTGATGTGACATTTTTTTGTGTGTGTTTATTTGAGGCAGGGTCACATGTAGCCCAGGTTATACTCTCTGTAGTAGTGATGACCTGAACCCCTGATCATCTTGCCTCTAATAACAAGCATGTGTCAATACCAGACTGTAAAATATATATGTCCCTTATAGTTGAAAAGTGAAGAGAGAGCTCAGTGGCTAAGAGTGTTCACTGTGCAGCCAGGAGAACCAGAGTCTACCACCCTTGTAGCAAGCTGGGAATCCTACAAATGCCTGTAACTCCAGCTTCCAGGCCTCTGACACCCTCTTGCCTGTATACATGAGCACAAACACACACACACATACATGGTTTTCAAAATAAATCTTCAAAGAGAGAAAAAATATTAAGAGAGGTAATAGTTTTCTAGCCAAGAAGAATGCGATAATATCAAAGTATTTATCTCTATTTAAATCGCATTTTAAGGAGGTTCTGTCTCATGCAGCTGACTCTTTCATGTGACTTTATAATAACTCGTGATGAAAGTGCTGTCATCTCACCCTGCTCTTGTGGTGTTTGTTTTTCTGACTCTCAGGAAGAAGCGCGGAGGCATTTCAACTGTCCAGTTCTAGAGGGGATGGAGCTTGAAAATCAAGGCGGGATGGGCACTGAGCTCAACCACTGGGAGAAGCGGTTGCTGGAGGTCTGCTCAATGTTTATTTTTACTAATGTAACTCATGCACATGATTCAGTTCTGTGTAATGTTTCTCTATAAACATTCGTTTATATAGAGAGGATCTAGAAGTTAAATGAATTTACTAGAGTAAATCAAACTTAAGTAATTCTAAAATCACTTTAGAGTGGAGATTATGCAAACATGCTCTGGAGTAAGAAGGTGAAATTTACATTAGTAACATAGACTACCCACGTGGCGCTCCTAAGTTTTAAGGACTGAGTAATATTGTATTATATAATTGAAACAAGCCTATCTTAATGCACATTGTATTTTAAATAATAGTTTTCTTATTTTTAGACAATGTGTTATTATGTAGTCCAGGCTGGCCTTGAACTTAAAGTAATACCCTTTCCTCTGCCTCTGGACTCTGAGTGCTAGGACTGCAGATGTGTACACCATGCCAGACTTAAAAACTGTTGTGATTTTGCCTTTGTAGTACTGGGTATTCAACCCACAGTCTTGTGCATGTTTGGCAATTGTTTTATTTCTGACATATATAAATTTTTATAATTTAAAAATAACATGTAAGCTGGATGTGGGTGCCTTTAGTTGCAGTACTCAGGCGGCAGAGGCATGTGGAGCTCTGTGAGTTCGAGGCCAGTCTGGTCTATGTAACAAGTTGCAGGCCAGCCAGAGCTACATAGTGAGAATCCATCTCAAAAAAAAGATGTGATGAGGAGGCTGGAGAGATGGCTCAGTGGTTAAGAGCACTGACTGTTCTTCTAAAAGGTCCTCAGTTCAATTCCCAGCAACCACATGGTGGCTCACAACCACCTTGAATGAGATCTGGTACCCTCTGCTGGCCTGCAGGCAAAAGGCTATATACACAATAAATAAATAAAATATTAAAAAAAAAAAGATGTGATGAGCAGCAGCTATGCATGCCCTCCAGGGTGGTGGGGTAGTGGACATTCTTAGTTCAACTGAATGATCACATGCTCAGGTCCTCACCAGGCCGTGTTGGGACAGTTCATAGAAGGATATTAGCACACAACATGCCAGCACAGCAGAATCAGGCCGGCTGACAGCCTGCCTCTCTCGCTCATCTGCAGTACAGGAGCACAAACTCCCCCTCGGATGTAAGATATGGTTTGACTTAAGAGACTGTGACCCAAATAGGAGCTATTATCTTTTTAGTGGTTCCATAAGGGACACACCCAATAGTTACTTTACATAATGACATTTCAAACTGTGACTTCCTAATGGGTATTTGTGTTCATTTATAGTACTCCCAAACCCAGAGGTACATCAGCAAGTCTTTCCCCTTATGTATTATTGCCAGGTAATGTCCTATCTTTATTAGGTTTCAGGGGAATAGAGCCAGAAAGTTAATCTCAGGTCACATTCATTTCTATAAAAAGAATCAGGAGTTAGAATTCAGACTCTGAAATGAGATGCCTTGGTTAGAAAGTGCATTTCTTCTTCAAGATCTGTTTGGGTAGTTGCCACAATTTGAGCTCATGACTGAAGGTCATCAGCTTGGGAACAATGAATTTCTGCTTGTGCTTGGCTGCTGTGATCTAGGTCACCAAAGAGCATCAATGACAAACATTTATGAAAGCACGTACCCTCACTCTTCCTGTGGGAATGTCTGTCTTTGTATTTTCCTTAAAGAATTTCCTTAAGTGATTTCCTTGGAAGCTATAGACTGGCCAGAAATGAAACTTTATGTAATTTTCAGTAGAAGACCCGAGAATACCAATTTTATTAGCTTCTTTGTTTCTCTCAGAAGAGTGTTGTTTCTGTGGACTGTTGTATTAAAGGGTGCTGTAAGGTATGGGAAAAGAACTCTCAGTGTCATGGAGAGACTCAAAAAACACTAGAGTGGCCCAGTTGGCCTGGAGCCCTCACCAGAATGTGGCTTTCTGGTAGGAATCCTGGGATGTAATTAAAGGTACTGGACAACTAGATATTTTCCCCAGATCCTTTGATTCCCTGTATCTGCCATGCTTTTTGCACATTAGTGTAGGTATCTATGATCATGAAGTTGAGAGTTAGGAAAGTGCTTTCTTTGCAAACCATGTAAGCATTCCTCCTGACCACCTGTCCCCAACACTCCCTTAGGTAGAGTAAACTGTTTACAGTAGGGCTCCTCACTGTATGGATGCTTGTGTTCATTTTGTCATCAGAAAGTCTTCACTGCTGGTTGTCCTCACCGTGGGAAATCATACATGACGGTGACTTGAGACAAAGGGTAGAGTCTACTTCCTCTATCGAAATGCCTTAAAAGCTTTTATATTTGCACATTTTCTAGTAAATATTTACCCACATGAAACATCTTAAATATGCATAGCGGTCATAGAATCATCATCTAATAAAATCTGTTGGTAATTTTCAGAATGAAGCAATGACTGGTTCTCACACCCAGAACCGAGTCCTCTCTCGAATCACTCTGGCATTAATGGAGGACACTGGGTAAGATGGCTGTGAGAAAATGATGTGTTTATAAAACGAAATCGTATTCAAAATATAGCTGTAAAAAGTGCTGATTTTTCAAACAATATGTACTTATGATTCTTGGACTTTGTGTAGTTTGTTCTTAATATAACAGAATGAATATAACAAAATCTAAGAGACTATGAAGCTATGCTGATATGAAGGGAAAACTAACCTAGATAGTTTTAAATTATTTAATCAAATGAGTGATATATAAATTCCTAGGATTTTTGTTGTTGTTTTGTTTTGTGTTTTGAGACAGGGTCTCACTGTGTGGTTCTTCTGACCTGAAACTTGATACGTAGACCAGCCTGGCCTCAAAATCATTGTGAGCCTCCTGCCTCTGCCTCCCAGCTGCTGTGATTAAAGGTTAGTGTCACCATTCCCAACAGATTCCTAATTTTTAAATGAGTGGATCTCTCTGGTAAAAGAGTGAAATATGTATTTAAATAAACCGCTTTATTTAACTCCTACTTAACAAACCAGAGTAATTTTAGTGGAAGCATTATTGCCTCTTGCTTTTTCTAAAACAGCCTACAAGAAATTTGAAAATAGCATTGAATTTGAGAACCAGTGATAAAAAATATTGTTAAAGCCCTGAAAATAAGCTGACATGGTGACACTGCCTGTGATCTCAGTCCTCATACTCCAGAGGCTGACACAGGGTGGATTGTGAGTCCAGTCTAAGTTTATAGCAAAACTCTGCCTCAGAAACTCTTTCTTTCTTTTCTTTTTAATTAATTAATTATTTATTTTTGGTTTTTCGAGACAGGGTTTCTCTGTGTTGTTTTGGAGCCTGTCCTGGAACCCACTCTGTAGACCAGGCTGGTTTCGAACTCACAGAGATCCATCCGCCTGCCTCTGCCTCCCGAGTGCTGGGATTAAAGGCATGCGCCACCACCACCCAGCCCAGAAACTCTTTTAAAAAAGCAAAGCAAAACAAAACAACCCACACACCATGAAAATAATTGATATTGCCTTAACTTTTGAGGAATTAACAAAGTATAAAGATTTGGGGACTGGAGAGATAGCTCAGCAGTTAAGAACACTGCCTGCTCTTTCAGAGGAACCAAATTCAATTCCTAGCACCCGCTTGCCAGCCCACAACTGTCTGGGACTCCAGTTTGAGAGGACTTGACACCCTGTTCTAGCCCCCTCAGGCACTAGACACATGTATTGTGCATGTGCCCATATACATATAAAATAAAAATAAAAATTTAAAAAATTAAGACTAAATTTAAAAACTGAAAAAAAGCAGTTGTCTTAATTGCTTTTCTACTGCTGTGATAGAATCACATAACCAAGGAAAGTGTTTGTTTTGGCCTGTGGGTCCAGAGGGTTAAAGCGTGAGATGGTGGGAGGAAGGAGCGGCTGAGAGCTCACATCCATGAAGCAGAAACAGCGCTGGGAATCACGGGAGTATTTGAAATCTCAAAGCCCCCCACCCCAGTGTCATATCTCCAACCAGACTACACCTAATTCTTCCCAAATCCTTGCCAACTGGGGACTCAGTTATTCAAATATATGAACCTATGGGGGGCATTCTCATTCAAATTACCACAGAAGTATAAAGATTTTAAAATACAGAGGTCATGACAAGATATAGAGGTCATAGCTGACCCTGAGAATAGTTTTGATAAAAATGAGAGGAGTGGGGTGCAGTGGATTAATGGTAGAACTCTTGCCTAGCAGATTCAAGCTTCCATCCCCAACCTGGATGTTCCCATTAAATAATGATAGTGATGATAATAATAATAAAATAATAATAAGAAATAATGATAATAGAGACTAAAAATTCCTCTGTTCTAGCCAGGTGGTGGTGGTGCACACCTTTAATCCCAGCACTCGGGAGGCAGAGGCAGGCGGATCTCTGTGAGTTCCAGGCCAGCCTGGTCTACAGAGGGAGTTCCAGGACAGCCTCCAAAACAATACAGAGAAACCCTGTCTGGAAAAACCAATAAAAAAATAAAGAAAGAAAGAAAAAAAAATCCTCTGTTCTGTTTAATGAGAGCCAAAGATCTAGGTCAGGAAGGATTTGATTGAGACAGCTTTTTCCTAACAGTGCAAACTCGGTGAGATCTAGAAAACCAAGAACGAATTAGCTTAATGAGAGAAAGAAATCAACTCAGATGGGAATTGGCTTCCTGCCTGTTAATTCAGGGGGAAGGAGTGGGAGTGAAGATGCAGGTCCTTTTGTAGGGAAAGGCTGAATGTGGAGGAAATTCATAAATGATAGTTTCCATGTCACTGGCATTCAGAAGGAAATTCAACCCCAGGGAAGAGGAATTGTATGTAGGTCGTTTAAATGATTCATGGGCATTTTTTATGACTCTACACAAATCTACTTTTTGTTGTTTTCTTGTGAGATTTTTGTTACTGTTGTTGTTTTGGGGGAAGGGACAGGGTTCACTATCCCGGGCTGGTTTTGAACTCCTGCCCCCACCTCTGTCTTCCTAGCACTGGGATTCAGGTGTGAACCCCAAGCAGCTCCCCTACTTCCTAACCTCTTTCACCACTGGAGAACCCTAAAGAAAAACAGCGTCTTACATCCTGTAGGGTGGGGATACCTGATAGCACTCTGAAAGTCATTATTATCATGTAAAATTTGAAATAAAAAAGGTACATTCTGGGCTGGAGAGATGGCTCAGAGGTTAAGAGCACCGGCTGTTCTTCCAGAGGTCCTGAGTTCAATTCCCAGCAACCACATGGTGGCTCACAACCATCTGTAGTAAGATCTGGTGCCCTCTTCTGGCCTGTAGGCATACAAGCAGGCAGAATACTATATACATAATAAATAATTTTTTAAAAAAAGGTACATTCTATAAAGTGATAACAAATATTTAAGTTCATGTACACTTCTGTCATCTTGGGGATATTCTTTTAAGTATTTTATTATGAAATATACTAGTATACCCAAAATGCAGAGAAAACAATGCATATAAAACAGTGACTCACTGGGCAGTGGTGATACACGCCTTTAATCCCAGCACTCGGGAGGCATAGGCAGGTGGATTTCTGTGAGTTTGAGACCAGCCTGGTCTACAAGAGCTAGTTCCAGGACAGCCTCCAAAGCCATAGAGAAACCCTATTTGGAAAAATAAACAAACAACAACAACAACAACAAAAATATTTCTTTATCCTAGAATCAGCAATATGTTGTCTCTCATCTGTAACATTGTCTTTATTATCTTGAAAGTTGCAGATATTTTTCCTATATAGTCTACTACAAGTTCCTATACTAGATGGACTTTTAAAAGGAACCATTAACAAAATTTAAAATTTCTTAATATTTTATATATCTTGTTATAAAGGCTTACATAACCATATAACCCTTTGTTTTTCTCCTTTTATAACTGATTTGTTTAAGATCTAAATATAGGGTCAGATGGTGGTGGCCCATGCCATAAATCCAAGCAGAGGCAGTTGGAACTCTGTAAGTTCAATGCCAGCTTGGTCTACAAGAGCTAGTTCCAGGCCAGCTAGGACTACACAGAGAAACCCTGTCTCAAAAAAGCAAAACAAACAAAACAAAACAAAACAAAAAACCAACAACAACAACACAAAAAAAGATCTAAATATAATCCTGGTTGGTTGGTACATTTCTTCAGTCTGTTAATCTAAACCTTTTTCGCACATTCTACACAAGTGTGCAATTTCCCTGGTATAGTGCCTCACACCACAGGAAAACATCTTGACCAAGGTGTAGTGCTCAGGCATTGGCAGAGACACCAAGACCTTCGACAGGAAAAGAGCACCTTAACAAATGGTGCCGGGACCAGGTCAGAAATGAACAAGACCTAACTTACTTGCTGAAAAATAAAGCAATTGAAATAAATCAGATGTAAGTCTTTATCATACTGGATTAGGAAATGATTCTTAGATCTATCACCAATAGTTACAGCAATCAAAGAAGAAAAATAGAACATTTGGATATCATCGGAAAAAATAAAAAAATTGTGCTTCAGAGAAAATTATCAAGAAAATAAAATATAACTCACAGAATAAGAATATATATTTCAGGTCATTTATCGAGTGCCTATACAATATCCAGAATAGGTAGAGGATCAGAGAAAGGCACAATAAGAAAAAGGCCATAGGGGAAAAAACAATTTAAAAAGTATTTCTTAAAAAATATGCAGAGGCAAATGAGCATATATATGCATAACATCACATTGTCATTAACAAACTACCAATTAAAACTCTAATGAGACATGACTACATACATAGCACTCTCAATACCACCAAATCCCAGCAAGGACAGAGAGTAACAGAACTCACTGTTAGTAGGAAAGCAAAATGATTCAGCCACATTTGAAGATAGTTTGGTAATTGCTTATAAAACCAAAGATGTTCTTCCCATACAGCTAACTATGCTCCTTGATATTTACCAAATGAGCTGGAACTGTACACCTGCCACAAAAGCCTGCCCATAGATGCTCATATTGGCTGGATAAACAAGCTGTGATAGATCAGATAAGGAGGAATTCTTTATTTAACACTAAAAACGAAGGAGTACAAGCCGTGAGGGGACCTGGATACTAAGTGGAAGGAGACAGTCTGTAAAGGCCGCACGCTGCACATCCAACTGTGGATGCAGGGTTAAACTGGAGACAGAGTAAAGAAGGTGGGTCAGGATGGAGAAAGGAATGTGCAGAAGACGGGGGGGGCACTACACCCTGCTGTGCAGCATCTTAGGTATGTGTGCTAGGCAGAACACACATACATACCTAAAAGAGAATGCAATGCTAAGAGTGAGCCCTAATGTGAACTATGGATTTTGGTAGTAATGGCATTCCCGTGTAGATTCACTGGTATAACCAATGTGTAGCTTTGGTGAGGGACACTGTGGTCTGTAGAGGTGGGGAGAATCTAGGAAGTCTTTGTACCCTCTACTCAATTTTGCTAGTACTTTAAAACTGCCTCCCCACACTAAAGTTTGAAAAGGGAAAAAACAAAAGAGATTCTGCTATACACCACAGCATGTATGAGCCTGTAAAACATTATGTTAAGTGATAGATCCAGACTGACAGTGGTTTAGTGTTTATCAGGAATGGGAGATGGGGAAGGGAACATGGTTTATTCGAGGGGTGATGGAAGTGTCCTGAAATTAAATAGTTATGGCATGACCATGTGTGTATCCTAGAGATTATTTTCATGTTATATGGGTTTGATCTCACTTTTTAAAGCATATAGAAGCCAAAACTCTGAGTTCCAAGCATTGTCACTTAACTGGTTTGCACCTTTGAGTTTCCTCACTTGTAAAATAGAGGTGGCAGTGATCCTTATTTCATCGAGGTTTCTGAGGCTTAACCAAGCTACTTTATGGAAAGCCCTGGTACTTGCCTTAGTGCGTTGTGATTACCAACCAACTGTTGAAATTTTCTATAAAACCTGAACCAAAGTCTCCTGAGAAAAGTTTCACATTTACTGCCCACAGCACAGTTCTTCATTCTGTTGCTTTTGAAAGGAAGGAAGGCTCCTAGAATGCACTAAATGATCTTGTAGTCCAGGAAGCTCTGGAAACCGGCTTCCTCATAAAGGCCTCAGGTCTCCACACCAGCTTAAGTTTTGCTGGTGATATACTTCTGGTAGTACTTTTTAATTGTCTTTTGTAAAACTCATTACTTAGAGTATTTTGGTTTATCAGTCCTCACTAGATTAGAATTTTAAAATTATTTATTTGGGGTTTTGCTTGTTTGAGACAGGGTCTCAGTGTATAGCTCTGTCTGACCTGAAACTCACTGTAGACCAGGCTAGCCTCAAATTCATAGAGAGCTGCCTCCTTTGTCTTGCCAGTGCTGGGAATAAAGGGTACACCACACACCCACCTTATTTTTGTGTGTGTCTATGCTACATGTGTGTGAGTCCCCTCGGAGGCCAGAAGAAGGCTTTGGATCCCCTGAAGCTGGAGTGTGCTGGCTAAACTGCCTTTGATTAAAAACCCCTTTCTCACAGTCCTGTGCAGCAGCCCTCCTGCAGCAAGGGTTTTACAATATTCAGCTTGCCCATGGCCTGCAGGCTCCCTCTGAAGTCGGTGCTCTGCCCGTCGCGGAGATCTGTGGTAGGTGCTAGGGGCAGTAAAGGGCTCTTTCTTGCATTGTCTCCACAGCTGGTACAAAGCAAATTACAGCATGGCAGAGAAACTCGACTGGGGCCGAGGAATGGGCTGTGAATTTGTCAGGAAGAGCTGTAAATTCTGGATCGATCAGCAGAGGCAAAAGTAAGAGCATCTTTCCACCTGTATCTGTGTAGTTCATTTCTGAACTGGGTTCTTTGTCTTGAGCATCAAACACCAGCTACTGTGTGTAGAAAATATTCTATAAGTTCTTCATAAAAATCGTAGGTATCTACAGGATTGTTTTGTGCAAGAGCAGTATGAGCTCTACCCACTGAGCCATCTCTCCAGACCTTCCTCTCCCACCCAGCCCCTGACAGTTTTCTCTGTGGCGCAGGCTGGCTTCAAACTCATGATCTTCCTGCCTTAACCTCCCCTCTTTATTTGCCTGCTCCACCAGAGAAAGGTTCATTCTTAAGTGTAAGGTAGACTTCTCCAGAGACAGGTCTGGGCCTGGAGATGACTCTTCTAAGAGTTCTACCATTGTGAACAAGCTTCCTTAAAGCTCATGAGACTATTCGTGTTGTCTGTCTCACATTGAATAAATGGTGGCACTTTATGGTTTTCTGTTGTGTAAATTATCAAATGTATGTGTATAAGGTTGACTTTACTGTCCTCTTGTTACATTTTAGTTGTCTGTCAGGTTGCTGTACCTTCTCTTTGTTTCTTTCCAAAGATATTTCTTTTAAAATTCGTCTTCCTTAGCAATCTACTTATGTGGCTCAGTTAGTAGAGTGCCTAGCATGATCCCCAGTACCACATAAGCCAGTATGGTGAAGTAAACATGTAATCCCACTATTCCAGAGGTCATCTTCAGCTGCATAGCAAGTTCGAGGCCAGGCTGGGTTCATTTTGAGCCACCGGTGTCATATTCTCATGCTGGCTTCTGCTCTTTGTGGCATATTTCCCTCTGCTTGTTCTGGCCATCTCCTCTCTCCAGAGTCTTGAACCATTTGATTAGAGGCATTTCTTCTTTCAATGTCCTTAACACTAAGTTTCCTCTCTAGCAGACCCCATAACCACAGTTTCATTGTGTTGTAGCTTTCTTTTCATCTAGTTCAAAGTGTTTTCCCCTTGAGTTTTCTTTGACCTGTGGATTATTGACTAGTATGTCACTTAGTTTTCAAGGGTGTGACCTTTTTCATGTCATATTTTTGCTGTTGGATTCTAGTTTGATTCCATTGTAGTGGAGGAAATACTCTGTATGATTTTTTAGTGTATCTGAATGTATTGAGGTTTGCATTATGGCTCAACAGGGTTTGTCTTGCTGTGTGTTCTCTGAGCACTTGGAAAGAATGCATAGTCTGCTATTGTTTGGTGGAATATATGGCAAGACCATGATGTCGTGTAGGTCCATATTGTTAACCCTTTACATCTTTTTGATTTCTTGCTTGTTTAGTCTCCTAATTGTTTTAAATTTTTTAAAAAAATCATCTGTCTATATTACTGTGTGTATCCATACTGTATGTAGGGAGAACTATGCATGCCATGGTACATGTGTGGTTGTCAGAGGACAACTCTGTGGAGTTGAATCTCTCCTTCCACTTTTGTGTTGGTTCTGGGGATTGAACTCAGACTGCAGGACTAGCCTTCACCCACTGAGCCATCTGGCTGGTCCATTCTACAGTCGTTGAGAAAGTTCCTACCACCCTGGTTTCTAACCCTGAAGTCCCTGTCTAGTCTGTCCTCTTTGCTCTGTTTTCCATGTCTTTCATTGTGCTAGTTCTACTATCTAGGGATTTCAGTTGTCCTTTAAATGAAGAAGAGAGAAAATACATCTGTTCTGGGAATAGAAGTGAGACTTCATACTTTCTTAATTCAGACTATGGACCTACAGAACCGGATTTTACTGGTGATGTGTAGAAAAGGGTTAATGGGATTTTCTTCAATAGGGTGTAATATGCTCTCGGCCTCAAGACAAGTCCTCCACGTCTATGCTCAGCATCCCCTCTACTCTGGGGAAAATCTTGATAACCTGAGATTTACTGTGAACTGTTAGACCCTGCGATTATAGCTGAGATGGTCTCTGTAATGGACATGTGCGGACCTCCATTCAGCAGGCCGTTGACATGGAAAATAACCTGATGCCAGCTTGCCTTCCTTGTGTGCAGGAGGCAGGTGCCAAGCCCGTACTGTGACACACTCAGGAGTAACCCACTGCAGTTGACTTGCAGACAGGACCAGAGAGCCGTGGCTGTGTGTAACCTGCAGAGGTTTCCTAACCCTTTACCACCAGAGTACCAGGTAACACTTGTCCCAGCACTTCTTCTAAAGTATCTCTGTTTTAATTAAGAGAATAAGTCTCTTCCATTTTTTACTGTGTCATTTCCTGGAGCTTGCGGATCCCTCATTTCTTCAGGGCTAACGTGCTGCTTAGCAGTCATGTAGTACCTAGCTGTTCCTTGGGACAACAGCCAAGCACACCCCAGGATCCTGCCCCATCTCCCCAGCAGTGGGTTTACAGGGCTGCCCCATGCCCAGCTGTTAAGGGTCAAATGTGGTTCCTCACACTTGACAGAAAGTGCTATAGCCACAGAGGCAACTCCTCAGCTTCTGTTTGATCTTTTTCTTCCTAATCATTGCTAACATCTCCTTTAAATTTCTCTAATTTATTCAGAAAACAAAACTCTTAAAAGAAAATAGGTACTCTACTCTAGTTAGCTGGAAGATGTAGGAATTCTGCTTTTAAAACGATTTGATTTGTGAGATCTAAACGATGAGCAGGGGATGGAGAGATGGCTCCTGTGGAGGACCTGGGCACCATTCCCAGCACACACACACACACACACACACACACACACACACACACACACACACACACACGTCAGCTCACAACTGTTTGTAGCTCCCACACACACACACACACACACACACACACACACACACACACACACACACACACACACACACACACCCCGTCAGCTCACAACTGTTTGTAGCTCCCGCTGCTAGGGCATCCAGTAGACCTTTCTAGCCTCCAGGGGCATCCTGCACACACATAGCACACTTATACACAGGCCAGAAAAACACTTAAACACATAAACGTTAAAGTAAATAAATCTTTCCTAAAAACAAAATGCTGCTCGTGTCCAGCCTGAGTCTGACTGATCTTAGCTTCCTCTTCTGGACCCAGGTGTGGCCCTCAAGGTTTAAGACTCTGTCATAAACAGCAGCAAACCAAGTTCCTAGACTTAGTCTTTCAATTCCCTCAGCTGCATCTGCTGTCACACGTGTCTCAGAAGCTAATGGCAATGATATCTACTCAGGTGTGAGGTTCCAACATGGGCTTGACTTCACTGAGTACATCAGACTCTATCAGATGGCAAAGGGGTTTGTAGGGATAGTATCACAGTGTGTTGGTGTAAAATGTGATTCTTTTTTTTCCAGACAGGGTGCCATGTGCCCTGGCTATCCTCAACTAGTTCTCCTGGCTTGTTTTCCCACCTAGTGGGATTTAAAGGCATGTGTCACTTCCTGGCACAATGTGACACCTTTACAACGTACTTGGTTCCTTACTGCTTTGGTATTCATACTATTTTATGTAAATAGCTTTATTTTTTTAACTTTTTTTTTTTTTTTCAATACAGGGTTTCTTCTCTGTATTGCTTGGGAGGCTGTGCTGGAACTCACTCTGTAGACCAGGCTGGCCTCAAACTCACAGAGACCACCTGCTCCTGCCTCCCGAGTGCTGGGAATAAAGGCGTGCGCCACCAACGCCTGGCCTGTTTTTTTTTTGGTTTTTATGAGACAGGGTTTCTCTGTATTGTTTTGGAGGCTATCGGCCCAGCCCGGCCTCGAACTCACAGAGATCCGCCTGCCTCTGCCTCCCGAGTGCTGGGATTAAAGGCGTGCGCCACCACCGCCCGGTTGGCCTGTTTTTTTTAAAGTTTTTTTCCCCTAAAATGACTTAAACAATCCTATGTTTATTACTTTTGCTGTACTGCTCAGATGGCTTCAGACTCCTGTGCCCCAGTATTCCTCATGTCTCAGCCCCCACAAAAGGGAGCTGGGGTTTACAGCACAGTCCACTGTGCTTAGTATTTTATATTAAAAATGTCTTCATTTTATGCATTAGTTTTATGTTATATCAGCTCTTTTTTCTTACTGTTTTTTTGTCGTGTTTGTTTGTGAGTCAAGGTCTCACTATGTAGTTCTGCCTGGCCTGGAACTCACTTCTTAGACTACAGATCCGCCTGCCTCTGCCTCCCCAGTGCTGGGATTAAAGGAGTGCCACCATGTCTGGCTCTGTCTGCCTCCCTAGTGCTGGGATTAAAGGAGTACCACCATGTCTGGCTCTGTCTTGCTGTCTTTTGGGGTTTTGTTTCATTTTTTTGCTATACATATACTTTTAGCATTTTTTAAAGACAAAGGCAAATATGTACGTGTGGTTGCCTGGGTCTTGTTTTAAGCTTACAGAGTGACTTGGTCTTCTCCTCTCCTGTGATTTGTTCACAGTACTTTGACGAGCTCAGTGGAATATCTGCAGAGGATTTACCTCACTATGGTGGGTCAGTAGAAATTGCTGACTACTGCCCTTTCAGTCAGGAATTCAGCTGGCATTTAAGTGGTGAATACCAGCGTAGCTCCGACTGTAGAATACTGGAAAATCAACCAGGTTAGTAGTCTAGTGAAATGAACGGTTAAGTACCTCATACAATTTTATGTTGCCTATATAAAATAGTTGCTAAGAAAACAGTTCTGGTAGCCAGATGACCTTGAGTTTGTGTTTCAACTCCTCTATTGTCTATAATTACTAGACTTTCATCGTGAGACCCTGTCTCAAAAAGTAAGGGCAGAGATTACTCAGTGGTTAAGAGCCCTGGCTGCTTTTCCACAGAGCCGGGGTTCAATTCCCAGGACCCACATGGCAGCTCACAACTGTCTGAAACTCCTATTCCAGGGGATCAGACACCCACTTTTGGCCTCTTAGGTACCCGGTAGGCATGCTCTTGGTGCACAGACATACAAGCAGCCAAAATACCCATACACAGAAAATAATAAAATACATATATGTTTTTTAAAGCAAGGGGGACAAACAGCAATTGTTTTTTCCATTTTTTTTCAAAAATTTTAACTTGGTCATCCCCTCTTTCCATCTTGTTCCTACTGTATTGCAGATTAGATCATTTAAACCCTAGACCTCTGTGATATTTTTTACCATTCTTTTTCTTTCTTTTTTGGAATAGTCTCTTGAACATAAAGGGCAGTGGGCTTGACAGCAATAGAATACAAACCACAGCTGCTGCTTATGCCTCAGCCTGGCACACTTAACTGCATCTCTGGCCCTTTTTGCTCTCACTCACCTATTGCAGACACATCCCAAACACTGATGATGGAATGACTCAGTGGGGCCTTGCTGAAGCGACAGAAACACACAGATCTGTCCGTGAGGACTTGCTAGAAAGATCACAGTATTGTTTTAGAGCTAGGCTCAACACTACTTTTTAAAAATACAAATAGTTCAGGCTTTGCAACTGAGCTTTGCCCTCTATAGTGTGAAAGGTTATAGAGAAGAGGAAATGAGTGGGGGTCTCGGGTTTAGCTTGAGGATTGTAGTTTGCTGAAAACTCTCCTTTGCATACTACTCAATATTCCTTTCAAACACTTGAAATTCATAGATATGAGCTACATAAAATTCATAGCTCATAAAATTAAAATTAAAAAAACTTATAGAAAATCAAACACTTCTTTACACTGTTTAAAAATGGGCTACTTAAATCCCCTACTTTGTAAAACATGAACCTTGGGCTGACAAATTGATTCAGCAGGTAAAGGCACTTGCTGTTTACACCTGGGGACTTGAGTTTGATTCCTGGAGCCCCATTAAAGTGGAAGGAGAAAAGTGCACAGTCGTCCTCTGACCTTCACACATGCACCGTGTTATGCCTGGCCAGCCCCATGTTGTGCACACATTTGTGCACACACAATTACAAATAAATGGAAACCACCATGAAACTTGTATGAACTATAAGGAAAACACACTGTAACTAGAATCTAAGGATTTTGTCACTTTGCCTCCATTCACCCACACATCCACAGCTGTGTGTTTTAGCCTGCAACTGTTGTATGACTTTCCAGAAGATGCAGGAGGTAGAGGCGGGAAGACCACAAGTTCTGCATCCAGCCTGAACTACATAGGAAGACACTGTCCTCAAAACAACAAAATATTGTCCAAACAACAAAATATTGTAACACCTGCCCTGAGTCACATGAAAGGACACCATATTTACAGACCATCACTGAAAGTGGTTCTTGTTTTGATATCTAATTCTGTGGGGTTTTTTTGTTTTTTTTTTTTTTTAGTGCCAGCTCCTCTAAATAATTAACCTTGATATTTTGGGCCCATGTAATCTCATTCCCAGTTTAGGTTCCTTTCTGAAAACTCAGTTGAGTTTGGAGTCTTGTTTATCATTTTTTAACTTGAAATGTTCTTTTCAGCTACATTGATTTGTTTACTTGTTTTTGCTTTGGGAGGTAGTGTCCCTCTGAGGCTGGCTTCAGACTCACAGCACGTCTCCTGCTTTGCCTCTCAAGACCTGGGAGTGCAGATGTGAGCTACGGGCCTGCCTCAGTGCTGCTATTGTGAAGACAGAGTCTCTGTAGCCAAGGCTGGCCCCAAGTTTGCTATCCTCCTGCCTTTTCGTCCCCAGAACAACTTTTAATCATGAAAATAGAATGCCTCATTTCTTATTTGCACTAACGGTCAGTATGTGAGAACACTCTTCGAATTTGTTTTAGAAATGTTTAAAAACTACGGTGCTGAGAAGTATGGCCCTCACTCGGTCTGTCTGCTTCAGAAATCAGCCTTTGTCATGGAACAGTGTGAGAGAAAGCTCAGTTACCCAGACTGGGGGAGTGGATGCTACCAGGTAAACCACAAGTTCAGTCCCTGCTTCAAATATATAATTGTGTGTCAGATTATAATTGATATTGCTTAGATAGATGAGTTACTGATCATTACTTTCACTTACTTGGGTTTTGTAATTATTAGTTTGAGTGCTATGGTTTAAGGAAATGCTGTCATTTGTGAAATTGCTTTTAGCCGTCTATTTGGAATATATGTAACTTGGGCTAGGCAGGCATAGTTATGCAAATTTTCACTCCCAGCACTTGGGCGGCAGAGGCAGGCTGGACTTTTTTTGTTGTTGTTGTTGTTTATTTTGTTTTTGTTTTGTTTTGTTTTTTTATGAAACAGGGTTTCTCTGTATTGTTTTGGAGGCTGTCGGTCCATCCCGGCCTCGAACTCACAGAGATCCACCTGCCTCTGCCTCCCAAGTGCTGGGATTAAAGGCATGCACCACTACTGCCCGGCATGGACTTTTTTTTTTTAAAAACAAAGTCTATGTAACCCTGACTATCCTGGAACTTGCTATGTAAACTAGGCTGGTCTAGCAATGACCTTGAACTCCTATTCCTCCTGCCTTGAAGTGTTGGATTACAGGTATACATCACCACACCTGGCTATGAAAGTGATGCTCTTTAAATTACATACAACTAGGTTGAGTAAAACTTGTCTTCTTCCAAAACTACAGTGCCACATATTGTTTCCCTATGAAACACACAGTGTGATGCCTCTGGGAAGGCACAAGTACTGATACAGGTGAGACCTCTCTGTCCTCCCACTGGGACAGATGTGTTTTTAGTGTTTACATGACTATGACACTGTCACTGAGGAACCGTGTATTACGCATTCCTCAAAGGCTCTTACTGACTTCATTTTTATCCCCTATTTGAAGGTTTCCTGTTCCCCTCAAGGTCTGAAGGTTTGGGTTCAAGATACTTCATATCTGTGCAGCCGGGCTGGGCAGGTGCTGCCTGTCCGCATTCAGATGAACGGCTGGATTCACAATGGAAACCTTCTGTGCCCTTCCTGCTGGGACTTCTGTGAGCAGTGTCCACCAGAAACCGACCCTCCAGCTGCTAACCTGACCCGAGTCCTTCCTTTGGGTGAGTACTCTCCACGACTGGAGGAATGAGGGAGCATAAAGAGCTGTTCCTTACAAGATATTGGGCCCTCCGAGCAGGCCAGGCTCCTTTCCCTCTGATTGAGGTTCTCTAGGAAGACCCTGCTGCCTACTGTTACTAGAAAACTTGAAAGCCTAGTCCAGTCATGACTGTGAAATGATGATGTTTCTAACCCAGGAGCATGACAGAGGTAGCAGTGATAACAAACATTCAACACCCTGCACTTCAGCCCAGTGGCCCTTACATCTCTCCTGCTCCCTCTTAGTAGGGAGCAGAGGAAACCCTGAGTTAGTGAATGGGTGTGTCGATGTGGGCCTGCCCATGTCAAGGACTCCAGTACCTCAACCTTATAAGGAGTGGCAAAGCCTCCATAGGTGAGGCTCAGAATGACGGCAGGGTTCCTCCGGCATCCAAGTGGGAAAGATTATGTGTATAAAAGCTGACAGCTGCAGCTTCCTTCTCCTGGATGGTTAAAGCCTGAGATGGCTCTCCCACAGACTTCCTATGCACACTAGGTAGCCCCTCCCCCTGGGCTGCACGTAGCAAACTTACTGAGGTTCCAGGTTGTATCAGAGGTTGGCTCAACTCCATCAGAGTGTGCACAGCCCACCTGACCTCAGCTTTTCAGTGTACATGTGTTGTGTCTGTAGTTTCTTCAGTAGGTGTCTTTTCTTCATTTCCTCGCCACCCCTAGTCAGGTCAAGTCCCACTGTGCTGGACACAGCATCTCTTTATATATATATATCAGTTGCCTCCTGAGACCATATTTTGTGTCGTCATTTCTGTGAGGAACATGCTCAAAGTTCTGGAACCTCCTAACTACCTCCTAACCTCCACTCGAATGATTTTGTGAGGTTGCAGAGTATAACAAGAATAGGATGATCTTGGGCATTGTCTTTCTACTTCTTAAGCAACACTGCTGATATGCTGAAGTGCCTTGACATCCTGTGTTTGTCAGTGTGTGTCAATAGAGCACACAGAGAGTTTTAACTGGGCTGGAGAGATGGCTCAGAGGGTAAGAGTACTGGTTGCTCTTCCATAGCTCCTGAGTTCAATTCCCAGCAACCACATGGTGAGATCTGGTGCCCTCTTCTGGCCTGTAGGCATACATGCAGACAGAATATGTATACATAATAAATAAAAATCTTTAAAAAAAAAAAAAGAGTTTTAACTGACCACCTAGTAAGCTGTGCCAGGAACTCTCACATATGCTTGCTCTTTTACATAAAGTGTGTGTATGGGGGGGTTGTCTGGGTGTGTGTGTGTGTGTGTGTCTGTGTGTGTCTATCTCTATGTGTCTCTCTGTGTGTATATGTCTGTGTGTGTGTCTTTGAGTGTCTTTGTGTATATGTGTCTCTGAGTGAATGCATGTGTCTATGTGGTGTGTGTGTTTGTATATCTGTGTATATGTACATGTATGTCTGTGGGGTGTGTGTGTGTGTGTCCATTTTTCATTTTTTTTTTGAGACAGTCTCATTTAGCTCATGCAGCTCCATCTGAAGCTGAGGGTGCCTTTAACTTCCTTCTGTCTCCATCTTCCAAGTGCTGGGATTATCTACCTGTGTCACTATTGCCATGCCTACTTTATGCATGCTGGTGATTGAACCTAGGCCTCACACAAGCTTGACAAGCACTCTACCAACTGAGCTGCATCCCAGACTGAGTTCTCCCTCCCTCCCTCCCTCCTTCCCTCCCTCCCTCCCTCCTTCCCTCCCTCCCTCCCTCCTTCCCTCCCTCCCTCCTTCCCTCTCTTTCTCTCTCCCTCTCTCTCTTTCTCTGAGATAGGGGTTTTTCTGTGTATCTTTGTAGACTAGGCTGGCCTCAAACTCACAGAGATCTACTTGCCTCTGTTGTTTCTCTTTAAAACAGTTATTACTTGCCAAATTTTAAAATGTAATATTTTCAGTGTACTTGCATGAGACATATAGTTAACCTACAGCAACACCTTTTTAACAGTATCATCCCTAATGTAGCTAGCTGTCTTGTGAATTTGACTATTTTAGTACTAAGCTGCTAACATTAAAGCTAATATTTTGCCAGGCGTTGGTCTTGCACACCTTTAATCCCAGCACTCGGGAGGTAGAGGCAGGAGGATCTCTGTGAGTTGTAGGTCAACCTGGTCTACAGATCGAGGGCCAGAACAGGCTCCAAAGCTGCACAGAGAAACCCTGTCTCAAAAAACAAAACAAAAAAACAAAAAAGAAAGAAAGAAAAAGGAAAAAAAAAAGAGCTAATGTTTAACAGTGCATGGTGGCACATACCTACAATCCCAGCACTTGGGAGATGGAGACAGGAGGATTAAGAGTTCCAGTTTTCCTCAACTACAACAGAGAGTTTGAGGCTTGTCTCAACTGCATGAGACCCTGTTTTTAAAAACAAGCAAATGTATAACCTGCTAATACTCTGAAATAAATTAGAGTGAATTTCTATTTGTTGTATTGTTCCAATTTGACTTGTTCATCTAATCTTACAGAAACAATATATTTCAGATTACTAAAACTCATTTTTTAATTTATTTTCAGACAGGGTCTCACTGTGTCACCCAGGATGGCCTAGAACACTCTGTGTAGACCAGGCTGGCCTTAGACTCATCATGATCCTCTCCCCTCTGCCCGCCGCAGTGCTTGGATTACAAGAGTGCACACCACACTCTGCTCATAGAGGGCTAGGAATTGAACCCATGGCCACAGGCGTGTAGGGCAAGCACTGTACCATTGAGTCTAGACTGTCTGCCCCCCTCTCTAAAGGTGGTCCTTGCTCCCCTTCTCTCAGGATTTAACTGGGATGATTTACTCACAAACATGCTGTATTGTTTGCTTCCTACCCTAGACCTCTGCTCCTGCTCTTCTAGCCTGGTGGTCACGCTTTGGCTCCTCGTAGGCAACCTGTTTCCTCTGCTGGCTGGATTTCTTCTGTGTGTGTGGCACTAGGAATGGAAAAGTGAATTCTCAAGACGACAGTTTTGGCGTGTTCCCATGAACAAAGCACAAAACCTGGTGGAGTGCCAGCCCATGCGACGACGCAGATGGCAGAAGTGGCGTTCCTGACTCTGGCTTGGAAGTGCTGGCTGAGCAGGACTGTGAAGCATCTCAGCTCCACAGCATCCACTCCTCATCAGCCACACAGCCACCTCGGAGCTTGGAGAGGCTCAGGCCCCTTAGTTTATGGATATGCAGTCTTCTGGCAGTGAGCTCTCCCTTGAATGCAGGGCGGATGTGGGGATTGTCATGGTCACATACCTCAGTGTTTGCGTTAACTGAAGAAGTTCCTGTGCACTAAGATCACTCACAGAGCGGCTACTGACCACTCTAGGTTGAAGAGCCCGTCCTCCAAGTCCAAAAATGGTCATTGGGATTTCTGATTTCCTGTCAACATTGCACGTGTTTTAAATGAACACCTGGACATGATACACTCAAGTCATCCTGCTGCCCGCCAGTTCAATGTTGCTCTAGCTTCTGACTTGACCATGTTCCTGCCAGCTGTGTGGCCCGTTCATGACTGAGCTGTCACCATTGCCAGCTGTGTGGCCCGTTCATGACTGAGCTGTCACCATTGTGTTGTCAGCTCTGAGCTGTCCTCATCTGAGTCAGTGTCCACTTGCATTTCTCATTAATTTCATAGCAACTTGAAAACCGGTGGGAGAGTGTGAAGTCCAGTGCACAGTAGGAGCATTGGAATCGTGCAAACAGAAGACAGCATGGCTGTGTGCTTCAGGTGATACTTAGATCAACTGTAATCCACTAAAACCCAACTGATCCTTTCTGGCTATGTAAATTCTAGGAGTTCAGACATGCAGTTACTTCCAAGTGGACAGAGCTGTTACAGAAGAACTGCTAATATCTGGAAGTTATTTCATGGACAGGAAGAAAAACAACATCAAAACAAGGTGATCTGAATTGCTTTCTAAGAGCCAAGTGTAGGTTTGCCATCCAGGCTGCCCGCCCACAGGGGCCCGGCCACCTGTGTCCTTTACTGAGTTGGAAGATTACCTTTGCTTTAAATGTCCACATGGATTCTGTGAAGCAGTCTGCTCTGCCAGAGCTTACCAACCTCTCCTAACTCAGTTTTGAAGTTCTTTAGTGAGGAGTGATGTCCTGTTTTTCTCCCTAAAGATGATCAATTCTGTAGCCTTTAGGACCAGTGAGGGGGTAGCTCAGAGGGTAAAGGCACTTGCCACTAAGCCTAATATCCTGAGTCTGAAGCCTGGAGACCACCTGGGAGAAGAAAGGGACTGACTGCGGAAAGTCCCTCTCTCTCTCTCTCTCTCTCTCTCTCTCTCTCTCTCTCTCTCTCTCTCTCTCTCTCTCTCTCTGTCTCTGTCTCTCTCACTCTCACTCTCTCTGTCTCTGTCTCTCTGTGTCTCTCTTTCTGTCTCTGTCTCTCTCTCTCTCTGTCTCTCTGTGTCTCTCTTTCTGTCTCTGTCTCTCTCTCTCTCTCTCTCTCTCACACACACACACACACACACACACACACACACACACACACACACACACACACACACGCTGGTGCAGGAAAGCAAATGTAAAACGGTTCCTAAAATGAGACATGACATTTGGACACGCTCCTCTATCTCCCTCTGTCCCACTTAGCACATAGTTACTGGGTGCTCTATTTAAGAAATTGTGCAGTTAAAGCTGAGCATGGTGGCCTGTAATTCCAGCACTTAGGAGGAGGATCCCGAGTTCAAGTTCATCCTCAGCTACATAGGGAATTTGAATTTGAAGCCAGTATTGGTTGCATGAAACCCTGTCTTAGGAATAGAGAAAAGAAAGAAATTGTGTAAGTGAGCAAACCATGACACTAAGTAGTAACTCCAGTAACTGCGGCACTGCAGAGGGACAGCAGGCTCAGAATATAGGGAAACTCACCCCCTTTTTTTATGAAGGCAGAAATTTAAAATGTATACTTGCATGCAGTACAAGTTGGAGGTATTCATCCTTGTGAAAAGCTGAGGGTCCTAAATTCAGTCAGCTAAAGAAAAGTCATGGCAGCACTCCATGTTTTTCCAGTATTCTGCATTCTTTAAATTGTACAAAGTCAGAAAAGTGAGTATGTTTTTTAAAAGTGTACAATATGCTGGGCATGGTGGCACACTCTTTTAATCCCAGCACTTGGGAGGCAGAGGCTAGTGGATATCTGAATATAAGTCTAGCCTGGTCTACAACGTAATTTTCCAGACAAGTTAGGGCTGCATAGTGAGATATACCTGTGTAAAGGGGGAAAAAAGAACTTTCATACCTATGATGATTATGAGTTATCCTACAAAATGTATAAAGAATTTCACCAAAAATAACAGTGGAGTATATTGAGAGTCAGTGATAGATTTGACTACATTTTGACTGTTGTGCAGTAATGCCATTTAGGTAATATTGTTTCCAAGCATGGTGCTTTTTATACTTGAAATATATTTTTGCTTTATTTTTTAATTAATATAATTATATTTGCACTAATGACTTTCTGGAGAAAATGTTACAGATGACATTTTTTGTATATATATTTATTAAGCTTGGAATGTGGTGTCCCAGTGTTTTCTCTGCACAAACATGAAACTTAACACAGCCCATGTCAAGAAGCACTGAACTCCCAAGACTTCCTGGCTTCGCTGCTTTGTCCCCTCCTCTTCAGTGAGGCTAGAGCTGAGGTCACTCATCCCTGATCCCACATGGCGGACTTAGCAAGACTTAGATGGTCACTCAGCCTGTAAGACAGTTTAAGAGGCTCATTGTCACTTTGAATAATAACTTTAAAAAGGAGTCTACCGTCTGAGAGTCCGGTGCAGAATTATCTATAGCATTCAGCTGTGAACTTAAGGATTTGAAATAGCCTCCTGCTAGTGTTCTGTGGCAGATTAGCCCTTTCACATCACAAGGACAACCCAGTGGCCATAGAGGGAAACGAGCAGGGTGTTTGCGAGTGCAGTGGGGCAGGGAGGAGAGGGGAGGGACAGCTGATGAAGGGGCTGTGAACTGGAGTCCCTTCCTGAGTCAGAAGTCAAGAGTCTATAAAAACTGACTACCTCGGTGTTCAGTTCAGGCAGGTCAGGTCATTGTAAGTGTTTTAAGGTCTTAGGTGTCAAGCATACCAAGTGAATTGTCTCAGGTTTTCTCAGAATTTACAGGAAGGAAGCAAAGCCATGTGAGGAGGCTTGAGCAGGACAGGAAAGGAGCTGGACAGAGTTTGATAGTCTGTACGTTGACTCCTGATATACTCTGCAGAACATCCTTCCAGTAATCCTAACATTTTTCCTATAGGATTCTTACATTTCTAAGACCAAATGGGCATCCTAAAAGTGTTAAAATTATGCTTAGCATTAGTTTTTAGTCTAGGTTGGCCTAGAGTTGATTGATATTTGAAGATATAACATAATTGTTTGGGTTGTAAATAGTTTTAGGAAGATACATAAGTGATTATATGAGAGTATTCCATGAAATGTTATTAACGTTTCTTCAATACTGGACTTGCAGACAGAACCCTGCATGGTGGTCATGCTTATAATCCCAGCATAAGGGAGACAGAGGTAGGAGGATTATGATTTTAAGACCAGTCTTGGCTGTAGAGAGACACAGTCTCACTTCTACTGTCCCCTGAAAAAAGAAAATTTCCTGACTGCGGCCATGCATAAAGCAGTTAGATGGTTGGTCCGAATCTTTACACTCCAAAGCCTCATGACTTACACTTGACGAGGACTAGGTCACTGCTGGCCCTGCTCAGCCTCCTGGAGTCTCCAGCCTAGATGCTGTGTTCCATGCCTTGCCCAGCTGTGGACTTAGGGCCAGGCGAACAGAAAAGAGCCAGGCTCTGAAGACAGCTGAGTGACCCTGCAGGGGGAGATGGATTTGCAGCCTCACAGCCAGTTTCGAGGTGGGCACTAGCTCTCTCTGCCGTGACCTTTGTGACCTTTGCCCCGCCCAGGAGGACTGATGTGCTTTGCTGAAGCCTGAGCTGAAAACAGACCGGGGAGGGAATTCTTTTATGTTTACATTTTTAATAAGTAAAGTGTAATATATTCCTTAGAAAAACACATTTAATAAAAATGGAAACTGACTTGAAGCTTGTCTTTACCAAAATCCATTAACTTTCTTGTTGTTTTATTTTTTGTTTGTTTGTTTTTGAGACAGGGTCACACTATGTAGTCCTGGCTGTCCTGGAACTCGATCTTTAGACCAGGCTGGCCTCCAACTCAGAGATCCACCTGCCTCCGTCTCCAGAGTGTGGGGATTAAAGATGGGTGCCACAAAGCCCAACAATCATTACCTTTTTGAAACCTGGATAAGAAACACAAGCACTGTTGTGAACTCTTTTGGGGAAAGATGAGGAAGTTACTGTGAAATGACACACGGTTTACTCAAGTGTAAGCAAAGAAGGCAGAATGGGGACAGGGACAGAATGGGGACGGGGACAGAATGGGGGCGGGGGGACAGAATGGGGATGGGGGACAAAATGGGGACAGGGGACAGAATGGGGACAGAATGGGGACGGGGGACAGAATGGGGACGGGGACAGAATGGGGGACAGAATGGGGACGGGGGGGGGGGGGACAGAATGGGGACGGGGGACAAGCCATGAGTAAAGCTACAGGAAAGAGTTAAGCTGGAAAGACAGCAGGCCAGACAGATCCCCAGATCAGTGTGATCCCAGCTGCAGTCTTTTTTTTTTTCATAGCATTTCTCATGGGTTTTGGCTTTTGGTTTAATAGGATCTCATGTAGCCCAAGGTGGCCTACTTCTGATCCTCCTGTCTCCACCTCTCTTTTTTTTTTTTTTTAAAGATTTATTTATTATGTATCCCTGCAGGCCAGGAGAGGGCGCCAGATCTCATTAAAGATGCTGTGAGCCACCATTTGGTTGCTGGGAATTGAACCCAGGAACTCTGGAAGACCAGCTGGTACTCTTAACCTCTGAGCCATCTCTCCAGTCCAGTCTCTACCTCTTAAATGCTGGGGTTATATGTACCACAATACCCAGCTCAGTGAATTTTTTTTTTTTTTTTTTTGGTTTTTGAGACAGGGTTTCTCTGTATTGTTTTGGAGGCTGTCCTGGAACTTGCTCTGTAGACCAGGCTGGCCTCAAACTCACAAAGATCTGCCTGCCTCTGCCTCCCGAGTACTGGGATTAAAGGTGTGCGCCACCAACGCCTGGCTTTTTTTTTAAATGAAGGAGTTTGAGTCAGCTTTCATGGTTTCACCGAAGGTTCAGGTTTAAAATTCTCAGAATAAGGGACCAGGGAATAATGGCTTATTCAGTACAGCACTCGCCATACAAGCAAGTACCCAGCACCTACATAAAATATCACGCATGGCGTCACAGACCTGTATCCCCAGTGTTGGGAAGTCAGGGACAGGAGGATCTCGGGATCACTGGCCAGTGCTACTGTAGCCAACTAGGGAGACTCAAACGTAAGTGGGCAGCTAGAGAGGTAGTTCAGAGAGTAAGAGCACTGCTGTTCTTGCAGAGGACCAGGCTCACTACCCAGCACCCTCAGTTAAGTGGGAGGGGTACCCTCAAATCTGTCTGTAACTCCAGTTCCAGGGAATCCAAAGCCCTTTCTGGTCTTAGAGGGCACCTGCACTCACATGATGCTTGTATGTCAAACACACACACAAAAAGTGGGAGATATACGGGAAGATGCTTGACATCTACATCTGGCCTCCAAATGCATGTACACAGACACAAACACATACACTGGTATTCATCATACACAAATGTTAAGCTAGGTGGCCCACACCTGTAACCTCAGTGCTTGGGAGGCTGTGGTGGGGATGCCACAAATTCAAGGCAGTCGTGCAGTATAAAGTAAGACATTGTCTCCAAAAAAAAGAAGTTGCAGAATAACCAGGCAGTGGTGACCACGCACGCCTTTAATCCCAGCACTCGGGAGGCAGAGGCAAGCGGATCTCTGAATTTGAGGCCATCCTGGGCTACAGAGCGAGTTCCAGGACAGACAAAGCTGGACAGAGAAACCCTAGCTCAAAAAAAAATTGCAGAATAAATCAAGTGTTTTAAATATGTGATCTGGGGCCCTTAAAATGGTTCAGTGGTTTGTTGCCAAGCCTAACAACCTCTGTTCAAGTCCCAGGAGCCACACAGTAGAGGGGGGGAGACTAACACCTGCAAGATGTCCTCTGACCTCCACATGCACGCTGCGGTGTTCCCCCTCCCCACAATAAATAAAAAATGTAAAACCATTAAATATATGGTCTGGTGTTCTATAGATGACCAGTAACCTTTTCATTTTATATATGTAGAAATATTTTCTGTCTATATTTGCTATAATTTTTCATGTGTATGTACACATGTTTGTGGGTATCCTTGCAGACAAGGAGAGGTTGGATCCCCTAAAAGTGAAGTTCAGATTGTGAGCCACCTGACCTGTGATCTGGGGCAGGCTCTGGTCCTCTGGAAGAACAGCAAGCTCTCTTAACCACCAAGCCGTCTCTCCAGCCCCCTTCTGCCTTCCTATCTTGGGATTATACGTTTTACCTTAGATTCAATATATATCAGCACTTAGTGCCCCCAACCCACATTATTTTTCAGTTTTAACGGACCTTAAAGACTCGACGGTTTTATGATATTGCCTTACTTAAAACTATCCAAATCACAGTATCCAAACAGTTCGTTTCCCCATCTTAGGTCTCTCCTACCAGCATTTCAGAAGTGCCCTTCAGAAGGCTGAGGATGGGAGAGCATCCCACGCGTTCACACTCACTGGCATTCATGGGAAGATGATGTCGTATTTGAGGATGGGCAGACCCATGCAGGTAGGTAACCACAAAGACCAGTGGGCGTGCCTGCCTCCACACAGCTGCCCAGTGGCTCCTAGAGCCTGATCAACTGGGCACTCCTGACTTTGCCCAAGGGAAGGTATGGCTGACACTGGATGTGCCCGTTACACCACCACTGTTCATAACCCGACAAGTGGCACTGTCAGGGAGCACTTATCCATGTGCTCGGTGTTTCCAGGTTAGGAATTGGTTAGGATGCAAACTTAGACTGGAAGCTCATTTCCTTGCATATTAGGTTCTAATTTCTAATTTGCATGACTTGATCTCTAAATGGATGTCTTTATGAACTTATCCCTACTTTAAAAATGGTTCAGGGATTTAGCTTACACATTTCATCTCCTAATACATGAAGATGAGATGTGACTAAGTAAACGTGGAGCTATTTGCTTTCTCACAGTAGATTTAAGAAGGCTAAGCAGAAAGTCTGTGTAAGTGTTCCATAGTGGTTGGGGATACAGTGTTGTCCTGATGAGGAGAGTGGAGAGGTGAAGTGCCTGTAGACCACGCCCCGTACTGAAGCCAATGAGCTACTTCCTCACTGATGGACTCAGTCCCAGGAATCACATCCTGGGAGCCACTTTCCATAACGAGAGTCTCGACAAGTTCCCTCTTAACTCCCACTCCCATAGCCCCATCAGTGACCTCACCGCTTCCCCAAAGTGCCAAGGCTAATGGCTGAGCTGTTAGCATATTGGGCTTTGAGACTTCGCAATGCAAACTGTAGCAGAGGCACGAATAGAAGAGACTAGAGCGTGCAGGCTGACTCAGAACAGAGAGAAGCAGCCACACCCAGCGTGCGGAGCAGACTGCCTCCACTGTGAGGTGAGACAGAGGACAGAAAAGAGCTGGGCTGCTGCCTCCAGGAAAGAAACCTCCGTCTACCAGGAATGTGGTCTGTGAATGGAGCTTTTGCAAAAGAGATAATTTCCTGTGGTGACTGTTGACACAAAAACACAGCTCTTCCCTCAAAGGGAGTAAGAAAGTTTATTATGGAGCCAAGTTTGAGTGACCATTGCCAGGGAGGGGCATTCAGGTTACTCCCTAGCACCGTGTGGTACTGTGGTAACGTTTAATGAAGGTTCGGTACAAGAATAAAGTTAGAAATCAGGGCAGTTCTCACACTAGTGAAACATCAAACAGACAGGCGATTACAGCAAAGTGAGGAGTGTCTAAGCTTCAGGTGCCATCTGGGGACATTCGTAGCCTTTGGTTGGTGGAAGCTAAGGGATCTTCTTTATACATCTGAAAAGTTTTTTACCTGAAAATCACAGGATCATAGATCAAACAGAAGGTGTAATAAATGGCCATTTTGGTTGCTGAAAACATTCCAAGATTAATTTGGCTTCTGACTTGCAACATTCCAGTTCTCTACAAGTGCAGGTTTTCAATCCAGTCAATCGGTCTTACAAGATATTTAACACAGCCCACCCCCAACTCCCACTCTGGGGACTTGTGTTCGTATTTAGTTTTACACAGCAGTGTGTATAAGTTCGAGACTTCTTTTCTTTCAAATAGGCTCACTTTAGTGTGTCAGTGTGTGTGTGTGTGTGTGTGTGTGTGTGTGACACGGTACTCATGTGAAGGTCTGAGAACAACTTTTTTTAAAAAAAGATTTATTTATTTATTATGAATACAACATCCTGCCTCCATGTATGTCTACACATCAGAAGAGGGCACCAGATCTCATTATGGATGGTTGTGAGCCACCATGTGGTTGCTGGGAATTGAACTCAGGACCTCTGGAAGAGCAGTCAGTGCTCTTAACCTCTGAGCCATCTCTCCAGCCCCCTGAGAACAACTTTTAGGAACTGGTTCTCGCTTTCCATTATGTGTTCCCAGATCATTAGACTGCTTTATCCACTGAGCCATTTTGCTGGCCATAAAACAGGTTTTTAATAATTATATCTTGGGGCTGGAGCAATGGCTCAGTGGTTAAGAGCAGTAGCTACTCTTCCAGATGATCTGGGTTCAATTCCCAGCACCCACATGGCAGTTCACAACTATCTGTAACTCCACTTTCAGGGGGATCCAACAGCCTCAAACCAATGCACATAAAATAATGTTAAATGAAAATTTCAAAAAATTATATCTTGCCGGGCGGTGGTGGCGCACGCCTTTAATTCCAGCACTTGGGAGGCAGAGGCAGGCGGATCTCTGTGAGTTCGAGGCCGGGCTGGACCGATAGCCTCCAAAACAATACAAAGAAACCCTGTCTCGTAAAAACCAAAAAAAAATTATATCTATTTTCAGTTTTTTTAACTTTATTTATTATGTGTCTTTGTGCGCAAGAGCATGCCATGGTAATCATGTGGCCGCCAGAGTACAATTTTTGGGAGTCCTCTACTTCTACCAAGTACTTCTTGGGGATGGAATTAAGGTCACCAGGCTTGATGGCAAGGGTCCTTACCTGCTGAGCCATTTTACTGGCCCTCAGTTTTTATTATTAGGAATGAAAAATTTTGTAAATAGATGCCTTCAATTACTATTCTTTACCTAGTGTTTAGTTTCTTATTTCTTTTCTTTTCCTTCCATCCCAGACCCCACCCCCTGCTGGCCTCCGACTTTGGATGCTCCTCCTATCTCAGCCTCAAGAATGCTGGAATTATGAGTCACCATGCCCAGATCTTTGTTTTATTTTTAATCCTCCTTTTTCTTGCTTGTGACCACTAGGCAAATATTAAAGGAACTACAACCAAATATAGGTAAATCGTTGTGCTGACAAACATATAAATGTCCCGCTGTAAGGGAGTGATTCAATAAAGAATGCAATATCCCTCCCTACAGCACACTGTACACCAGCAGAGCGTACTTTATCCCCCACATGCTGCTCCTCCCTACGGCACATCATGCACCAGCACAGTGTACTTTATCCTCCATATGCCGCTCCCTGCTCTGCCTGTGATCCTCTTGTGTCCAAAAGGCAGCACAGCTGTCCAGACAGCACGATCACTTTCTTAAAACACGGACGACTTTTACTGAAGTGAAGGAGCCTAGCACACAGTACTCATGAGGACCAGCCAATGGGCTCTTTGGAGGGAGTGTTTATGAACTCCTCCCAGCATTTAAAGCATCTTGTCTTCAGTTTCACCATGCTGGTCTGGAGCATTTGCCCTTTGCCCAAGCAAGCTATGGTAGTTCAAGAGCCAATGCCTGACCAGGCCAGCCCTTGCCAATGCCATGTACTCAAAAGAAGGAAAGACAAGCATTTCAACAAGAGAATGCCTTTATTTTCCAGTGGTGTCTTACTGTGTAGCCCTGCCTGGAAGGGAACCAGGTTGGCCTCTGAGTTCAGAGCCTGCCTGCCTCTGCTTGGGATTAAAAGCATGAGCCACCATGCCCAACAAGATTATCAGAAGAGGAGCAGGAGTAAGAAGAAAGGAGGAGAAGAAAGAGAAAGAAGAAAGAAAAATAGGCAATCCATTGCACACAGGTCAGGAAGCCACGTGTAAAGCAGGGGTAGGTGCTGTAGCTGTTGCTTGCAGGCAGGGAGCTGGGCATGGTGATCCTGCTCTGAAATAATGGAGCCCAATATTCTGGAAGTGGTCTCACTTCCGAGAAGTTAACAGCCCAGGCACGCCAGACTTTATGGGGCACTTTATGGTAGTGAAACATTACAAGATTTAAACCGCAAGTGTGTCATGATGCAGAGTCTGTGCTTCATTGCTTCTGTGGGGAGTGGGCAGATGCCTTCCAAGACATCTGCCCAGAAGAAACCTTGGTGTGTCCGTGTCTGTGCACAAGTGTGGTGGTGAGCAAGGGAGACAGAAGCCTAGGCAACTTGGGCTGTCCCAGTGGTAGCTGGTAGCTGGGTTCTCGCCCCAGGCTCTACCACCAGCCTTTTCTGTTTACCGGGCTCAGCACAGCTAAAAACCTCCTGCTGTGGAGCAGCTTCTCCAAGCGGTGTACTCACTCTAGGAGTCTTTCCCTCTAAAGATTACTACTGATGGTACGGTCTTCCTGATTACTGGATCTTAATGCTTAATGTTTTAAACCTGGAACTCGATATGTAGACCAAGCTGGCCTCAAACTGGCGGAAATCCACCTGCCTCTGCCTCCTGAGTACTGGGATTAAAGGAGTGGACCAATGCCCCTGGCTTTTAATGCACACTTAAACTGTATTTTTCTTTGATAGTCACAACCCTCTTTGTATGTGCCCAGCACTGCATTAGGCTGGGGGACATATTCAGTCTTCATCCTTTGACCCTAGGTCTTAAATATCTTTTTCCAAGGTATCAGCTGCTAGTCTGGGCTAGCTAATGCCTTTGGCATAACCTCATCGTTCTTGCAGAGATCACACCCTTCTTCCTGCTACTGTATTTTTCCACTACAAGCTAACAGTTGAATCTCATTAAGTCCTTGGAATTCACTTTAAATGTCACCTTCCTGAAAATATCCACATTCTTTCCTGCTAGATGTACATTGTGAATTTGCATTGCAACTCCCTGTGATGGCTACTTTGTTAGTCTTCTGCACTCTTCCCCAGCCCCCAGCTAGACCTTAAGATCACTAAAGGCCAGGGTTATATGTCACATAGTTGTGTGGGCCATTACAATATAACAAGAAGGAAATAAACTTTGGGGGTTGGATCTATGGCCCTCTAAAACCATCCTTGGAACAGATGTAATGCCTGATTGGGCCACATGCCGAGGATCTTTACAGAACAGGACTTCTTATGACCAGAGCAATGGAAAGTAGTGAAAGCCACACAAGTGGCAAATGAAGACAGGTTGGTTGGGGGAGGAATCCTTACATAAGATCTCAAAAAGCCATCTCCCTGTGCTTGCTCTTGGGTGATTTAAAATCACTGGCTTGGGAGCTCACATGGCTGAGTAGCGCCTTACTAGCTTCCAATTAGCTTGACTAGATCATGACAACAGTTGCCTAGTTACTTCACAAAAGGCTGATTTTTGCTGGAGACCTGTTGGGCTCTTTACAAGAGCCTGTGGTGATATGCCAGATGACTAACTGAGATAAAGGCATGGCACCTCCTCTTCATAGTGAGTCCCCTTTGTTGTCTCTGTTTGAATCAGACCTGCCTCAGCTCTCCAGGGTATAAACAGGAATTCCTGCAAAGAAGCTCTGTCGGCAAAGACTTGTTAAAACTCCAGTGATGTAGGATATAGGGAGGTTGGACTGCTGCAGGCCCAGAGGTGAATTCCCTTATGTTGGGCTAGCTTTAACCCATCCTTGCCCACCTCTGTGTCAAAGCTAACATCCTGTAACAAATACATTCTGGAATCTGGTAATTCCAAATTCATTAAACCACTAGCCTCCACCATCCCATGAGCTAAGTATGTCATCAGATAGCATTTGAGGCCTGTGGAAAAGCTTCTCCATCAGCTATAACCGCCTCTTTGTTGTACCTGTCAGGTCCAAAGGAAACTCCAATTCCCCAAACTCCAAAAGGCAGTCCAATAAGCTCAGCCTGGTCTATTTGGGGGACTTCTGGAGGATAGGCAAAAGCCAGCATTCCTCAGAAACCTGTGAAATTGGTTCCCCTCTACCAAAAGAAGTCATTGCCCTCACCTGTGACAGAGGAACATAGAGCTGGCTACCTGCGGTGCCTATCAGTACATCAAAGCCCATGCTGTCTCCGGGTTTCTCAGTATCACAGCTATCTGTTACACATTTCAAGGTCCATGTTGGCATCCTAGCCCTTCTCACCTTATCCTCTACCCTAAACTCCTCCATCTCAGGTTCTGTCCTGCCTGATCCCACAGCCATTTAGTCCCAAATAAACACCGAGGTTTATACTAATTATAAACTGTCTGGCCTATTGCTCAGGCTTCTTATTGTCCAGCTCTCTCTTAATTATTAACACATAACTATTAATCTATATTTCTATATGGCCTTATCTCGCTGGAGAACACCCAGGCATCCTGTCTTCCTGGTGGCTACACTGTATTTCTCTCACACGACTGCTGCCCTGTCTCTTTTCTTCCCCTAATTCTCCTAGTCTGGTAGCTCCGCCTATACTTCCTGCCTGGCTATTGGCCGATCAGCATTTATTCATCAACCATTCAGAGAAACATATTCACAGCATACAGAAGGACATCCCCCTCCACATGGGCTTCCCTCCCCACAGCTACTCATTCTCCTTATAACCCTGCTCTTCTTGCTGTGGTCTCTCTGTGCTCTGCACCTGATTCTCTATTTTTCCTCTATTCTCTATCCCCCGCTATTCTCCCCTCTCTCACAGAGAGCCAGACCAGTCTGCTGACCCTGTCCACTCTGCTGCTTTCTCTGTCTGCTCTGGCTGTTCTCTCATATCTAAAATAAAAACCTTCCCCTTAACCATACCATGAAGCAGTCCTGTCATCAGCTTATACAGTACCCACCAATGTATTTTAAACTTGCCTAGATTTATTATATCTTTGTTCTGTAAGACTATAAACCTTTATGAAGCTGCTTCCACATTCTAACAAGGGAACTGGAGTGACCTAAATCTGTGTTCCTAGACCATAGTCACTCAAAATGGCTCCTGAATAAGCAGTCTCTGGTTCCCTTTAAGGAGACAGCTGTGTCTTTTACATCAACCATATAGACACATTGGTCATTTAAAAACTTCTGTTCAGAAGGCTGGAGAGATGACTCAGCAGTTAATAGCAAGAGCTACTCTTTGAGGATCCTGGTTCAATTCCCGATATCCACATGGCAGCTCACAAGGTCAGTTCCAAGGATCCTGTGCTTTCTGCTGCCATCCACAGTGCAGATACACACACAGTGCAGACATACATGTAGAACACACTCATACACAGTGCAGACACACACACACAGTGAAGACATACATGTAGAACACACTCATACACAGTGCAGACACACACACACAGTGAAGACATACATGTAGAAAACACTCATACACAGATCATTTAAAAAATTTAAAACTAAGCCGGCACTCACCTTTAATCCCAACACTCGGGAGGCAGAGGCAGGCAGATCTCTGTGAGTTCAAGGCCAGCCTGGTCTACGGAGCGAGTTCCAGGACAGCCTCCAAAACAATACAGAGAAACCCTGTCTCGAAAAAAAAATTAAAGCTTATTCAAAACTATAGTACAGTGTGAACTTGGCTTTTCCCACCCCCCTCCAGGTGCTGTTGAGGCAGGAAATTAGGATAGAGGGTAAAGCCTGGGGAGACTCCTGCAAAGGCTACAAATTTTAGCATATTAAAAAAGAGATTGGTACCCAGTGGTGGTGGTGCACGCCTTTAATCCCAGCACTTGGGAGGCAGAGGCAGGGGGATCTCTGAGTTCCAAGACCAGCCTGGTCTATAGAGTGAGTTACAGGACTGCCAGGACTACACATAAAGACCCTATCTTGAAAAACAATTAAATTTTGGTAAGGATGCTGGTATGTGGCTCTCCACAACTGATGAGTTCTGGTGGGGGAGGACTCAGTTCTCTTTAAGGAACTGGCCACTGGGAGTTTGACCATGCTCCAGTGAGTGTATGGGCAACACAATATGTATTTCTTATTTTGTTTCTTCTTCTTCTTTTTTTTTTTTTTGGTTGTTTGTTCTTTTTCTTCCTTTTTATTTTGGTGGGGGAGGCAAAATGGTAGGGGGAGACCAGGAAGGACAGAGAAGTGTGATTGGGATGTATGATGTGAAATTCACCAAATAATCAATAGAAGCATTATGCTGGAAAAACAAAACAGACTGGCTAAGAGGAAGGTAGGAAATGTCAACAGAGGCTGGAGAG